GAATTTGTAACCAACTATCTTTCGTTCAGTTAGATTCGTATATGGTCTTGTTAATGCTCCATAGTGGATAGAAAAGGATTTTTCCGGTTTCAGTTTCAGGTTAAGTGGTTCAAGGCGTTAGAAAATTTTTCAAATGTCTTTTCCGAGCTTTCATCCGTTCCCACAAAAATTTCATCAGTGTAACTTAGACAAATTGATGGTCCACAGTTCATTGCTCTCAGGGCCTCATCGATCCCGATAGCAAAGAGTGCGGGGCCTAGGCAGGTACTTTGAGGTGTCCCTTGATCATCCGATGTTATAGTCACTTCACCATGTCTTATTAACCGTGTCCTTCTGTCTCGAAGGAAACTCGCAATCAAGTTATGCAGTTGTTTATCTTGTGACGGTATCGGGGTTCGAGTACCTTAGAGAGAGAGAGAGAGAAAGAGTAAGAGAGGAAAGGGAAAACTTTGATCAGCTTTTACAAAGTAAAAGCTAAGAAACCAGAGAGAGAGAGAGATTGATGAGAGAGAGATGTAGACAAGAGAAGGTCTTGAAGTAAACATAATTTTAATTTCATTTTGTCTCTGCTTATATACAAAATTGAGAGTGAGTCTTTTCATCATCATCATCTTATCTTTGACCATGATGATGATGGTTACAACACAATGTTGAGCAATCAACAATCATCATCATCAACCAACTGTTATTGTTGATTGTGTGTTGGTGATGATTGTTGATTGTAAGTGGCTACAATCAGGGGAGAGAAGTTGATCTCCTCACAATCTATTACACCACTTAATTTATCCAGGATGACCTTCCTATTTATCTCGTCAAAAGCGTTGGTGACATCGAAGACGTGAATCCATTTTCGCATTTTCATTATTTTGATTAGTCTGAGCCATAGATCTAATCTGTCACATTCCCTCTAAATAGGCATATTAAGTATTTGGTCTCATCAGCTTCGGCAGGAACAGCGTCATTTGTACATTCCTCGCATCTCAAGGTTTATCACACCAAGTAGTTAGTTCCATATTGAAATCACCTCCCATAATGATCGGTTCATTTTCAAATTTGGGGAGGTGTTTTGGTATCAATTCAATTGTCCCTGTTTCTTGTGGCTTATTATACACCGAGCACAGCCAAATTTTCTGGTGATTTATTTGGGCTAAATTCATCATTAGGCCTTCTTCGTATATTATGCTCGTATTGCTTTTGAGTATCTCAGATCGCAATCAATTTTCTGGTCCAACATCCTGGTCAAAAATTCATTCGTTAAACAGATACACCAAGAACACGTTTTCAACCAATCCGCACATTTAATAAAGGAATGAGTTCGTTTATTTAGATTTATCGAGACAATTTTAATTTTCACCATTACAGTTTTCTAACTATGAGTCATAAGTCACGTAAGTAAGTTATCGGTTGGTAGGAGATACATGAAGTGAGGAGTAATAGATAAATGGTTAAGATAGTCTGAAAGAAGCGGAGGAGGAATTAGTATCAGGGGAGTTGAATGTTTGTCTAGATTTTTATGGTGGTATTTTCGCAGGTTGTCTTAGTTCTGATGGCAGAGAGTAATTTTTGAGCCATCCTAGTCATTATTCATCATGGTTCATTGTCGATGCCAATAGTCTCACATACAAAAAGCGACCATTTGTTTCGTTGATGTAGTTGCTGACCAGTTTGTGGAGAGTCAAGCAAGTCTTGTGATTGATTGGGTGGTCAAAAGGTCTGTTTCTTACAAAGCAGTTCACACATTCAGGTGGGTTTTCACATAAATCATTTGTACCATGGTAGAGGTGACTGCAAACCGAGCAAAGCGGTTCAGTCGGGCATCTGTGGCCAAGAACCGACGTTTTATCACTCCACAGGTGACAACGTGCACATTGTCGCTGGCCAATGTCATCCGAAAAGTAGCCGATTCTTCCATTTTCCAATTCTATTTTCCATCCGGTGTCGATTATCAGATTTCGTTGATTCGATGAAAAGGATACCACATGAATGTTTCCAAATTGTCCTTCGTCATTGATGTTATTCATCAGACGCATGTTAGTTTTTTCACCAATCAATTCCATTAGACTTTCTGAGGGAATCTTCTCACCATTGTATGCATTGTGGAATCTAGGCATTTTAACCTGATGAAAGACTACCACATCTTCATAATTTGCCAATGCATGAATTCGTAGTTCCAAATCGAACCTGTGATCTCGATTGACTTTGCAAGTTAAACCATTGGTGATCGGTGTGATCGGTCCAGCTAACCACGTGGTGACTTGTCCCTGTCCAGTTAAGAGGTTTTGAATCAGAGACGATTGTTCCGATTTCGACCATTTTATTTCAATTGATGATATTGCTCGTCCAGGATTCACTGATTTTGTTGGGTGGTACAATCTCGCTGGTTGACCTCTTCTATTGGCATGATGACCCACTAGATTAAGATAAGGAGGCATTGTACAGACTTTAGTGTAAATAGACTTTTGGGTTAAGAATTGAAACTTTAGGTTTTTGTATGGGCATAAGAAAGAACTCGTTCGTTAAAAATTTCATTGTGATCTGATCGTTAGTTTTCGAGTGAATTGTGTGCAAAGTCGAAACTTTAGATCACTTTTTCTCAGACTAGAAATATCTATAATTCTCAGGCCAAAGCGATGTTTAGTCCAGATAAGTCGAACGCTCTAGGTATTTTGTTACGAATTTTTAGACTAAATGATCGTAAAGAAGTAATCTCAGTATTAATTGCGCAAAAAAATCATAAAAATTATCATTAGAATAATAATTAATTAGAATCATTGATTAATTAAATCTCCATTGACATGCTGCAGTTTTTGTTATTTACTTGAGCTTCTCCGGGTTCATCGGTGCGAACTAATTTTTACGTTTTTTTAGTCTGCAGTCTCTTCTTATTACTCTTTGCAATTAATTAATCAACTGATTCCACCGATTGGACAAAATCTTAACATTAAGGAAAATATTTTCTCAATCAGCTGTAGGTTGCCAATGGAAACATACCATGTGACTTAAATTGAAAGATTACAATTAGAATTTTAAATTGATTTAATTTACAGGATAAGAATAGATTTAAATTACGAATAGAAAACAATTTAAACTGGAATTACATCGCCCAATGTTTTGGCCACTTGATCCAAAGGTCGACGTTTATTTCCTGGTTTACTATTGATCAAAGCCTTCTCGTTAATTGGTTCAATTATTTTACCTAATTCAGTGATTATTTTAGGTTCAATATTAAATCTAAATTGCGTTTCAGGATTCCAATTGGGGCCGATCGGTGCATTGAACTTTTTCTCAAATTCGGGAACATTTTTACAATTATAAGGTAATTCTTTTACCATGAATTTGGCGATCGCTTTATCCTTGTTTTCCGAAATGATGACATTGTGAAGCTTTTCATCGAGACGTTTTCTTTTTTCCGCTTTTTGAATAAATTGTTTCTTCTTTCGAATGTTGGTCCTAACACCAGGCCCAGCCCAAGATCCCCAACCAGGTAGATAATTATTAACACTTTTCTCTTGTTCTTCATCCATTTTCTCCCGTTTGTCTTGAACGAATTCGACCACAACATCATCTCCGTCAAAGGCTTCGGCGATCAGTTTTCTTTGTCCTTCGTCATCATCGTCACTTGTTACATTGGCATCTTCATCATCTGTGTCCGCATCAGCTCCCATCTCGTGATAATCCGGAATAGTTGTTTGTAAGACTTGCACTTTAGTATTTAAGATTTTCTTTGGATCAATCGTAATGTTGTCATTCCTCTTCCTCTTGGTCATTTTCTTCCGCTTGACCATCTTCTCTTCCTCTTCGTCTTCCTCATCAGCTTTTTCGTCAGAACTTTAACCTTTCTTTCTTTTCTTTACTTGTGTTCATGTCTTTAGTGATTTCTTTTTGACTTTTCGTTTTAATCTTAACTAGATTGTCTTCAATTGACTGATAATTTTCTGGTCTTCATCAGCATGCTCATTTTCAATCTTTAAGATTTTATTAGCTGCTTCTATTAACAAGGATAGTTCTGCTATTTTATCTCATCATCACTTGCCATCATGATTTATTCAAGATCTTCATCATTTGTTGCATCGATTTCATCTTCATCTTCTTCTTCCTCATCAACCACATCGAAGAAAGTTTGATTAATCTCTAAAAGTTTCGTAAACTAGAAGATAGAATAAATTGAGATGAATTCAAGAGAATCCAATGTCAGTAAAAGCTTGAACTGTTAAATTCATCCTTTTCCTTCTTACATTTTTACTTGTTACTTTTCTCAAAGGAAATCAAAGCTCGAGTGCATGTCACGATTCTTATCTGACAATATTCTCCTCATTCAGAATTCTTTCATAACAGACTTGAAGATAATAGTTGATCAACTTCTTTCAATTTACATTTATTGTTCTATGCTGCACATGGTGAATGAACCATGAGAAGGTAAAGCTGAATAAATTTAATTCTTACTTTAATGGGTTTTACTTCATGATTCTTATTGACATCGGTTCTATTTGAAACTTAACAGTCTCCATAATTAACTTGTCTTTCAATCTTCTTGGTCAATGGTGTATTGAGAGGCAATGGAAGTAACTTTTTATGGGTTATCTTTCGGATTTTTTTCTTAATTTTACCAGTTTTATCAACAATACTATTCAGTAGATGGTGAATTTCAACCTTATCCTTGTCCTTGTAGAGGTACAGTGTAAGACTGCAATTCAAATAAAATCAGCGTCTTTGAAATGTTCAAAAGAATCACTTTATAATCTAAAGCCTTTTGCTTTCGATAATTTAAAACAAGAACTTATAATGCATCGGAAATATAATATGATGAGAGTCAAAAGGTTAGTGACAATTGGATTGATGATAATGAGATCATTAAATTGTTTCATTCTCAAGTGAAAACTGTTAATAGTTGTATTGTACCTGATGCTCATGAAACAACAATTAACGAGAACCGGATAACCATGAAAAGAGAAAAAAAGATTACCCAAGAAAAGAAGAAGCTAAAAATGAACAATTAGATTTAAACCGGTTTACTTAATCCGAATCAAGAAGATGGAAAATAAAAATACACAATCATCTTTGTCTCTTCTTACCTTTAAATTCAGTTCCAATATTTCAAAGTCTGTGTAACAATTTAGTTGATCATTTGTATCAGTGATTAAACATTCTCCTCACTTCATTCATCAAAATAATGGGTAAGATCAACTGATCATTTGGTTTAATTTATAATTGTCATTTCTTTGTCTCTTCTAAAGGTATCAAGTTGATTGTTGCAATTGCACTGACCCTTGGGGTGGTGGTCAAGGGAGACATGATGAGGAAAAGCATCGTCTTTGATATCAAAACACCAAAAGTTTTCTATTGTCCCCAAGAAAAGCCCGATGACCTCAACAAAATGATCGTCAAGTCGATACCATTGGATAAACTCTGTGAATATCAAGGCCAAAATGTTCCCAAAAATTCAAGGTCAGATTGTTATAACGACATCGATGAGACCGAATATGCTTGCGCTGAAAAACAAAGGATTCTGGTAAGTTAATCACAATTATGATAAAATCGCTCTAATTAATAATCTACTCTATTAATATTATTAATAGTTACGTGTTAATCCACCAAATGATTCGGATACAACAACCGTAATCCCCTCGCCTGATATGCCAGAGTATATAAAGATTAACAAAAAAGATACTGGATTAGGTAAATCAGGTAAATCTAAAAAATACTAATCTAACTTTTTGTAAATTAATTTGATTGTAAATGATAATCATTCGCAATCATAAAAAACGATCCTGTTTAATACTCAACAATATTTTTGGGAGTTTTGTTATTTATGGTTTAATGAAATTAAAAGTTAATATTTGAAGCGAAAACAAAAACCATCAATTAATTGCTTCTTTAATTGATATAAAATTAAACGATCAACTGATTGTAATCGAGCTTAACAAGCTGTAAATCCACCATCGATGGGCAATATAACACCATTGATCATTGCTGATTTATCACTTAATAAGAAGACAATTGAGTCGACCACATCATCAACTGAAGCAAATTTCTGCAACGGAATTCGGTCCATCATCCATTTGCGCTTAACGGGATCAGACCAGCCTTTTTTACCCATGTCGGTTTCAACGACCGTCGGATTGATTGAATTACAACGAATACCAAATGGACCAAGTTCAAGAGCTGAAACACGAGTGATCTGATCAACCGCACCCTTGGAAGCACAATAAGCGACATGGTCTTGTAAGGCCACCATTCCCGCTTGACTTGAGATGTTCACAATTGATCCTGGTTTGCCTTCGGCTTTCAATTTTTTCACCACTTCTTGGGTAACATTGATGATCGACTTGACGTTAATGTTGAAGTGCCTATTTGTTAATGAAAAAATAGTTAATATTTATATTAACGATGGTCATCGTTGTCCACTTACAGGTCAACTGTTTCCTCATCAACCAAACCAATTGGATCCAATTTAGCATAAGCAGCGTTGTTAACAACCAAATCAATTGTATCCAATGAAGATATTACTTTTTTGGTCTCATCCCAATTGGCAAGGTCACATTGAACAATTTCAATTTCTGGTAACTAAATTGATTGAATGGATATTTGTCTTACTAGAATGTCATCTTGTCAAGGCTAACAAAGGGTCAATGGTTAACAGGTTAATCTATTTGACCCCTTCAGGTGAGTTTAGATTCAAGGTAATGGTTAACGGGAAATTTTCAACAATTTACCTCTAATTTAAGTGATTCAAGACCCTCTTTGGTCTTACTTAAGGCCACGACCTTTGCACCTAATTTAACAAGACGCTTGACTGTATCTCGTCCAATTCCTGGAATAAGTTTTAATTGTAATTGGAAATTGTAACAATCAATGGTCATGATTAAGTTAATTAGTCACTCACCTCTTCCTGCTCCGGTTACAAGGGCTCTTTTTCCTTTAAATGAAATATCCATTTGAAACTTAATTGTTGTCACAATTGGAGAACTCAAATTTTAGTTATTAATTGTTAATCTTACCACCGAAACGGTTACTATTCAACTGAGAGCAATTTAAAATGATTTAAGTTTATTTTTTCTTATATCATCACTTGTTAATTGCCTGTGGTGGCTTTTCGACCTTGATTAACTACAATCAAGATAAATCATCATTAGATAATCAGTTAACTTGATTATTATTAACCATTAACTCACTAGCAATTTGTAATCATTTTTACATAATCCAATATCTTTCCATCAACATCTAAGTTTTAATTAAATTAATTGTCATCATCATCTTACAAGGTTGAAAAATCTTAGTTAACTTTTCTCGTTCAATTAAATCATTAAACCTCTTTGTGATTAATTAATTGTGGAACCTTGAAAGTGATTTGTTGAATGATTGAGCTGGTGAATTATTAGTCAATATCACAATTAAGATGAATCAATTTTTAAATCAATGATTAAGTGATTAGTGAAAATGTTAATTAGAAATAAAAAAATTTCATATAAAAGTAAAAAAGATACAAAGTTAATTGTGTTGTAACAAAAAGATTGACATTGATTAATACTGATTGTTACTCTGATTGAATACTGAAAGTTATTAATTGTTGATTATTCGAGACCAAATTAACTCCAATAGCTTGATTGAGAAGAGTATTATTACCGTGATTTGGTTATTGAGAATTAAATTAAACCAAATTATGGTCTCCGATAGCCTAATGAATATGAGACATGAAAATATATGGAAAAGAAAAATTAAAATTAGTCTTAATTAATCAATTGAATTATGTACAAAATTAGTTAATCATGGGAAAGTTATTGTTGTTTGTTAACTGTTATTGTTGTTGATGATGACGATGATCAGCTAATTGTAATGGTTATATGAACAAGTGATTGGCAAACTAAAATTACATTGAACAAATGACTAGTTGATGCTGAGAGGACAATTTGACAAACAATTAAGGTAATTAGGGTTGATTAAAATTAACATAAGTACCAGGGGGTGAGTATCTTCCTCCACCATCACCACCACCTAAATGTGAGTGTTTGTGGTCGTGGTGGTAAACATAATAGCAGAAAAAGAAGGTCACTCCGAGCGCACAAAGACCCGCGAACGAGCCCACGACGATCGCCGTTATTTCACTTGGATTAAAAGATCCTATTAAATTAGAAGAGATTAATTAGCTGCGAACAATTAAGCTTATTGTTAATCACCTTTTTTTTCTCCGCCATAACTTTGAAATGGATCATAAGCTCCTTGACAATTAGTGATCACAATTAAGTAACTAACTGTTGATTAGAGGAAAAGTTTCGTTTTCGGATTAGTGAATCAACAAAATTTCACAAAGAAAATCAACTTACTCAGAATTAGGGTTAACACGATTTCTTTTGGAATCATTTTGATTTAGTAACAATTCAAGACTAATTGTTGAGATATTGGTTGATTTTAGTCACAATTTAATTTCTTTTGGGTCTCGCGTTTTCCCAACTACCGTTAATTGTTTCAATTTGATTTTTCTTTGCCTTCTCCAAGCAATGTTGCCTCGTAACCATAGATAATAATTACCTGTTATCATTAAATCAATTCTTATAAGTGTTTAGGTAAATATTGTTCATTAATCTTAAAAAGAAAGTTTTTATCTTGATTAGTTATGATTCACTGTAAATATTAACTTAATTGTTGGGGATCATCGTCATCGTCGTCTAAAGTTAATTCAGTTTGAACAAGAAAATGAAAAAGTTATATCTACTTGATGCTCTTAATTAGTGTTCACTATTTACTGATTATCACCATAAGTGTAATGTTTATGTATTACCATCAAGTAAATCATGTTATCTTTAAATCAATTTACCAAATAATCAACAACAATTAATCATAAACAATATTCAATGTTAATATGATTATGGTGAGTCTATTTTGTGTCAAACAAAATCAAGGTAAATCATTTGAAGCTTGTTAACTACTAACAGTTGTAATTATCGCTATTAACATAACACAATTTGCAAAACATTTCGTATGTTTAATCATCAATTTTAATTGTCATTTGATTGTCAAAGGCAAACAAGAAGTTAGAAAGAATCGGGAATTATCCATTAATTATCTATGAATCTAGAATCGATTATTATTCAGTATTCCTTTTAGAATAAGTTTATGTTCATCTTGGAAAATATTACGATTGGACACAAGTAACTTAACGAATACACTTGAAGTTTTATTATTATTTTATTCAAGATTCAGATCGGATCATTTTAAATCAATTCTGTCGTTTTTTTCCTTCGTTGAGTCCAGATCATGTCTATATCTCTCTAGGTCGATTTTCTCAAGAACGCATACCGATAGGTATATTTTTGACTTCGATTTATTGTAGAGTATAAAAAACTACATTAAAAAAATTATTTCATTCTGCTTCCCGGTGGATTTAAGCGTAAGATCACTTTTGAAGATTTGTTTCCGCTGCCGTGAATTGGGACAGAATATTTTCAAATTTTAATGTTAGATTTTAAAATACTTCGCCTCCCCATCATCGCCAGCCTTATTTGAGTCGAGATCCACTTCGTAATCTTTTTCAAGAGCTGCAAGATCTTCTCGAGCTTCATAGGATTCACCTTGCTCCATACCTTCACCAACGTACCAATGAACGAAGACTCTCGAAGTGCTCAAGTCGAGCTCGGCTGTAGAATTGGATAGCATACAGACAACATACAGCAACTTTAGCTAGATCACCAACAGGAACAACAGTTTGGAGGTTGATAGTTGATTCCAACCTAAAAAATTGAAATCGAGAGATTAATTCAAATTAAGTGCGAATAAAAATTGAAAAAAGAAAATCAGACCCACCTTAGAACCTGTCGGGAACCCGTCAACGAATTGAATACTCCTCTTTGTCTTAATAGCAGCGATGCAGCATTAACATCTTTGGGAACAACGTCTCCTCGGCAAAGATAACAAAGACAAGCCATATATTTACCAGGTCGAGGGTCATATTTAACCATTAGATTAGCTGGTTCGAAGCATTTTCGATTTCAGAAATTGCTCATGGTAAGCTTTTCCAGCAGAGATAACAGGAGCATAAGTAACTCAGGGAAAATGCATTCGGGATAGGGGACAAGATCAGTTTGAAATTCAGTCAGATCAACATTTAATGCACCATCAAATCGGAGGGATGCGGTGATGGATAAAACAATTTGGTCAATAAGGCGATTGAGATTAGTGTAAGTTGGTCGTTCAATGTCAGCCAGCAAATATCATAAATAGCCTCGTTATCTACCATGAAAGCACAATCAGAGTGCTCAAGGGTTGAATGAGATGTTAAAATACTGTTGTAAGGTTCAACAACAGCAATAGACACTTGAGGGGTAAATGGCGAATTCCAATTTGGATTTTTTTTCCATAATCAACGGATAATCTTTCCATAAGAAGTGATGTAAAACAAGAACCAGTACCACCTCAAAAACTGTGGAAAATCAAGAAACCTTGAAGGTCGATACACTGGTCGGAAAGTTTTCTAATTCGGTCAAGCACCAAATCAACAATTTCTTAACCAATAATATGACCACAAGCATCTTTGTTGGCAGCATCTTCTTTACTTCTTCTCTCGCCAGTAATCAATTGTTTCGAGTGGAATAATTGCCGGTAAGTACCAGTTCTAACCTCATCAACTACAGTTGCCTCTGAGTCCACGTATACAGGATGGGTACATGTTTACCAGTTTCGGAGAATAAGGTGTTGAACGAATCTTCACCACCACCGATGGTTTTGTCACTTGACATTTGACCATCAGGTTGAATACCATATTCCAAACAATATAATTCCCAAGAAGCGTTGTCCATTTGGACATCAACGCGTCCACAATGGATTGATATACATTCACGCAATTCTTTGTTAGTTGATTCGATGAACAATGAAATATAACAATTTCAAGCGAATTTAGAAAGATGAATGAAAAACAAATTCAACTGATTTAATATAACAGATTAGAGAGATAATTCAAGTTAATATTGTAAATAAATCGTTTAACTTTAGTCGAGCGAGTTGATTGATTTTCGGCTTCGCCTCGAGTCGTTTGCTGATCGACTGACTGACTCGATCGACTGGCTCGGTATCTAAGCTTTTCTCTTGTTATCTTTTCTTTTCATGGTGTTAAATTAAATTGTGATTAATTAAATAAATTGGGATTAAATAAACATATATTGTGATTAGTTCGCTACACTTAGTTAAAAGGTCGCTCGACAGCATCAAGTATAATAAATAAAAGATAAAAAAAAAAAAAAAAAAAAGAAAGAATTCTGAGAACAAACATGGCCCCAAGAAAGAAGGTAAGCAACGTGCTCTATAAACAAGAACAAATGTATTTATAATAGAAAAATGGAATTACCCAAGTAAATGAATTTGTAACAAATGTATTTATAAAAACTGCATTTTCTCCCGATTTTAGCAAAATGTTTTCCCCTCATGTAACTCTAATGAAGAGAGTGTCATCGAAAGATATAAAGAAGCGATCAACCGTATGCAAAAGACATTAGGTGACGAAAATTCCAAAAGGCTAGATAAAAAGACGATTAAGGCAAACTTGGAAACTTGGGATCAATCGTTAATGATAGAAGATGTTGCACTATTTAAACAAGCATTGGCAACACCGAAAGACAATGATGGTAACACTATCGAAGAAAGTAAATTGAGTCTATTCAAAGACATGATACAGTGGATGGAAACTCATCTGAAGAAAAAAGGTGTAAATGCTAGCGCCGAATCTGCGGTTGCACAAGATGAATCGCCAGAAGTATCATCAGGTTCATCAGACGATGAAGAACTGAAGAAAATACAACCGACAAAGAAAAGATTAAGCGCTCGAACAATATTATGCCGAACCGACAAAGCAAAATTGACGTCCCCCAAAATTGGTGGCCATGGAATGATGTACCGAGATTTTTTCGGATTGTAGTGGAAGGTCCTGAACAACATCGAACGGTAACAGCCCTCACGGAAATGATGTCGCGAATTGAAAAGACCTTCAAGTTCAAAGCTATTTGCTGGAGGAACTTCTCCTTAATAATTGTCTACTCAGAACAAGATAGAAACGAATTACAAACTTCTATCAGCCGAAAAATAGTTTTCAGAGTACCAGAATGGCAGAGACCAAATATCAAGTTGCTCTTCATAAAGCCACCAGTTAATGAATCATGGATAATCTATGTTAATAGAATCATGAGACTGAATGGTTTTAAAGATGAAAAACAATACAAACTTAAGAGTTACTTCGACATGGGGCGTGGAGAAAATTTGGAATAGTATTAGAAGTAAGCCCAGCGATTCGGTCGACAATCGAACAAAGTATGAAAGGCCGAATCTCACTGATACTTTGCAATCGTGAGAGACTCTTTCGAAGTGATCAACTGCAGATCTTGCAACAAATTTGGCCATACAAAAACAAATGCGTCAACCAGATAAGATGCACAAGATGCGCTGAAAGGCACCTCAAAATAAATTGCAAATCAGAAGAGATTAAATGTGCCTCATGTGAGAGACCTGATCACACCGCATACTCACAATCATGTCCTTTGTATCGTAGCGAGTTACAAATGGCCATTTCAATTATTGACTATCAATATGATTATTTAATGATGTAAAAGGCTAACTCCAAAACCGAGGTTGCCGAACTTCGCGCGAAATAGGAAGTAACCATAACAACAAAACCACCATTTTGACTTTACTTTAAAAATTAAACAGGCAAATGACAATTAATATATACCCGATATTTTCTGTAAACAAAGAAAATAAGTTTGAAAACAAAATAAAATTGATATTTTGTACTTGAGTTAAAACAAAATGGATTTGTCAACAGAAGAATTAATAAACAAATTGAAAAGTGAAAATTTATTAAATGAACAATTCATTGATTGGTGTGAAAATAGTGAAAACTCAGAATTTATATCAGATATACTAAAAATGGAAAACGAAGAGTTTAAACAGAAATGGAAGCCGAGTCCGATGATAATCACTGGTGCCAGTGTAATTGTTTCCTTCCTGACTCAACAAGATTCGGATTCTGACGCAAAAGACGTTCAACAAAAGTTACTGAAGTTGATGGAACTACCAGAAGACACCATTGAAAAAGATCCGTTAGTAGATGATGGATTTATTGATGAAGAAATTATCGTCTACCACAGCGTAGCCAAGAAATGGACTCCACCGGAATTTGTACGCACACGAATCGAGAAGACAATGAAGGGAAAGAAAAAAACGGCACATGTAATGGCCAGACCAATGGGAATAAACGAGGTCGAGGATTTATTCACAGAACTTGAAGACCAGGTGAATGTGGCAATTATGGGATGGTATATACTGTCATGTAAAACAACACCAATAAGAGGAGTTAGAGAAGATATAATGGAAAAACTGAAAGATATCGTACATTTCATGGAGATAAAAGAAAATTACAATGAGTTGGTAATAACAGTTTTTGTCAAAAGTCAAGAAGACTATAATGAGATCAAAAAAAGATCACCAATGATGATAAGTGAGAAGAAAATGATCCATTTGTTAGGCAGAGCAAAACACGGCTTTTGTCATAAATGTGCAACACTCTACCGAGGGTGGCACCAGAAACATTAGGCAAAAGCAGTTAGGCCGTAGCCCCATCGACAACCGAAAGATAATCGTCATTATCATGATAAATAATAAGAGAACCAGGGTATAACAGGTCAACAGCTCCTCTAACGAGGGATAAATATCACCATTGTTAATTTCAAAATAAAGATCATTCTTTACTCTCAAATTTATGACAGTGTGCCAACCAATTTTTTTATCACCGGGTTCAGGAATCCGAAAACGATCTCCTAATCTACGGTCATTATTCTTGAATAGAGGATAAACACTTGTGAATCCATGACGATGATAAGTTCTATCTTGACCGTCGAAAGAAATAGTGAATTTCTCCTCCATAGTAATCATAACATCCTCATTCTCAATCAAACTCGGGTCGAGATGAAAAGCCAAAATAGTAGGTAAATGGGTTATTTTCAAATTAGCTAAGGCCCGAAAGGAACTGCCACAGATGGAACCATTGACTCTCTTGGAGCAAGAAAGATTTATATCAGCTATCCAAGTCTTGTGATTAAAAATGGCTTCACTAAGAAGAAATGGTTGACCCTTCTCACAGTAATTATGTCGCAAATGGAAAACGGGAAAACTATGAACAAAGCTAGAAGTAGGGACCCGACAATGCCGACACTCAAACATTCCAGTTATCGTAACCATCAACAAATCGTGATACATCTTATGATCCTGAATGATCTTTTTACAAAGATCAAAATAAGCAACATATTCGGTGCCTCCAGGAGTTGAATAACGCGGGACACAAACTCGGAAAATGACGTAAAACTCGGGTTTGATGGTCGTCTAAATCCAGATCATTGTAGGCTTATCCTTAGGGGAGTCCGAACTTTCTTATTGGGCCACATTTCTTCTCGAGACCACGGGGAATATTTCTGATGGTAAAACTCTCGACAAATGATGCCTTACGAACATGCCGGTGATACTCAAAGAAACAACAGGTCCAAAGATATCGAGACTCGCCACTGGAAACAATAGTATCACGATTGAGTGGATTAACGATCCGACCACGATTGATCTCGTTGGTTACCATGAGAAAACAACGAAACAACACCCGAATAAAAGGTAGTGAATGAAAAAGCGGTATCAACGCAGCATTAAGGAAACAATGTCCCCTCCAATTAGGCAATGGTACCAACTTATTCGGCTGGAAAGAAATAGAAAAACAAAAAGAAAATTGAGTGTAAATTGCTGACTCCAAACCGAGGTCGCAAGAGAAACCCACCATAATGAGAGAGGGATAACAATCAATCATCACCATTAACAATTGATAACAAGCCATTTGGTAAGATTTGGAGAAAGAAGCATCAACACCATGACCAAAAACTGTCTCACCGTCAAGAGTAAACTCGATACGACAAATGAAAAGATTGACATTTGCACGAGAATGAAGACAATAAAGATAACGTAAATTTTCCAAGGAAAGACCAGGTATGGTTAAAAATTCACGTTGAAAGAAATGCCGTGAACCCTTGAAAAAACCACTATTGAGCAATTTAACAACAATACCAACGCGAGTCTGCAAAGGTATTGACACCTTGATGAAAAAATCGGGAATAGACTCCATTGAATGGACCGCCAAAAACTTATCTGGTTAAGAAAAGAAAAAGAAAAGAAAAAGTGAGAAAACAATTATAGCAAAAATGGAAGTTCAGATTAGACATATAAATAGTGCCAATATCAGAAAATCGACTAAGAAAGCAATAGTTAACACGATAAATGGTTATCGCAGAATTACATCCATCAGTGAACCAAATGTTAAAACGCTTTCTAAATACGTTAATAACTACAACATTTTTGGGAAAAATCGACAAGCTCTCATCGTATCAGCTGATCTCACGGCGCAACAAATTTACAACAAAAGTGATTCTGTTTGTACGGTGATAATACAAGAAATAGATACAATAGTGACAGCGGTTTATATTACTCCAACCAAACACTCAAAGAGTGAAGAGAAAAATGTTCAAAGCTACGCGATAATCAGGGAACTAAGTGAAAAATTTAAGGGAAAGAATCAAATATACATGGGGGATTGGAACACAGTGTCAAGTGTGTGGCAAAAAAATAACAATGAAAGACACAGTAGCCAAATTCGAAGAATAGTAATGGAAAAATGGTTGAAAGATTACCAATTAATCCCAGTGAAAAATGACTTCGAAACAACTTTCAAAAGATCGAAAAATGTGTTGGATATGATTTTTGTAACTCCACGAATTGAGGTGAAAGAATGTAAATTGGTAGACGATGGACACTCCGACCACTACAAAATAGTAACCAAGATAAAAACCTTGAAAACAAAACAAAGAAAAGAACAAATTAGAGTTAAAAAGTTTGGTACATGGAAACTTAGCTTATGAAAGAAAAGATGAAAACAAAGGAAAAAATTCATCAATGGTAATCAACTGTGAGAAAATAATCCATTTCCTGATATCAACGGAAATGGGTATACCAAGAAGAAGAAAATAAAATTAAAGATTAATACACATCAGAAGGAGATTAACCAGAAAAAGAAACAAAACCATGGAAGAAAACGAGAAACTAAGAAAAGTCAGAGAAGAGATAAAAGTTAAATTCAAACAATTCTCTGTGTATAGAAAATTGAATAACAGCAAAGATTCGAAACAGTTATGGCAAACAATCAATGCAAACCTACTGGTTAGACCACCGAGTATTGACTGGGATATGAAAGAAATAAGAGAAAGCAGAAAACTGGTTAAGAAATTTCACAACCGACAAACCAAAATACTTTGATACAACAGTAACAACCGAAGGCCAAATAGAAGAACATGAAATCGAAAAAATTAGAAAAATGAAATTTAAAACATCGAGTCTATCAGCTGACACTTTCTCCAATTATACATGGAATAAATTCTTCACAATAAATAAAGAGACAATCATCACACTAATACAACGAATCTTTCACCGAGGTTACGTTCCAAATGTGGTGACAACGTTGGGCTGCGGATTCGTGTTAAAGCCGATGGAAAATCAGTAAGAATGGTACGATCACCGAATTACCTTTATAAGATCATTGATAAAATACTAGCTGATCGACTACTTGCTATAGCGGATGAATACCTGATGAAAAACACTCAATTTGGTTTCTGTACAGGGAAAAGAAGAAGATTATTATTATGAGCTTATAAAACATCCTGATTTCACTGATTACACTGTGGTAAAGATCGATATCCGAAAAGCATTCGATTGTGTAGACCTAGCCCCTATCTGGGTTCGGTTGGGATACATGGTTAGTGCTTCAACACTATCCCTTCTGAAGTCAGCCTATTCGAATCGATGGTTGACATATTACAAAGACAAGAAAAAATACTACATGAAAGACGAATCAGGAGCAGCTCAGGGTACATGCACATCACCAATCTTATTCATTTTTGCGTTGGACACAGTGATAAGGAGAGTTAGAGACGCTGGAATCTTTATCATAGCGTATGCGGATGACCTGGTACTACTTTGTGAACCAGGAACAGAAGAAGAAACTTTGACAATGATCAGCTACGAGTTGAAAAGATAAATCTGACCATAAATCAAGACAAGACTGAAATATACACAGAAAAAGACAAGAGATGGTTTGAAATAATCGGCTTCGACATCACGAGAGGTCGAATAACACAATATGCTACAAAAAAAAGAATCACCGAAACGTACGAGACTCAAATCTATCCAAGATTATCCAAAAACTGGCCTGATATCAATAGATTGAAACAAAAAATAAGAAACCTGCTAATCACATCGATACTAACACCAAAGCTGTATAAACATATACTGTGGGCGGTTGGCGATGATGATAAATTGATAGAGATAATAAAAATGGTAGGTACATTAACAAGTCGATTCCTTAACAGAAACTGCATGACAAACAGATGGTTATACGTACTGGAGGGCTACGGATGCGGGATACTACAAGCAATAGAGTATGACTATCGATGGATTTGGCGAAAACTTGGCACAAATGAAAAAGGAATCAAATGGATGGCGAATGAACTGATACCAATGGAAAAAATAAATTGGCGACGAATGGACCTAAAAGAAAAAAAGATAAAATACAAAGTATTCGAGTCAGATGGTAAAGGAATAATAATAGAAAAGAGCGGACAAAGAGCAAATGAATACATACGCTTAAGAACACCAGGAGCGGTAACCGGCTATGAATCAACACTGATAGGCCTAAGATGGCTGATTGAGACATATGGAAAAGAAAAATACACAATAGAATTAGATGAAAAATCCACCAAATACGTAAGAGGTGAATCAATGTTTGCAAGAGGATTGAGACAAATACTTACAACCCCGGGAGAATGGACTTATATCGATTATGAAAACGACTTAACGTGGAGGGAAATCGGATGCTGGGACGTACCTCAGAGACAACCAGAGAACAACCTGCTAGCACAAGAGAGATGGATAAAGAAAAAAGCCAAAGAAAGATTAAACAAATTATATCACAAAGGTAAATCACAATTTGATATCTTTCAGATAGATATTGGAGATAAATTAACAACCACAAAGCTTAAATTACTAGAAAAAATCACAAGCTTTAAATATCGATTTGATTGCTGTGGAAAGAAAAAACAAACAATAAGTCATTATGTCAATGATTGCGACTGGATGAATAGAAAATTACCTGAAATCAAAGAAACATTCGAGAAAAAACTGACAAATTGGGGAGAAGAGAAATAAGAACCGCCAAGAAAATGTATCAATTGATGGAAGAAAAAGCCAAATGTAAATAAAACGGTCGAAAATATATGACTGTCAGAGGGCAACACTGAGGTTGCTCAGTCATGTATACTTGACGACAGTAATAGTCTATCAATAAAATTTCATGTTTTGATTGAATTGAATTTGTTGTCAATTTTGTTTTTAATGATTTTCTCTTTTCTTTTATAAATCAATTTAACAGTTTTCACAATTTATGTTAATCCAAAGTAATCATTTGTTCTTTGTACGTTGTACTATTCTCAGTTTGAGCCTGAGAATTTATTCTCTCAATGTACTCAGGGAATCAGCCCGATTTCGGGCCAGTGTCCGATCTTCGGGAACAAGCTTTCAATGATATGATCCGTGAAAATGTTATCTTTCTACTCATTTTAATAATTCTCTATGGATTTTCATACTTATTAATATCATCTTATCGTAAACGTCGAGACGAATTCTATGCAGATGAAGAGGATGAATTGGTCTTCCGAATCAGCTTTTGGATGTGTACATTTTCATTGGCCACAAGCATCGGATCAACTTTGTTACTCCCTTTTTCCATCATTGCTAATGAAATTTTACTTCTATATCCAGATAACTATTATTTACAATGGCTAAATGATTCGCTGATCAAAGGATTGTGGAACTATGTGTTTCTCTTCTCAAACATATCTCTCTTCGTTCTTTTACCCTTTGCTTACTTTTTTCCTGAATCTGAAGGGTTTACCAGTTCGCGTCGGGGATTAATGGCTCGGGTTCATGAGACTCTTGTCCTTCTGCTATTACTTTCAGTTCTAGTCTGTGGTTTAACTTACATAACCTGCTCTCTACTTGGTTATAATGATTTAGCTTTCACAACTTTACTCAATATGAACAATTATTTACCCCTTTTATACTCTTGTGTCTCATTTCTAGGTGTTATCTTGTTACTTCTTTGTACTCCCATTGGAATTGCAAGATTATTCACCGTTCTTGGAGAATTAATAATGAAACCAAAGTTCCTTCGAAACATTCAAGAAGAATATGAAATGGTGACACTCGAAGAGATGCATTTAAATCGTAAATTGAAAAACATGAAAGATGGTAACTGTGGTTCTGCTCCAACAAGCCCTTGGTCAACAGTTAACAAGTCAAAATCTGTGCCTTCGATTCCTCAGCTAGTTGATAAAGAAGAAACCAAAAATGATATTTTCAGTAAATATAACCTTCAGATGCCATGGACAAGTCCGAATAGAAGTGAAAGATCACCCATGAGAAATGGTAACCATTCATATCAACTCATGGAGATGGAAAAATCTCTTGAAATTCTGGAAAGCAGGCGTAAAGATCTTGAAAATCAAAGAAGGGCGTCAGCATTTAGGCGATCACTTGGTTATCCTCTTGCCATGTTAATTCTTCTTGTGTTAACTTCATTCGCAGCTCTCCTGGTAATACAAAACACTTTACAACTATTAGTTGGAGTAAAAGCACTGCCCATTTCATCGGCTCAAACTTTCGTCGTTGGTTTAACATCATTATCCAAAATTGGTCCTTTTGGTGCTCTCATGGAGATAATACTTATCCTTTATCTTTGGTGTGCATCGATTGTTGGACTATACAGTTTACCAGGAATCGGACGATTAAGACCTCGACTCGGTGGTACAACATTCACTCAATGCGTCACTAATTGTGCCCTTCTACTCATACTTAGCTCAGCTCTGCCCGTTTTGGCTCGAACAGTTGGTATAACCAATTTCGATCTGCTAGGAAATTTCGGTCGAATCAAATGGCTTGGTAACTTTTACGTTGTTCTATTTTACAATACAGTTTTCGCTCTGACAACGGCTCTCTCACTCACCGATAAATTTACCGTTTCAGTTCGAACTGAACTATTTCGTCGTCTCGAAGTAAACATTGGTTGGCCTTGGACCTGGCGATGTACCAAGTCTTTGACACTTTTAAATAATCATTCATCATCTTCTACATCATCATCATCATCATCATCAGACTCTAAAACTGATTAACTCTGATTACAAAAAAAAATAAGCTTACAAATCCAAGTGAAAAATATTTAATGTGAAACCATTAACGTGTGTGTTTGTGTGTAATCAATATGCACAAGAGATATTACTTAATGGCATCATTAATTGTGATAATTTATTAACAATATTATTATTATAACTCTAATCATTTTCTTTCCCAACAAAATGATTCAAAAAAAAAACAATGAACTAAATGATTGAATCAATGACCAAATTCCCAATTATAATGATTTATTTGACTACCAAATATTGTACATCATTAATTATTATTATGATCTCTTTTTGTGTCTTGATTTGTCTTCTGTTTATTATTTTCACTGAAATAATTAATGAACAATTTATTTACCAATTCTAATTGTATAATCATCTGAATAATAATTTTATTTAATCAGCTTCGGATTCAAAATTAATTAAAGTTCACTGCTGCCATCTGGTGTCTTCTTAATGAAACAGTAGCATTGTTGTCATTTTTTGATCAACTTGTTTTTTTGTTTTTCTTATTAAATTAACTCGATTTCACAATTAGTGTTATAATTTGATTGATTTAGTGTTTTAAAACATTCTGAAAGGATCATGGTTCAAGCTGATAAACTAAGTAAACCACCAAAACCAAATCAACAACGAAAACAAGTGAAACAGGAGAAACAAGAGAAACAACAACAACCACAATTAGATGAACAGCCACCGAAACAATCACAGAAATTACCACCTCAAGAGACTATTGGAGTTGTCCGTGAATTTCAAATTGTAAATGGACAATTGAATCCCCTTTTAATGAAGGTTGGCCTTCGGATGAATTCTGGCACTATTACAGGTTCAACTCAGCGATGTGTCGCCATGTTATTAGCAATTAAACAAATGGTCTCAGATCATGTTACACCCAAGAAGAAAGATTTCTCCAGGAGTTTCGATGCCGCTTTGAATATGAGTGTTAAATTTCTGCGACAATGTCGACCACTTTCAGTTAGTATGGTGAATGCAGTAGCGTTTATCAAGTTAAATTTGACCAAAATTCCGTCCACCGTTGCTGAACATGAAGCAAGGGAACATATGAGAAACTTGATTGACAATTATATAACTAAAGGAATTGATTTAGCAGTTAAAGCGATTACAAAAGACGGAGCTTCCAAAATTGACCGAGAAGGTGAAGTCATCTTAACCTATGGAAATCCATTGTTAGTGAAAAATATTCTCCATAAAGCTTACATGGAGGGTAAAAATTTCCATGTGATAATTGTTGATGCTCGACCTCGAATGGTAGGAAAGGATCTTCTCAAGGATTTAGTTTCTCTGGGAGTGCAAACAACTTATATACAAATCAATGCAATCGCTCACATAATGAATAAGGTAATTAATCCAAAAGAAGTGATTCCGATTATTTTTAATTGTCTTTGTTGTTGTTTTTTCGCAACAGGTGACTAAAGTTTTCCTTGGTGCTCACGCAATGTTAGCCAATGGATACGCTATGGCGAGCATTGGAAGTGCCTTAATTGCTCTGGTCGCCAATTCTTTCAATGTTCCAGTTCTGGTTTGTTGTGAGACCTTCAAGTTTTCAGAAAAAGCGCTTCTAGATTCTTTCGCTCTCACTGAATCAGGTAAATAATCGTGTAATTTGACTGGTGTAAAGAAAACTGTTAATGATGATTTATTTTCTCTCCTTCAGGTTTATCGGAAGATTTTTTCCAAACTGGTAATCAACGGAAATCCGATAAAGAAAACAAAGACGATTCGAAGAAAAATAAAGTGGCCCTTTTGAACCTTTCATACGATTTGACACCTCCAAGTTTCATCAGCATGGTGATCACTGAGAAAGGTTTTCTCCCATGTAGCTCAGTGACCGCTGTGATTCGTAATAATAGTCGAAAAATTCCTGAATTTCAATAAATTAATTTGAAAAACAAACTAATTCATTTTGACTAATCAAACTATTGAATTTGATTTATCCTTCAACACCATCACATTAACAAGTTAATATCGTTCTTGTTTCATCCTTTTCATTTTAAATTTTCTTCTTCTTCTTCTAATAATCTCTCATCAACAACATGTTTAATTCACAATCAACATTTTAAAGGAGCAAAAATTTGTGATTAGTTATATTAAACATCAACTCTCGAGGTAAAATTGATTTTCTGACACAACAAATTGCTCTTTAAAAAGTTAATACCATGACCCATTTATGAGCCTCAGAATTTTCAACTCATTTAAAAGGTTAATTAACTCTTCCTCACCAATACGTCGGTTTACACCCAAATTCACTGAATTAATCAATTTCCAATAATTGAGAGTTTAATAGTTTTATTTTTAAAATTAAATTAAATTAAATGTTGAGAATGATAGTTGACCGATCGCACTGCCATCTATCAATTTCTTCAATAAAATCTCTCAATGTTTGAGTCTCATTGATCTTGTTAGTTTGTAAGAGTATCAGTTGTTTGTTTTTGTCATGTTTTTGTTGATTAATTAATTACAATTAATATTTTGTTGTTCCTCATTATAGCCTCATCTGGACCGTAAAAGTTGTACCTTTGGTTGAACCTAAAGTTGTTTTCTTTGATTGTGTTTTAAATTGTCTTTTCTTTTTTTGCTTGTTTTCATTTCTACTTGTGTATAAAAGAGCTATGCCTTTATTTGGAAAAAGCCATAAGAATCCATTTGATTTAATTAAATCACTTCAAGAAGCTTTAATTGCCGTTGAGAAAGGTGATAAAAAGGCTGAAAAAGCTACTGAAGATGTGAGTAAAAATTTGGTCGCCATGAAAAATTTACTCTACGGAAGCGGTGATAATGAGCCTCAAACTGACATCGCAGTGGCTCAATTGGCCCAAGAGTTATACAACTCAAATCTATTGTTGATGTTGATCAACAATCTGTCAAGGATTGAATTTGAAGCTAAAAAAGATGTCGCCCAAATCTTCAACAATATACTTCGACGGCAAATAGGTGAGCTAATAAGTGTTTTCAAAAATGATGCCGCCATTAACATGATCACTTTGATCCTCAATCCACCTCCTCAAGGGATCGCCAAGAGCAACAACTTTTCATTTATTCCAGAAACAAAAATGTCATGCAACTCGGTTGCCGGTTTCCTTCCTTCTCTTGCATCCTTTTATTTGTATCTAATTTCAGAGTTGATTCTATTATTATTACCACTAATATGATTGTTAACTTTTACGTATATACACTTCCAGTTAGTGAGTGAATAAGTGAGAGAGAGAAAAAAAATTAGCTCTTCAGTTGATTTGATTATGATTATGGAGAAAATTGATTCCACCTTGAGTTTGTATCTTTAAGAAATAATTAAGTGTCAAGGCTTCTGTGTGGAAAGAAGACGGAAGAAGAAAAAGATCATTCATAGAGAAAGAAAGAGAAAATAGAAAGTAAAGTAGAAAGAGAATAAAAGGATAAGGGAAGAGAGAAAAAAAGATGAGAATAAATTGGAGTGAGAATATTCTTGATGTTTTCATTTCTTTTCTTCTTATCCTCAATTTCAATTGAATAAAAGCTTATTGATGTTCTTTTCTTTTTTTCCCTTCTCATTCTTATCTTTCCATCCTCTCTATCAACAGGTACAAGATGTCCCACCGTCGAGTATATTTGTACCAAACCAGAAATATTATACACTCTCATGAAAGGATACGAGAAACATGATATTGCCCTGAATTGTGGTTCCATGTTACGAGAATGTGCTCGATATGAAGCTCTGGCCAAGATTATGCTTTATTCACCCGATTTTTACAATTTCTTCTCATATGTTGAAGTTTCCACCTTCGATATTGCCTCTGACGCCTTTTCCACATTTAAAGAGCTGTTGACACGTCACAAAATCTTATCATCAGAGTTTCTTGAGGCCAATTATGACAGTTTCTTCAGCGAATATCAGAATTTATTAAATTCTAGTAACTATGTGACCAAACGTCAATCTCTCAAGCTTTTAGGTGAATTATTATTGGATCGTCACAACTTTACCGTAATGACAAAGTATATAAGTAACCAAGAAAACCTCAAGTTAATGATGACCATGTTAAAAGATAGATCGAGGAATATTCAATTTGAAGCTTTCCATGTATTTAAAGTGTTCGTCGCCAATCCAAATAAACCAAAGCCGATTCTAGATATTCTACTTCGAAATAAAGAGAAACTTGTCGATTTTCTGACCAAATTTCAAACCGATAGAGCTGATGACGAACAATTCAACGATGAGAAAGCCTATTTGATCAAACAGATTAGAGAATTGAAACCCTACGAGGATACGAATGTCTCTTCATCGTCGAATCAAATTTCTCCTCAACAATCATCATCAAGCTCATCATCTTCAAATCATCAACATCCCTCAGCATAACAAAAGGAGTGAACAGAATCAAATCAAACAATCAAGAGCTCCAGAGGATAAGTAGGAGAGAGAAAAAGAAATGAGAAAATCTTCTTGATCCTAATGATAATCGCGATCAATTTCACTTACACTTCGAAGTGAAACTTTCTCTCATTTAAGCCTTTTTGTTTTCGATTTACGAATTCAAATCCCAAACCTAATTACGCTCCTCACAATTAATTATTGTTCCTTTTTTTTGCTATTTACCCACAGAAGAAAAATATCAATTGAAATAATTTACGCTCGATGATTGGAACCAATTGATCAACTTGGTTATTATTAAATCTCAAGGATATTTGTTCATGTTTACTTACAAAACGAAAAGAAACCTTTTACTAATTATTATAATTACCATTTAATTGTTTCACTTTTGATTGTGTTTTCATTTTCATTTACACTCTAATCACAATCAATGATCAATGATAATCAATTGATACAATATTTTATTGGTGATATATGTTAGAATTAACTAATTAATACTAATCAATTTGTAACAATTGTAAAAATATAAAATCTATTTTAATTTGTTGTTCGCTTAAATTTACAATCAAAGAGGACAATTAAATATTTAGTACATTTTAGAGAGACACAAGATGAAAACTTAATATAAATTGACAATTTAATTATAATCCAAGTGGTTGAATTTGCAGATCACTAATTACAATTTGAATTGGAAATTATTTTGTTTATGAACATAATGTTTTTCAATGAAAATGTTTACAATGAACAACTGAATTGATTGTTACTTCGTCATGAGATGATGATTGTTGATCGCTCGTTTCAATCTGACCTGAATGGATAAGCGATTAGATCGTAACTATTATTGGACACACCAGAATCAGGTGAATAAGCTTGATTCTCATCTTCCTCTTTAATTTGGCTGATTGTAGTTCCTCCATTGATGATCTCCATGGGTATTAATCCTCTTCCACTTGTTGAATTAACAAACTTTTGGTACTCATAATAATCTTTAGCTGATGATGTTGGTGTATCGATTTCATAAGTGTTGTTGAATTTTGAATAATCGACTCGATATTGTCCAGTATCTTTACGATAACCAATCATCTGTTCAAATCGATGGCCCCACAATATTTCACAGGGAAGGTAAGAAGTTCGAGCTTGAATCGATTGACCTGTTGATTCAATTGTTCCCTCCAGAATAACAACAATCTCAAAACGTTCTCGAACCAAACTATCAGCCGACATTGAATAAAAAGGAGAACTCGAATCTACTTCATGCACAATGGTCGCAGGCCAAACAAGGAAAACATTAGAATCACTATTGTCAAATTTAACCTCAACTCGATTATGATAATAAGGAACCACTTCTCCTTCCGATGTCACCTTACGATCTATCACCAAAGCCGAAATGGAAGCACCGATAATATGAGATCGATTACGAACATCACCAAGTCTAAACATTAGACACAATTTTCCATCTCGAAGACAAATACAAGCATTTCGACTGAACATTAACGTTTGAGATCTTTTCTTGGGTCGAGATAATTTAGCGAAAACAAAACCAACCACAAAACATTGAATCATAACTCCAGTTATCGATTGGACACACATAACGAAAATCGCCTCAGGACATTCCTCGTTAGTGTAACGACTTCCATATCCGATTGTATGTTGAGTCTCAATAGAGAAAAGAAAAGCAGTTGCAAAAGATTCAACTCCATTTACACACTTTGGTTTATCTCCACTTCCACCACCACTTCCACCACCACCTCCTCCACCTCCTCCCGGTATAACTCCGTCCATATCTCCATGAGCATAAGCAATCAAATACCAAATCACAGCGAATCCCAACCAACTCAATAGAAACCCCATACTAAACACCAAAAGATTCCATCGCCATTGAATGTCCACCATCGTCGTAAAAGTATCTTGTAAATATCTTTGTGATCGCTTTTCGACTCTTTCTTTCGATAAATTTACCGAACCATTTTTTAGAACTACTCGTTTTCGAATTCGACCAGGAAATATTTTCGACGATTTACTTTTTATTCCATTTCCATTTCCTCCACCATTATTATTATTCGTATTAGTATTCCCACTAGTGTGACTATGGTTGTGATTGTGGTGATTGGTATTAAATGTCGATTGATTATTAAAAGTATTCAAATTTGTATAAACATCGGCAGAGTTTGTGAAGGCATTTTGTGATTTAAATCTGTACGTTAATTGTTTACCATATTCAGTGGTCACTGTTGATTGTGGTGTTTGATTGCTGTTAATTAAATTACCTTCATTTAAACCATTCGAAATATCAATTATCGTTGATGAGGATAATAAATGATTAGCAGCATTGGCACCGTCTCTCCAATCTCTATCTCTCTCCATGATAACTGAATTAACACTTTGTAATCAAACTTCAATCAAGATAATTAGAGTTGTGATGTTGGCAAATTAAGATATTTAATTAACAATGAAAGCAAAGATGATTAAAATCAAGATCGAAACATAAACAATTAAACAAATACGATGCTAGTTAAGAATCACAACCAAGACACAAAAATGTCCTCGGGAAGGTTTTAGGTGAATTGCGATCAATGATAATTAGTTAATTAACCAAGTTTTGTATTACCTCTTGAGATGAGATTCTTGATTTGATTGTTGACTTAGACACTGTAATTAGATATTAACCAAATCATGTAGTTTAAATAGGATAAGGGTTGATGAAAATCCCTCTGATTCAAACTGGTATACAACTGAATTGTTTTTAATTGTTGATAACAATTCGTGAGAAACATTAAACTAATCAACAAATTAACAATTACACCAAGTTATTGACGATGTTGAATGATTATCGTTAATCATTTTCTGTGTGTTGTTTACCTGACTCACTAAATAAAGAAATTGAAAAGTAAAATTAACAATCAAATCTATCATCAACTTACCGTTATGATGATTACAATTCAGACGTGATAGGAAATACTTTTTCATCCTTATTATCATCTTCATTCACTTTCTCCCACCTTCATCATCATTTTACTCTCTCTCATTATCCTCCTATCATCATCATCATCTCACAATTAAGAGTCTACAACAACCTGGAGGGAGAAATTATCAATCTCCGAGTATTTAATTTCATTGATTTATTAGTTTTTCGCCATTTAAATTGTTGTAACAATTTCCACTCGCATTTCCATCCCACCTCAGCATCTAAATCCCACTTTGTCATCTGATTCATTGATTTTTCTGAATAAACGCCGATGTTTTTTTCATGTTTTCTTGGTTAATTGTTTGTAGATTTTACGCTTCAAATTGATTGTATTTTTCTCTTGATTTAATCAAAACGATTATACTGATTATGATGATGATTATGAGCGACAGTAAATTAACCTAAAACCGCTGATTCACAGGATTCATGGGCAAATTGTTGGTCGATTACTATGATGAAGGTAAAGTTAATTTACTTTTCCAGTGGTTAATCATCATGATTACGATTATCCCGAGTTGATTTCATTAATTCTGATTGTTTTTCTTTTTCTTTCTTCTTCTTTGATTGTTGAAGTTCATGGGAAAATTTTTGCTCTTTTTTCAATTGTCTACAATCAGTAAATCAACAATTAAATCAACAAATCATCGAGTGAATCAAATTAAAAGGTAACAAGTAAACTTTAATATTTTTTCAATGTTTTCCCTTGAAAATAATATTCAATTTACTTTGATGATTTCATTGAGCAAATCAATCAACTTGATTGATTTTCAATTAATCAACCTCACGGAAATGGATTAACTAATTACTCGAGAAAATTTAATCTTAACAATCAAAAAATCACAGGTTTAATCATCAAGACATCGCAATCAATTTATTGATTACAGTTAATCAAGATAACTTATTCTTGATGATCATTTAATCAATTTAAATTCTTGATTTAAGTTTTGGATTTTGATTAAATTTGATTACAGGGTAAAGATTACGATGGGTTAATTTGATTAAATCTTTTACGACATTGACCCAAATTGAAAGGGTTAATCAAGTTATTTTTTCATCACAATTAAGAAATCTGGTTAAGGGTAAATCAACGATTTGATTATTGTTTATTAAAAGTTTTACTATTGATCATATTTGCCTTTAATTGTCGTGTCCATTTAATTGTGGTTAATCATTTTATTTATAAATTGTTGTTCATGCAAAGGGATTGTCTTAATTGTTACAAATGAACTTGTATTGTGATTAAAGTTTTTTTTATCATTTTTAATTGTCTCATCTGATTTACTAATAGTTATTTGATCATGAAATTTGAGGATTTTAACAATTTTATAAATTAAAGTTAATTGTGATTCGGTTAATTATCCACTATTCAGATGATGATTAAAATTGTTTTAATTTTCTCATCACAATTAAAAATGCAACTAAGCAATTGTGTCTCTTGAAATTAAGAAATCAAATCAAGGTTTATATTTTCATAATTGATTAACTTTTACAATTTAAATCAAACGGAAACAGGATTATAATTAGAGTGTCAGTTGACAATTAAAATTGTAAACTAACTATTTCTATAAGCTGATAAGCTAATTATTGATCACAATTAGTTGAGTAAAACAATTAGTTAACTAATTAAAATATTACGGAAATTGACCTCAAGTCAAGATGATCATTTAATCAATCTTTTTATAAGGTTGTTGATTAAATGATTAACTGATTGTCGAGATGATTAAAGAAAAGGATTAACATTTTCTCAATGACATTGACCCAAAAAAACAGCAAAAGCTTAAGAGGTTAATTTGTAATCGTCAATTAAATTAATCGTTAATCAGTAAAATCAAGGTAAGAATTCAAAACTAATATGATGTAAATTTGTTTCTTGATTGTTAATCACAATGAATACGAATGAAAACACAATCAAGATAATTGCTGTCTACAATTTAATTGATTAAATGGTTAGATCATCAAAGAGAAACGTGTTTAATGCAAACAGAATGACAATTAACCACAACAATTAATTATGATCAAATTGATAAATTTCACCAATTTTGATAAGCTAATTGTATCTATTGATGATCTCCTATTGTAAGATATTCAGTTAACTAAATGATAATCAACTTTAATCACTCAAGTTAATCATTATACTAATATTGATCAGTTACTTGTCTCTAAATTGTAAATATTTGATTAACGCTCAAAACTAATCTGATGCAATTGGATAACTAGACATAATTGATTTAATTAAATTGTTCATTTGATGAAAAAAAAGTTAACGGTTGTATTGATTTACTTAATTGTTGTTGACAAAAAATTACAAAGTTATTGATTATGTTTCGGTTGATTGAATTAAAACAATCACTTGAAATTGATTAAAACTTCAATAAACCGTGAAAATCAAATTAATCATTTCATTGAAAAATCAAGACAATTAAATAAAAGTTATAATTACCATCAAGTTTCCGTTGATGTTTTTATGTTCCCGTCGCAATTAACTTAATTGTTGTTGTTTTCTATTCCTTATTGACAATGAAAACATAAAATCTGATCAAAATTTTTTCAATCAATTTAAAAATCTTCAGCAATTAACTACGATTATGAAAAGCATTTAATTTAATTCACTCAACAACTAAACTTAATTTAATCTTCAATGTTTACATTTGAAATAATTAAAAGCTAATCAATTAAAACAATCAAGTAAGTTGATTGTTCAAATTAACTCGGTAATTTGAGTAATGTTATTAATTGTGTTCAAAATTTAATTAATTCTGATTCTATTGATAACTTTTACCAATGAAAAAATCTGATAATCATTTGTTGATTGTTGACCTTTGAACATAATCAATTGATTGTCTTCATTTGGTCCAACTTGGTAAACACAAATTAACCAAAAATGATAATGTTGCTTGAGTAACAATTAAGTCAAATTGATTAGTTAAGGAAATTAATCAATCCATTGATCAAAGTAATTAAACAACAGCGATGATCAAAACAAATTGTTGACATGTTAGAATTGAAGAGATTAGTTGAGATTCTGATTGTAATTAAAGTGATACACTGATGATAATTACACAATTGTTTACATTGATTACGATCAAATCTTAGCAATTAAAATAACAATCGAAAAGCTCAAATTAAAATTAACTTTTTCTCTTTCTTTTTTACTTTCTTTTCATCCAACCCTTCAATTGAAACCTGTTCCTAATCATCATCGTCGTCATCAAGTTTCATTAAATTTATTTTTTCAAATCATTTCAAGGTATTGAGTTTAGTTTGAATTAGTCGACAATTAAAGTGACAATCAAGTGGATTATTTGAAATAGTGTTTAAGTTTTATCGATTGTGATTAGTTAGTAATGGAAACAGTTATCGAACAAGATAAATGGCGGGAAGTGGCTTCATCCGATTGCAAATTATTATCCTCATCAACGATAATTGATATTTCGAATGGTTTAAATGAAGGTAATTTAATTAACAGCAATCAAACACCACAATCAACAGTGACCACTGAATATGGTAAACAATTAACGTACAGATTTAAATCACAAAATGCCTTCACAAACTCTGCCGATGTTTATACAAATTTGAATACTTTTAATAATCAATCGACATTTAATACCAATCACCACAATCACAACCATAGTCACACTAGTGGGAATACTAATACGAATAACAATAATAGTGGAGGAAATGGAAATGGAATAAAAAGTAAATCGTCGAAAATATTTCCTGGTCGAATTCGAAAACGAGTAGTTCTAAAAAATGGTTCGGTAAATTTATCGAAAGAAAGAGTCGAAAAGCGATCACAAAGATATTTACAAGATACTTTTACGACGATGGTGGACATTCAATGGCGATGGAATCTGTTGGTGTTTAGTATGGGGTTTCTATTGAGTTGGTTGGGATTCGCTGTGATTTGGTATTTGATTGCTTATGCTCATGGAGATATGGACGGAGTTATACCGGGTGGAGGTGGTGGAGGAGGTGGTGGAAGTGGAAGTGGAGATAAACCAAAGTGTGTAAATGGAGTTGAATCTTTTGCAACTGCTTTTCTTTTCTCTATTGAGACTCAACATACAATCGGATATGGAAGTCGTTACACTAACGAGGAATGTCCTGAGGCGATTTTCGTTATGTGTGTCCAATCGATAACTGGAGTTATGATTCAATGTTTTGTGGTTGGTTTTGTTTTCGCTAAATTATCTCGACCCAAGAAAAGATCTCAAACGTTAATGTTCAGTCGAAATGCTTGTATTTGTCTTCGAGATGGAAAATTGTGTCTAATGTTTAGACTTGGTGATGTTCGTAATCGATCTCATATTATCGGTGCTTCCATTTCAGCTTTGGTTATAGATCGTAAGGTGACATCGGAAGGAGAAGTGGTTCCTTATTATCATAATCGAGTTGAGGTTAAATTTGACAATAGTGATTCTAATGTTTTCCTTGTTTGGCCTGCGACCATTGTGCATGAAGTAGATTCGAGTTCTCCTTTTTATTCAATGTCGGCTGATAGTTTGGTTCGAGAACGTTTTGAGATTGTTGTTATTCTGGAGGGAACAATTGAATCAACAGGTCAATCGATTCAAGCTCGAACTTCTTACCTTCCCTGTGAAATATTGTGGGGCCATCGATTTGAACAGATGATTGGTTATCGTAAAGATACTGGACAATATCGAGTCGATTATTCAAAATTCAACAACACTTATGAAATCGATACACCAACATCATCAGCTAAAGATTATTATGAATCATTAAAATATATTCAAGATAAATTGAGTCCCAACTCTTTCCTACCAACTGATCATCACCAAATCATCAATGATCACAAAACAATCAAGGATCACAAACAAATACAATTAACTAAACATTTGAAAACTTCTTCGAGTCTTAGTTTGTTTCAATTTCGATTGCCAATTCGACTTCCTTCATATGCTAAATCACTTGTAAAATATGATTCAAGTTAATTGTCGCTAATCATTAGCACTATTTATTTATCATGTAAACACCTCAATCAATACTTGAATTAAACTTAATAGACAATCAACTGATTATCAACTGATTGTTTGAAGAGCTCATATAGTCATTTTGTCAATTATCAACTCTTATTTTTTTTATCAATCAATGTAATAAATTAAGTCTCTTAATTACTGCTGTTTTTAATAATTTTTTATCCGCAATTATTAATCATTGTGATTACATTTGATTATAATCATACTAATAATTTAATGTTAATAAAATCGTTCAAGTTGATCAGTTCAATGTTTCTAGTTGATTGATCTACAGAGTGATTGTCATAAGCAATTTAATTGATTTTAATAACCACAATCTTTTCCGTCAATGATTAAGAAAATTTTCCCAATAATTGGTGAAAAAACTAATAACCGGTAATTAATATATCGTAACTTGGAAACTTTGTAATAGTTTTTTGAATTACCAGATTTGTGTCTTTTAATTGTTGCCAATGGATGAATCCACTATAATAAAACTTAAAGCTATTAGATGATTTTTGGACAACAATCAATTATTAATACTTTATAATCAAATGAAACGTTTCATTAAAACTTCATCCAAACAATTTAACGTCTAACGAAACGTTAATTTCCTTAAATTTACAAGGAGATGACATAAGATCGTAATTGATTGTTTCTTATGAGATTCAGTGAATTCATGACCATCATTTTATTTAATTAATCGTTGGACTGGTCATTGATGATTAAACATCGAAATTATAGGGGAGGCAATTTACGCAAATCTCTGCGATCACAAATACTTTCTGTTAGTACACGTTCTTGAAAAGTTTTCAACGAAAACTATAACACTATCAACATGAATTGAATTGAAAAAAAATCGAATTAGTTGTAGGAAAGACCAACAGGTGGCGACGAAAAACGTAAACAAAGAAAAAAAATCTTTGTTTATGTTTTCATTTGAATCTCTTTGTGTTTTAATCTTTGGTCAATTGTTTTTCCAATTAAAAGGTCAAATTAATTAATTGTCTGTGTTGTTAATAAAACGAATTGTTTGATCAACTGTGAATTTATCAACTCTAAGGATGGAATTGGTTAGTTACAATCAACGATGAGTTTCTGTTGAAAGGTAATCACTTGACAACTTGAGATAAAAATGTAAACAATAACAACATCTGATCATCAGTTTGTTGTTCATTTTTTGATCAATTATCAAGGTTTTTCTTATCAAATGAGTGTAAATTAATTTCTTTTTTTAATTATTTGTTATTTGCATTGATTTTTAAATTCTATTAATATCCAGAGTATGACCTATGTAATTAGGTAAGTTAAATGTAGAAATGAATAGAAAACAATTGATTCTTTTGGTGGAGATGAAGAAAATATTCATTAAGCCTAAGCCATTTTTTAGTAATTTTGTTGTTTTTTGTTTTTTGTTTTTTTTTTATTTTCTCCAATTTAGTTTTCCAATCTAATGGATTTCCAGTGATTCCAATGGACTGATCTAGATTGCAACCAAAAGACTATAAACTATAAGTTAATTTCATCATTTGTTTTGTGTTTTGTGTTTTAAGTTAATTTGTGATAAACGAAGGACAAAGTGATTGGTGATTAATTAATTGCCAACAATCAACCATCAAAATGGAAGCCACTCTTCGGGCTTTTTTAAACATTTTCCCTGAGAAAATGAAAAAACGGACAATCTGGTATCTTTTTGATAGATACTTGGGACACTTTTTAAGAGAGAAATTAACTCTCGATCAACTATCTATTGATTTGATTGATGGAAAAGGATGTATCAATGAGATCGATTTAGATGTTGACTCATTGAATGAAGAATTATCATTTTTACCTGTTAAATTTGTCGACGGTTGTTTCATTGAAGAGATATCAGTTTATGTTCCTTGGTCATCTCTGTTGACTGAATCGTGTTCACTTCAAATCAAAGGAGCAACAGTGATCTGTCAACTTGACCATGAACTTGACGGAAGGAACCAAATGGAGTCCGATTATTTAACTCGGTCCATCATGAGCAGTTCGATGCAATTGGCTGAGGAAATTGTGCAAACTAATCAAGAAGAAGATAAATTCGAGGGACTGGAAATATTCGCTCAGTTGATAGACTCAGTTCTCCGTCGAGTGGAACTGATTGCCATTGATACTCGTTTTATCCTGCGAAGTAAAAGGAAACAACCACGAAATGCATCGACCATTAAGATGAACAAAGGAAGTGACGACTATTGTGATTTGGAGATTCGAGTGGCTCATTTAAGGTGTCGAGAGAATGTTAAAGAAGAGGAGGAAGACGAGGAGAAAGAGAAAGAAAATGTCAACATGGCTCCGAAAAGGATTCGAAAGAAACTGGACATTACCGATATCGAAATCTTATTGGATGGAGACACGATATGTACACTTAAAGATACTCATGTGATGGAAGTGAATGTAAAAGACTCTGCGTGCGCCATCCAAGTGCATTTGGCTTCCATTTTAACGGGAATTTTAAAAAAGAATCAAATAAATGAGCTTATCAACATCGCGAGTCCCAAAGAATCTGGTCAAGAATATGAAAGTTTCCATAGACAAGGAGAGAAGGCGATGACCGCCCTGGACTATGCTCGAATAGAACAACAATTACGAATGGATTCTGCTCGATTCCATTTGGGTTCGTCTCGGAACAACCTGTTGGGTGGATTCGCAGGCGAATCTTGTAGTGCCTGGACAAGTGGTGGGGAAACTTTCGAGTCGTGTCAGACCACAGCCTTCATGCCAATAGACTATTCGAATAGTCGTCGAAACTGTGAGACAAAAGACACAAAGAGTTTTAATTGTGCAATCAAATTACCAGGAATCGCCGTTTGTTTGGTTGGATCAAACTACTTGGGCGAATGTAAAGAAATTAATCCGAAAGTGATGAGTTTGCATGAAATTAACTGTTCCCTCGATGAAATGATTACTTGTTACCATTTAAGGTTAATCACTGTTCCAATTCATATTAATCTTGATTCTTCTGGTTGGAAGATAAATTCTGGTGACATTTGGATCGGTGAACGGAACCAAAGAGGTTTGTGTCCACTAATTTGGACAGAGCCCCGGACACTGGTCAGTAGTGGACCAGAAAATGTCCATCAACAATTTGGACTGCCCATCAAATCTTCAAATGATCAAGATCTTAGTTTCTCTTGTATAATAACAAATGAAAAGATTGAAATTGGGACGAAACATTTAACCAATTTGATTGTTGATCCAACGCTTTTGGAAAGGATCGAGAGATATTTGCCTTGGATTTCCGATGGATCAGGATCATCGGATCGATTGTCGATTGGAATTGTGTGTCCAGAGATTCGAAGTAAATTGTTGATTCCTGTTGCCGATTTACGAGACGAAAGACCAAGAGAATCAGAGTTGCGTCCATTTTGGATTGAACTGGATGGAAATGATTTGGAAGTGATGATAAATGAAACAAGTACCGATGTGACACTTAGTAGGTTGGTTGTTTCCATTGGTGATAAATTATCGGGAAGTAAAGAGATCGGCCGAATGAGTAGCGAAGGGTCGGAAGCGATTCGTTTTAGTATCAAAAAAGGTGCCGATACCTCGAGATTTGTCGAGTCGCGAAATGTCCAAGATCTTCTCGAAGCGGCCAACATGACCGAGTCTATTTTTATATGTACAAAAGCACAAGCGACACCCGAAACTCCGTTTCAAGTGAAGACAAAGATTGTTCGAAGTGAGAAAAAAGCAGATGCCAAGACCTTTGTTCCCAATAATCTGAACAATTCACGAGGTTATTTCGAAACATGTAAATCGTTCACCCAACTGCAGGTGGAATTGTCCGCCGACAATGTGACCATGTACTTTGAGAGTAAAGAGCAAATCGATCTGCTTTATAATGCACTGGGAAATGATCTCGCTCTTTGGACTCCAAACAGCGACATCTCGATCCGATCTGGAGGACGAGAATGTCCACCAAGCACCAAATACTTTCCTTGTGGAACTGGAATGAGCGACTCAATCGAATCCGAGTCTTCATTCCACTCGATCGGTGGCTCTTCGTCCAATCAACACCTTCACAATTTAGTCACTTGTTTACTTCGCTGTGATACTCTTAGAGTGACCATTGGTGACCATTTGATAAACAGTTGTAATGTTTTCATCGGGTTGACCTTTGGTCTAGAAGATGACACTTGCAATGTGATCTCGATCCATGGACTGGGTGTTTGTTGGTCCTACAATGGGGAGAAAGTGATTGACAGCAATCACCTTTGTCAGAAAGCGAGTTCACTGGACTTGACATTCGAGATCGACAAGAAAAATGTGCCAGTGTCCAAGTCAATAACCGTTGCCATCAAATTGTCGGAAGCGATTTTGTTCAAAACTTGGCCAGAGATTTTCGTCGATTTCTGGAACTTGGTGAATGTCACCAATGAGGAGGTTCTCGGTTACACTCCACCCAAGATTCAGACTGAACTTCACACAAGTATAGTGAACGGAGCGATCGCCTATGGAAGTGACAATGTCCCTGCTCCACCTCGACCAGTTTTAATCACTTTCGACGGGATCACAGTGACGGCGATGGTGGTTGAAGATACAAGTGACACTTTGCTGAGATTCATCATTGAAGCTGCTTTTACTTTAAGAAAATAGTTTATCATCTCAGTGCCTAAGTAATTACGTTTGCATAATCGACTCTGGATTGATCGACATGAGCCTTAAATTGTGTGAGGCGAATAGGATTGTGTTCAAAGCGATGAACAACATGATAAATGTGAGAAGTTGTTCCGATTCATTGGCAGCACTTTGTCAATTGATCAACAATTTAATTAATCAAACAAATGAGACGAAAGGTGAAGATGATCCTCCAAGTTACTCGAAAGCCATTGGAATGAGAAAAGGATCGAATTGCGAATTGATGAAAAGTCATTTCGAAAGAAGCTAAAGATTGTCTCTGAATTGTCCAGGAAAGAAGGAGAAAAGACAGAAAAGGAGAGAGAAATAAAAGAAAGAAGGAAATAAGAAGAAAAGGACGAACAAAAGAAGAAAAGGAAAAGGAAAAGGACAAAGAAAAAGAAAAAGAAATCGACAGAGAAAAAGTCGAAAAAGGTTGGAGCAAACAAAAAGAACGAATCATGGCAACGATCGAAAATCCTGGACCAAGTACAAGTTCGGCAACTGGACTGAAAAAAGGAGAAATGACAGATTCTGGTTTCTGGTTATTAGGTGACGACGATATCGGCGCTGGAATCAAAGCGACCGATGATCCGATCGTTAGAATCTTGAATCATGAACCGATCACAATCATGGAAGGATTTTTCACCCCAGGCAAACAAAAAGAACCCTCAGAACTTTTGAAATCTTTGGTCGCTCGATATTTCCTCGAGGAAATGACCTTGTGTATCAGTGTGTTTGGTGGTCGAGACTTTGAAGATGACCAAGGAGGAAACGACGGAGGAGAAGATGAAAATCAGGTGGACGAGAAAGAGAAGGAAAAGGAAAAGGAAAAGAAGAAAAAGAGAGTAAATGTCGATTATGATGCTCGAAATCGAAGTGAGAACAAAGTGAGATTCGTCAATGATCCTGAGAACGAAGATCCAATCCAAGTTTGGGAGAGTATAAATTTAGAAAAGGGATCGGATTTGATGGAAGCGACTTCATCTCGACCTGTGGTGGGTTTTTCTCATTGTAGAAAAACAAACGGCGGTCGATTGAGGAAAGACGATGTTTGTGTCCAGTTGCAATTGACCAAAGTTCGACTTCTTTTCGACAAATTCAACGATTCATGTAATGTTTCATGGAGATGGTCATTGAATGTGAAGAAGGTCGAGATCCGTGACTGTTTGTCGGTGTCCAATATAAACAAGATGCTCTATGAGTACATTTCGGAAGATATTCCTCGTCGAAATGAGTCGAGCATGATCTCCATTAGAGCTAAAACATTCCGTAATCCAGTAGATTCTCACGAAGAATGTGATCTGAGAGTCACATTGAAACCACTTCGAGTGAACATTGACCAAGATACAATAATGTTCCTATTTGAGTACTTCTCATCTCTCAAAAGTCTGTTGGATTCTCAAACTGTCCCGATCACTCCGACGTCTTCTGGTTCCAATACTCCGTCGCCTGTTTTTCCAATAAGCGAAAGAGACTTTAATGTCGACACTAATGTTCAAACGAACGACAATGAAATGAACGGACTAAACTCTGAAGATCCACTTGACTCGAAACCTTCATCTCTATTTGTAAAGTCCTTCGAATTCACATCAACTGTTTTAATTCGTCTCGATTATCATGGGAAAAGAATTGACTTTGATCAAGTAAGTGATTAGTTATCAGTAGTTAGAAATTAGAAATTAGTAAAATTGAATGTAATCTAATCTGTTTTATTCATCCTAATCCAGGGAACAATTCAAGGTCTTCTCATGGGTCTTGGACATTTGAATCATTCTGAACTTCACCTGAAAAAACTTCACCAAAAACGTGGAATCCTTGGTGTTGATCGAGTTGTTCAATTCGCTTTGACCGAATGGTTCGAGGACATTAAAAGGAATCAAATTCCACGAATAATTGGATCAATTGGACCATTGAACAGCGTTAGACAATTATGTAAGAATCGATCACATGGAATCAATTGAGTGAAAATTAATCTTTGCTTTTTTCTTTTCTTTGTATCAATAATCAAGTCCAAGGAGTAATTGATCTGTTTTGGATTCCGTTGATCAATATCGACGTGATAGACGCATTTTCCGTGGTATTCAACGAGGTGCAACTTCGTTCTCATCATCAACAGCAACTGCGATGCTCGATCTTGCCAACAGGTAATGGAATCGATTTGATTGATTGAAGAAAATGAACAAATTAATCTAATTTGATGTAATCTGTTTTTCTCTTAGACTTGTTCATGTGATCCAAGGAACTGCTCAATTCGCTCACGATGTTGTACTGACTCACAATCGATCTCCACAACACAACATTCGAGGATCAGTGCCAACATCTCAACCTCGAGATCTTCGGGAAGGGGTCGCTTCCGCTTACACCGTGATGAGGGAAGGACTCAATGAGACTTATCGTAATGTCGCAAATGTTGGTGCTCAATCCGATGGGGTGACCGAAACCGTTGGCGTTTTCATCGGCACTTTACCTTCAAACATTTTGCATCCGATAATCAAAGCAACTGAGGCAACATCGAATGTAATTGTTGGAATGAGAAATCAATTAACTCCCGAAGCGAGACAAGATGATCAATACAAATGGAAGACACGAATCAACAATCAACAATTATAATCATGATAATTTCTCAACTAGTTTAATGGTAAAGATGAAATAATATTTCACATTCTCAACAATTAACTCACCCAATCAATGAAAACTCATCATCGCCAAAAAAAAGGAACAAAAAATTGGAAAAAATTTGACTAAAAATCAAAGTTGTAAAAAAATAAATCGACAATTAATTGTCACTTTATATTGACTAAAATAATCGTAAATGAAATCAAAAGTTTTTGATATTTTAATAACTAACAATAAACATCGTAAATAATTTTCATTCATCAAAATCTACAATTGTCCCTTTGATTGTCAACACTAAACTAAACACCAAATGATTAAGTCATATTGATGCAAATACTTTGAGTTTTGTGATTGAATTCTGTTCAACTTTCAGTTACCAAACTAGGTGAGCATAAATTTCGTTACTAATTCATGAATTTCAATGGGTTAGTCTTTATTCCTGAACTCACATACATTTATAACTCTTAAACTTAGAACAAAGATTTAGATCAGAATCAAGTATAAAAGAATTTATTTAATTTCTAAAATGGAAAAGTTCTGATTGGTATTAATAGAAAGGAGTGTATAGTTAACGATTTAGATTTATTCTTAGATTAATTGTTATTTCCTTCTTTTCGTCCAAGTTGCTCGGCTTCTTGACAAGTTTCCGGAAGTGGAACGTTGAGAGTCTCAGGTAGAAATACAACGAGAATGCCCGAAAGAGCTGATGTAAGGCCAATAATCGTCAACGGAAGGAATGACTTATATGAATGTAGACTAATTATGAATGGAGCGATAAAAGCGCCGAAGTTGTTTAAACATAAGCGCGTTGATACAGCTCGAGATCGGAAAAAAGTCGGAACAATTTCAGCGACGTACAAGTAAAGGATATTGAACGTATTGGCAGCGGTGAAACGTCCGAGGTAAAATATTATCATGAACTCAATGGAATCTAAGCAAGTAGAGTAGAAATGATATTAGTTCGAGCAAAGCAAGTTCTAAACACTCGAGTTTGAGATTCGACTTATGTGGACTCACTTTTATCAAGGAAATTTGCTAATTCGTAGATAACAAATGAAAGGCAAATGTTAATCAACATGATTCGTCTTCGTCCATATCGATCGGCTAAATTTTTCGAGACCAGGCCAGCGATCGCATCAATGAAAGCGTTCAAAGACAAGACAAGGAATGGATTCTTCAATAAAACGGCAGCGTACAAATTGGTTCCAATGAAGGTTATCCCGTTGAGAATACTCAAAATTCCGGCGAAAATAAAGTTTCGACAAAGTCTAGGATAATTAAGAAATTCTCTCAAAGCAAATGGGACCGGCTTTCGAACTACAATTGACTGTAGAACTTTTTCTGGAATATCTTTCCCATTAAATCGAGCAACAGTCTGAAGTACTTTCGCTCCCTTCTCAAATTCACCCTTCGAGTATAACCATCGCACTGATTCTGGAGTTAATCTACAGAGAATAAACAATCAACCACATTAATTAACAATCTCTCACAGCTAATTAACTGTGATTAACTCACAATGAAACTAAAGGTATCAAAAACTGAGCCAATGAGCTGAGGATTAAAAGTAATTTCCAATTACTGATGTAATAGGCAAACGCAGACCAAAGGCCATTTGTGATTGAATGGGAAGCGACGAATGCAGTAGACACAAGGAGACGATTACGAAGGCCGACAAACTCAATTACTTCAAAAGAAACAACAATCAGTTAATTGTGAAAATGAAGACAATAAAAAGAGAAAACAATTTACCCAAAACCAATGTAACTGATCCGGTGAATGCAAATCCCATTAATCCTCGAGTTACAACAAATAAAGCAAAATCATCCGAGAATAACAAACCAGCAAGACCAGATAATCCAGCGAGCATGAAGATTACCATAGTAGTTGGAACCCGACCAAATCTATTTAATTACAATCAATTAATTGTTCAATTATCATTAACAATCCGAATCAAATTTCATTGGGTCACCAATAAAACGCAGAGAAAGTTAAAACCTTATAATTGTAATTCTTTAAGATTAAACTAATTACAATCAAATTCTCAGACATAATGCACCGAATCAACTCAATAATCAATTGCGATTAAATTTTTAACCCAAACAATTAGTTAATTGCTACTTACTTATCAGAAAAAGCTCCAAAAACAAAACACCCGATCGTAGCTCCAGCCCAATAAACGGAATGGGGCAAAAGGGCCTTCCATTTGTCCTCACAAACCCAATCCCTCTGTAATTAATTGAGATGAAAATAATTAATTCTATTAATTTTCCAAGCATCTTGATCATCGCAATTAACTTAATAATTAATATCGTAAATAAATTGCTTGATTAAGCCATTGAAAGTTAACTTGGTGTTGGAAGAAACAATTTCTCAGTATGATTGTTGCTCGTGTAATTTAATTATTAATCATAATTCAAGGCTTGATGTTAATTGTTGTATTAGAGAAATTAAAATTTGTTAATTTTGTTCAGTTTGATTAGAAAGAAAAACAATTTTTAGTATTAACAATTAAGATGAGATTAATTGAAATGAATACTGATTAACTGAAACAAATTGAATCCATTGACAAAACCTTGTAGACACTTGAAGATGATTAACTAATTAGTTTAATTAACATAGTGTGTCTTTTACAATCTAAAAATAAATCAACAAGTTAATTTAAATTAGTCCAAGTAAAGCGTGAAAATTAATTGCAGCCAAAAAAACTTTACAATTAACAACAATTTGAAGGTTGATTGTTAATCCTTTTTCAATAACATTTGAATCTTAGGCTTAATTTTTTTTCAATCAACTGAAAAACAATGAATCAAATTAATAAGATGATTAATAAATTGTCAGAGATCATCTTTGTAATTAAAGGAGAAAAATTTGAACAATTAAACCTTGAATTTAGACAAGGGAGGAACACAATTTACTAATTGTCCTTGATTATGATGGACTTGATTGAATCTTGTCTTTGGTTGATTATTTAACTTTCACTAAATTATCAATCACTCAATCAATCAGTTAATTGTTTACACTGATTTAGTTTTGTCTCTGTTTGATTAGGATTCTTATGATTAACCTTAATTTTAATCAGCTACTAACTGATTGTTAATTGTAACAACATCTTATTCAGGAAATTGATAAAACTTGACTGTGATTATTTAATTGTTGTTTATTTATGTCTATGAGATAATCTTAATTGTAACAATTAACATTTTCTTCTTGAAAACTTATGTTCATCTACTTAAGAGGGTTAATTGTCTTTGTAATCAAACTAGAACATTTTAATTAGATTAACTTAATTACATCATAACAGTAAATCATTGAACATTGATCTTGTTTGCAATATTTACAATAATTCAAATTTACTAATTGTAATACATTAATAATTGAATCATCAGCAATTTAACTTAATTTGCCTCTGTAAATATCGATATCATTATGATGGTTAATTATAATCACGATTATTATTATGAAATAAATTGTTCAACTCATCCGACAATCAAGCAATTAACTTGACAATAATTAACATATAAATTATTGGTTGAATCTCTAGACCAATAAAATCAATAGTGAAACAATTAATTAATTTTGTTTGGAAAATGTTGTCAGATTAATTTTGGGCAATTAAATGATTCTAATGGTTTAATTACCTTGATCAAGGTTATTTGAGTTGAATTAAACTTAAATATGATTATATAAATTAAGTTGATTGTCTATCAAATTGATTAATTGTTTTACTTACTTCAGAAACCAGAGTTGGATAAATTAATTGGTGATCATATTGCCAACCTTGTGGACATGGAACTGAATTAGTTAAATTAGGTGATGAATCAATGTAACGTTTAATTAGACAAGATCCATCTAATTGATTGATTAATTGTATCGGTGGATCATCGGTTGATATTGGTGGTAAATCATTCAACAGACTATTATCAACGATTGAAAGGTTTGAGTTAATTGTTGATAGATCGCATTGATGAGGAGGAATTAACAGAATTAAAAATTGAGAGATCATGTTCATTGAAGTGATCGGACCAACGAACAGGCAAATGTAAAGGGTCAGTAGCTTTTGGAATGACCCAAAGGAGCCAACATATTCGGTTAGAACTTGTTCTAATGTTGATTGTTTACTTTCACTATTTTCCGATTTATCGTTAATTAGTGAATTAAAAGCGTTTGAATCAACACCCATGATTAACCCGTTGATGGCACAATTATCAAAATCCACTGACGATCTGATTGGAAGAAGTGAAAATGAACATTAAAATTTAAACTCGAACTGATTCTGATCCGGATGAAGATGAAGATGAGGATGAGGATGAAGAAGATGATGATTATGATGATGATGAGAGGAGGAGTGAGAGAGATGATGAATATTCATCCTCCTTCCTTACACTTTCTCTTCATATTTCTTAATTATCTTCCCAATGATGATGATGATTGAACATTGACTTTCATGTATCCACTTGAATCATCAAGATTATAATCAAATTGATGATAATCAGGAACTAAATGCCATTAAATGTTACAATTAGGCATCAAATTTAAAATCAACTAATCAAAAATATTACATTGATTGTTGATCGACAATCAGTTAACAACTAATATCATTTTTAACCTCTAAATGATTAATATGTAGTAATTTTCACACTTGTTGCCAATTGTTGTACTAATTAAAATATTTAATTGTGTTACAATGTTTGTATTTGATTGAATCAATGAGTTTAACAATTAAATGGTTATCAGTTAATTGTAAAACGGATGTCAATTGTGAGCCAAATTAACAATAACAATTGGTTAGGGTTAATTTGTTTAGGAAATTGATGATGATCTAATCAACACGCAATCAATAAAACTTAATAATTGATTAACAATTAGAGAAATTGAACAATCTAATTTAATTTTAATTCCAGGCATAAATGATCATGATAACATTTTAATCAACAATTTTTTAACTTGTTTTCTTTATGATGTTTAGGTTTTAATTGTTACGAAAAAAATAATTAGTAGAAATTGAAAATATAAAAGTAGATGAAAATTTGGAAAGGTTAATTTGATTGTCCAACTGATTAAGTTAATCATCTAATCTTAATAAGAAAGTTCGTATTTGCATTGGTTTTAATGTGACCACAAAATCGTGAACCTCATTACCAATTTCATAATCGATCTCATTAGCTAATTGTGAATCAACTGTTTGCCATTTTAATCGTTTCGCCTCAGAGTAAAATAGAGTTGCGGTCATTATGGTTTCTTTGACACCGTGAACGGATTTAGCGGCGAATAGGTCACGGAAATCGATCTTAACTGATTTCGAAAGTCCTTCAGGATCATCGGTTGTTTGGTAGAAATGTTCTAATCTAACAAGCCAATTGTTCACATTAATATGTTCCAATGTGAGTACGTGGACATTTGGAGGAAGTTCTTGCTTCAGGAATGAGTAAATTGTTAAGAAATCGGCTCGATAATCTTCAAACGATGCAACCGGAGCGAAAGTGACCACTGGAGCCATGAAAAGTTTGACACCCTTGTCTCGGTGGAGTTTGTTGGATGTGAGTATGTCCGATATTAGAACATAATGTTTTCCTCGAATTACTAGTCCTTGACCATCAACTCCGGGCTCGTTCAGAGCTTCGTCCACACCGAAAGCATCGTCGTGAAGTAAACGACGGTGGACCATTAACTCGAGTTGACCATCGGTTAAACTTGTTCCACCTTGAGATCGATCGCTAAGAACTACAAGTTGAACTTTGATTCTTCATCCTGTAAACTAATTCGACTGTTAACTGGATAATAATTTCCAGCGACTGGTTCGATAACTTGATATTTCCAAGTTGGTCTAAAGTCTCGAGTACGTTTAACCATTTGTCGACCATTGGAGTCGGTGTAGAAAACACCTTTCGATTTAAGATCAGTTTCAAATGAACTAATTATTTCTTTACCAACATCATCGTCGATAGGAATTGGTCCAATTTTGTAATCAAATTCAATAAACGGGTCATCAGGATAGATTCTGATTATTTGTGAAATGTGATCTGAAATGACCTGGTGAAGTTCAAACACATCTGACGACTTGTAAAGTTTATAACTGGGTGTATCTGGGTAATCGTGCGCTGAACCGTTGGGACGGAAGATATAAGCTCCAGAAGCACGATTAGTGGCCTTGGAATTATTTCCATTCATACCTGCATACCATTGGTACTTTTGTCGTAGTTTGATCAGCTGACCATTGGAAAGAGTAACTGATTGAATGAGTCCAGTGCCAGCATCAAAATTTGCAGTGAAATTTTTACCGACTGCGACAAGTGGCTCATCTTGTCTACTATTCATGGCGATGGCTCGAGAGTTTTGTACATTTGATTGACTTCTTTCAACATAATAGGTCACAAATCCGAGTGCAGGTAAAACCGCGGTGAATAATAGCTCCGTTGAAGCGTTGCTGTTTCGCTCGGGGAAATCTTTCATGAAATCAGCGATAGGGACAACAGATCCTTGAACTGAATCGCCAGTAGGTCCAGTAATTGTGTATCCCGATTGATCCCAAGGGAGGCGAACTTTATAATCGTATTCGTGAGCGTATGGGTTGTAAAGAGTGACGATCACTTTGTCATTGGTCTCCGTTATTTCACATTGACTTATATTCAGTCCAAGACAAAGAGTGTGAGTGGGTTGGGGAATTTGTTTCGATTTATCTCTGACCATGAGTGTTGAATATGCTCTGTTAATCAGGTCCATTGATTGTTTGATTGCGCTGTCCAAGATGTAAGCATAATCGTAAGCGACTAGTTGCTTTTCAGTTCCAGCGACGGCATCGTGGTGCTGAAGGATTCCCATTGCTTGATGGAAATTGGCAACGGCATCAAACGCCGCTTCGTCCGTCAAATTAGCGGCAACGTGAATTTGTTTAATGGCCTGGAAAATGTTGTTGGAAACGCGTTCATAGTATTTGAGTGCTGGTCGACTAACGTAAAACCCAGCCCAAAAAGAGTTGTCATCTGATCCATAGGGGAAGAAATCGTCACTTTTTAAAGTCCAAGTACGATTGGCCTGATATAAACTGTACAGGTAACAAGATGGAGTCGAATAGAAAACATTTATTTTCGATCCGTTTCGCTTTTCGGCTTCCATGGCAGCAATCAACTTATCGAGATTCTTGAACCAAATTGGTGCATTTTGATATTGGAAATCTGAGCCCATTGTGAGAATTAAATTATTCGTTGCATATTCTTTGGCCTGAGAGTTAATTATTCGGGTGAAATTGGCCACTTTTTCTGGAATATTATACTCTCGTGATGTTGTATCATCGATCATTGGCTCATCCGAACAAGTATCATCGAAACAAAAACCATCGGGTGGATTGTAACCATTTGGAAGAACCCCCGTGAATAAATTAGCCCGTTCACCGAGATCATCCGATCCCGACCAAACCATTTCCATTGTCCTGTCGATTTCTCGTTGAGTTTTATCGTGCCAATCTAATCGACCGAAGAAAAGTCCATCAAAGTTCATTTGTGCAAATAATGACGCTTGTTCTCGTGAATGTCCGAACGGGTCAATCTGCCAGGCCACTCTTGGAATACCACATTTACCAAAAGTTGTGGCCAACCAACGATGTCCATAAGCCATTTGGTCAATAATGGCGCTATAATGTGTAGTCGCTTCATCGTTCATACTCCAACCTCCACCAATGAACTCTAATCGCCCTGTTAATTTATCAAAAAATCAGGAAATTTAATCAATTGATAATTCAATCTGTTACAATCAGATTGAAGGGAATTGTTGACTCGGACTTTGCCAAGGGATTTCCTCGATTGATAACAATTTATCAAATCTACAATACCATTGATTGGTGAGCTTTTAATTGTTATTGTAAAATTATCTCTGGATAGTAACAATTATTAGCAATAACAATTAGTTAATCTTCGGTTCGTGATAGAAAAACAATCAAAACAATAAGCTGATCATTTGACTTAACCTTAACTGAGCGGTTGAAAAGTTAATTGTTATTATTCAAATTGATTGGAGTGGGAAAATTTTTCCAACTAAAAAAAGCAAACAAAAGATGTTTAATTAATCAATATCAAAGATGCTAATCAGTTCCTGGTTTGTCCAACAATTAACTTTACTAAACAAAAGAATTGACATCCAAAAGTAATTAGCAATTATAACAAAGAAATTATCACAATTATATTATGATTAGCATCAAGATTGTTTCTATTTTGATTACAATTTAGTCTGCAAAGAGTTTCAAATCAATTTCAAGTTTAAATTAAGGTTAATCAACTTAAAATTAACTGATTGCTTGATTGATTTCTCGGGTTTGTCTCCATCTCTCTCTCTCTCTCTCTCTTCCTAATTAATTGCTGAAAATGATAATTAACTAATTGCATTTAATCATAAGACGATTCAAGTGCTTTGGATAATTTTATAAGTTGCAAATCATTTCAAACTAAAGTAAATATCATAAGTTATTAATTTCTTGATCGATAGACTTAATTAACTAATTATGATCTGATCGTAATAAGAGACAATCAAGTTCATGATCATAATTATTGTCCGACAATTTTAATCAGTCAATGATTCTCAGTAAAGTGATTAAGAAACTTCATCAGAAAGTTAACTAATTGTTTAAAACTTAGAATTTAATTATTGGTGTACTAAGAATTTAAGATATTTCAATAACCGAATCTGAATTGCTCTTAATTGTAAATATTGACAGAGAAAAAAAAACTTAAATTAATCAATCGGAAAACACTAATCAAGTAATCATTTAGATTCGAAATTGTTACCGACAATTTAATCTTAAGAGGCTCTTAATTTAATTGTAATTCTGCTTCTGTCTGATTGGTATATAATATTAATCACTAATTTGATAATATCCTGATGGGTAAATGTGATAATCGGGCAAGTGTTAAGGTAACAATTTGTTAATTCAAATGAGAGGAAATATTTACCTTGATTAACTAATTGCTTGACAAGATTTTTCATCTCTTCGTCCTGATGGTACCACCAGCGCCAAAAGAAAGCGGTCTCAACGTAGATGAACCTTTTCTTTGGGTCTTTAGCCAGTTCGGGAATGACCGAATTCAAAATGTACTGAACTCCCGCTCTTTGGATTCCAGTTTTTTGTCCCCAATAATATTGTTCATAAGTTTTCAACCTGATCAAAGTTTTGGAACAAAAGAAAACAATGAGAATTAGTAAATTGTGACCTATCGGTCGGACGATTGATTAACTTACCAACCGACATCATCGTGAGTATGAGAAACCAAATGAACGTTAATCATATCGGGTTCGAGGTGAGGACAGAATTCGTAGCCACATTTTTGATTGGATTTAGTTGACCAGGGAGGACGAGATTGACCAGTTAATAGTAACGAGCCAATTAACGTTAATTGTAAGAAAATTTTCACCGAGCACATGATTAGTTGATTGTTGAGAAATTAAATCTCTCAACATTAAAACAAAAAAGTAAACTAATTTCAACAATTTGGTTTCACGGTAAAAACTATTAACTCTTGATGAAGATGAAGATGAAGATGAGGATGATCAGGATGATCGGGATGATGAGAGAGAGGAAGAGGGAGAGGAGAGAGAGAGAGAAGACAAATTATCAGAGTATCGGAAGGTGGGACGAAGATGAGGAGGTGATGAAGATGAAAAATCTTTCAAATCTTTCATTTGGAAGTCGTAACAATCAACTAATCATCATTAGAATCATAACAATAATCAACATCGATCGCAATTTAAATTAGCTAAATTGTTACCATGATTGTTTCTATTATGGGAAGTTTTTTCTACTTCTTAATTTAATCTCTAATTTTGTGATTAATTTTATCTTCGATTGTTGAATTGATTGCTGTTGATTAATCGATGATCAATTTTTACAAGAGCATTTTGTTTATTGATAAACAAGATAACTTGATTAATTAACTTGTTATCTGTTTATATGTTTAATTAGTAAGTAATTAAAATTACTAATTAACCAAAGAAAAATTTAAACATTTACATTTTAATTGTTCATTGCTGGTGAGTCTTTAGCAATTAGATAAAAACGTTAATTGTTATTGATCGCGTAAAATTAGCTAACCCTTTAATTGATTGATTGTAATCACAATTAAATCTTGATGAGTGATAAGTGTTTTTTATGTTATCATTGACTTGTTTTCCTGATTCTTGATCACCAAATTAACTTAATTGTAGAAACAATTTATCTATTTACTTTGAAAATTTGAATAAATTGCTCATGAAAAATTAAACTAATTAACATTTAGAGTGAAAATTTAATCAACTGTTTTACCCACAGAGTTTATCACAGTTAAATCAGTGTTATCATTGTAATTATCATTCCAATAATCAAATATGATTATAATTGTATTGTTAAGATGAGAAACTGTTTAGATATACTTAGGATAAAACCTTGATTTATTTTCATATTTTCATCCGTTATCATCGTCCTTCATCATCACCATCATCACAATCACATCTTCATATTGATTTGTCCAAATCAACAGTAATCATCATAAAATTTTGTCTCTCTGTTAATTAGTGAAAACTGTGAAAGTAATTAAATAAATTGTAATCATGTTACTTCCGTTGATCAAAGCCGATAGACGAGTGTTTTCCGGTCCAATTGGACCTCAATCGATTGTTAAAATGATCACGAGTAATTTTGGTTTCCATTGTAATGGATTGAAACGATTAACAAATAGTCTCAATTTAATTAATTCGAGGTGTTACTCGAATGGATTAGACGAAAGCAATAATTCAATGATGTTGGCCATTCGTCGGGAAGATGCTTCCATTTGGGAAAGACGAGCTCCATTAGCGCCTTTTCATGTTCGCAAATTGGTTCGTAAAGGTGTTAAGGTGGTTGTTCAACCTTCCAATCGAAGGGCTTACCCACTTCAAGCCTACGTGAATGCTGGAGCTCAAGTTCTTGAGGATATTTCTGATTCCCCTGTGATTATCGGAGTCAAACAGCCACAGATTGATAATATTCTGCCAAATAAAACTTATTGTTTCTTTTCGCATACCCACAAGGCTCAAGAAGATAATATGCCTCTTTTGGACATTGTTATCGAGCGAAATGTCCGTCTAATTGACTATGAACGAATGGTTGATACAAGAGGAAATCGTGTGGTTGCTTTTGGCCGTTATGCTGGAATCGCTGGAATGATCAACACTTTCCATGGATTAGGTCTTCGTCTTTTAGCCTTAGGTCATCATACACCTTTTATGCACGTTGGTCCAGCTCACAACTATCGAAACTCTGGAATGGCAAGACAAGCAGTTCGTGACTGTGGATATGAAATTGCTTTGGGTATGATGCCTCGGTCGATTGGCCCGTTGACCTTTGTGTTCACTGGGTCAGGGAATGTATCTCAAGGAGCTCAGGAAATATTCCGAGAGCTTCCCTATGAATATGTTGACCCAAAAGATTTGGCTCAAGTCTCGCAAATGGGAACAACTAATAAAGTCTATGCTTCAGTTATTTCTCGTGATTCTCATTTGGTACGGAAAGAGGGTGGACCATTTGATGCAAAAGAATACGATGAGTATCCTGATCGATACTATTCAAATTTTGCAACGAAAATCGCTCCATATGCTTCAGTCATTGTCAACGGAATTTATTATGCACCAAATTCACCAAAATTACTAACCATTCCGGACGCAAAGCGTTTACTCCAACCGGTCAGATCGCCCTGGTTGCCCTGTTCGAGCGGCAGTCCAGCTCTACCACACCGTTTAATTGCAATTTGTGACATTTCAGCCGATCCCGGAGGATCCATTCAGTTCATGACTGAATGTACCACCATCGATACACCATTTTGTTTATACGATGCCGATTACAATAAAAACAGTGAATCTTTTTCCGGTCCTGGAGTTTTGGTCTGTTCAATTGACAATATGCCGACCCAAATACCTTTGGAATCAACTGAGGCCTTCGGTGATGTTTTATATCCTTACATTTTTGATTTCATTCGTTCTGATGCAAATAAACAATTGGAACAAGAAAACTTTAATCCAGTCGTTAAACAAGCAGTTATTGTTTCCAATGGTAAACTTGCTCCTAATTACGAGTACATTATGGATCTACGAATGTCTCGAGGTGTCCAAAAGAAACTAGATGGAAACAAATCAGTCCTCGTTCTTGGTGCTGGTTATGTTTCAAGACCTTTAGTTGAGTATTTAACTCGAGATGAAAATATTCATGTTACAATCGCCTCTGAACTTCATGGTCCGGGCGAGGATTTGGCTTCAAAGGCTAAAAATGTTTCCTCTGTTGTTTTGGACATTGTTAAACGATCTGACTCTTTAGCTGAATTAATTAATCAATCGGAATTAGTGGTTAGTCTACTTCCATATTCACTTCATTCCCTTGTCGCTAAACAATGTATTGCCAGTGGCAAGAATATGGTTACCGCCAGTTATGTGACACCCGAGATGGAATCGCTTCATAAATCAGCTCAAGAAGCAGGAATCACCATCATGAATGAGGTCGGTCTTGATCCTGGAATTGATCATCTCTTGGCAATGGAGTGTTTCCATCAGGTCACTTCCAATGGAGGAAGAATCAAATCATTCGTTTCTTACTGTGGTGGACTTCCAGCTCCCGAATCGGCGGAAAATCCATTGAAATATAAATTCAGTTGGAATCCACGTGGTGTTTTACTTAATAGTTTATCGGGTGCTCGTTGGGAAGAGTCTGGATTAATTCAAGAAGTTAAACCTGGTGGGGAATTGATGGTCTCCGCTCGTAAATTAGATTTCCTAAGTGGATTCAATTTAGAAGGTTATCCTAATCGAGACTCGACAATCTACAAGAAACTCTATGGTATCTCTTCAGCGGAGACTATTCTTAGAGGAAGTTTAAGGTAAGAGGAATAGAAAACTTGACAGATACTCATTGATTAACTAATCATTTTCCATCTCTATCATTAGATATCAAGGTTATTGTGATACAATGTTGGGATTACAAAAACTCGGACTTTTGGATAATCGTCCACATCCCTCACTTCACATTCGAGGTCCAGATATAACATGGAGACAATTTATGTGCTCGTTGTTTGCTCAGAAAGACGACATTCTAATTACTAATTTGAAAAATTTAATTCTCGAAAGACTTGGATCAGAAAGTAGACTTAATTCAATCGAACAACTTGGTTTCCTTGAAGACGAACCAATTGATAAACGGGGATCAGCTTTGGACACGGTTACACATCTTTTGGCCACTAAATTGTCTTTCAGTCCGGGCGAACGCGATGTCATCATAATGAGACACAACATTGGAGTCGAATGGCCAAACGGGGAATTGGAGAATCGATTCATTAATCTGGTTGTTTATGGTGAACCTAATGGCCCTTCAGCGATGGCGAAGACTGTTGGTTATCCAGCGGCGATTGCGAGTAAAATGATTCTAGAAGGAGAAATACAACAAAAGGGAATCGTTTTGCCTTTGGCACCAGAAATTTACAATCCGATGTTGAAGAGATTACAAAGTGAAGGCATTCACGCGACTGAGAGAAGTGAAAAAGCTTAACGATTGAGAAACAACAATAGATTTTACAAATTAAAATAGAAATAAAGTTCACAATTGATTAGGTTAATTGGATCACGATTTTTTGATGAAATGATTAAAATGGGAATGGTTGATTAGTGAAATAAGCACATGTGCTATTGCATGAGATAAACTCAAGTAATCATTTAAATTAAATGTTTATTACTTAATATGTATGAAAAAAAAGAAATACAGTACCATGATTGTACCAATGTTCTGATCTATGATCGGGGTCTTTCTTTCTTTTCTTTATATAAAGCTAACAAAGATACATTAGCTACTTTAACAACCTTGAACCTAACTCCGGGAATATCTCCGACGGCATGACCTTTACGACCGAAACCAGCAACTAATACCTCGTCGTTTTCTTCAATATAATTGAGACAACCATCTCTTGGTACGAAAGCTGTGATCTTTTTACCGTTTTTGATAAGTTGGACTCTTACACACTTTCGGATAGCAGAATTAGGTTGTTTGGCTTCTACACCAACTTTTTCCAATACGATTCCTTTAGCATGAGAAGCACCTCCGAAAGGATTAGCCTTCCATCGGGTACCAAGATGGGCTTTCTTATAGTCCTTGTCGTGCCATCTTTGTTCTCGTCGATGATTCTTATGTTTACGTGCAGTTCGTATTCCTTTTGGTTTACCTGAGATAGAAAAAGTGAACCAAAAAACCAAGACAAATGTTAATAAAAAATTCATACAAGAAAAAACCAGAACCGGTGATGACCAACACAAAAATAGAAAACAAACTTCAACATCAGAGTTAACTGAATTGAAACCCATTTAAAACAAAGCCGATCACAATACATGTCCAGTAATTAACAAATTAAGTAAATTAACTTACCCATTTTAATTAAATAATCACTAAATTAACACAAAACAATAAAAGAATCAATTTAACAACTAAACCAAAACAGTCTTGAAGTAACTTAAAGGAAACGGAAATAAAAGTCTTCGCTTTCAGGGGTCGTCTAGAAATTTATTTCTGCAAAATTCGTTTTAAAAAAATCAAAATTTATTTTCTTTAAGAAAATTAATTGATTCTAATTTAATATTAAATTAAGAAAATTAAACGCATAACAATTACAATTGAATTTGCTTTAGAAGACCCAATCATTAAATCGTAAAATTTCAGTGAATACTTGCTGAAGCTTATGCAGAAATTGTTTGAATTTCTCATTGATTATTTTTCTTGATTTTTTAATTGGAAACAATTAGTTTAATGATTGTAATCAATAATTGTTGAAAAAATTTCGATTGGTGATAAGTTATTTTATTGATTGAACTTTTCGATCAGTTTTTTTGTAGATTCTGAATGGATTCAGATTATAATAAATAAATTTGATTCAACAAATAAATAGATAAAGACAAATTTACAAATTAGATTAATTTAGTGATGATTAGTTAATTGGAAATTAATAATTAAAGTAAAATTGATTCAATGTGATCAGGAGTTTGAGGTAATAATGATGTTGGTTCATCGTATTCATTTTCGGGTTTGTTAATTGCTTCATAAATTTCTCGATACATTTGACATAAAAGCTCCAATGATTTTCGTATAATCAACTCTCTAGAAAAATTAAAAACAATTGATTAGTTGAGACAAATTCTAAATCATCTTAATTAACTTACTTTAATTCAATACTTTTGAGAAAATGTAATTCCGAGAGTTGGAAATTCTCTGGTTTAGCCAAGAAAATATCAACTTTTTTCTGTAGAAATGTAAATGTAAATGATTAGTTTTTTTCCAAGAATAAATTGATTCAGTTAATCAACTTACCGAACATGATTGTAAGGCCAAAGCGTCACATCCCGTTATCGACGACAAGGGTGTATCAGCTTCGTTTTTGATTGCATAATAAACGGTATTCAAACCGAAATAAGTGATTATGTTTGAAGCGTTTTTGTGAATTAAACTTGCTTGATTAACGTTAATTTGATCTTCGAGAGCCTCTTTAAATTCATCAATATAATCACATTTGCAAATGATTAGATAAATATCGTTGAAACAGTTCAATAGGAAGATGGACATTTCGAGACCAGGTAATTTAGCGGCACATTCCCGACAGGCTTGAATTAGAGGTTTAATTACAACGTTTACCATTGTGATCATAACCTCTTGACGATCAACTGGTGATAAAATTGATGAATTTTGGAATGATAGAATTTGATCAATCAGGTAAATTGTTTCCATCAATGAATCGGTTGCAGTTAAATCAATTGGTGGTTGTTCTTGATCACCTTCATCTGATTTACCCAATTTGTAGGCACAATGATAGTTAAGACTATTGATAAAGACTCGATTAGCTAGAGAATCAATCTCGAGCATAGTGTAAACTAATTGTGAATCGTGAAGTAATTCAGAGGAAAATAATTTAAAGTAAAATTTGATCAAGTTTTTAACCTTAAACAGGATCAATGGTCCATGTGATTTAGGTGAACTTGGATCGGACATTAAAATTTGTTCAATTCGAGCTTTGATTGGACGATAAACACTTTCCATGATAAATGATAGAATCACTTGGATGATATTAGTTTCCTTTAGTGTCTCAAGTTTACACAATTGAACCAATTGAATTAATAGTTCCTTCTCGGAGGCGATCGCTTGATGTACCCATGTTAGCATGTCGCCGACATACCTGACAGCGTCGTTCGAGTTGAGGTCAATAGGAGGAGGATTACCGGCATCGCCTCCTCGAGTTAGAGCGTCAATCAAGTTACGAACGACAACCGCTCGACGGACAGTCCCATATTCATCGAGACAATTCCTAAATAGAACTGGCCTTTCAGAGATGAATCCCAATCCTCTGTAAATTAAATATCCGATTTCCATTGAATCTGAATTGAAGGATCGAAGTGAGACCAATGTCCATTTGTAAAGTCGTTCGAAAGCGGCTTCTTCTATCGCTCTCATGAAATTCATTGTTTCAATTCCCGTTGTTTGTTGGCTTGTAGTTAATAAAGTCTTAGAATCTTCGTGAATTTGACGACATTTTTCCAATAGACTGAAAAATGTCTCCGTCATCGGCGGTTGGTGATGAGGATCGTCTCTGGAGGGTAAACCTCTTAGGATCGCGATTTCTTGAGCTGTCAGATGAAATTTTTCCAAAAATTTATCCACAATCGCTTGTTGGATGTCCACAGTTTTCCTGATTATCAAAGAGTCGGTTGATTAGTTGATTAGAATAAAATTGCAAGTCGATTATATTTACCATTCATTTTTGAGATAATGAGTCTTCTCAAGAAGATTTTGATTTCGCATTTTCAAATCCTGAGGATTAAAAAAGTGGAAAAATCAATTAGTTGCTATTGCAGTAGATTAATTGTCAAACTAAAGGCTGATTACCTTTAATTTATTCATAGTTTGTGAACAATTAGAATTCATTGAGGCCAAGTCATGATGTAAATTGTCCATAATTTTTTTCACTTCACTGAAACAAGATTGGAAGTTTTCAATAATAACAAGACTCCGTTTTTCCAAAATGTTACTTAAATTACGTCGGGTTGTGAGTGTATTGTCGGTAAAACATGATGACAGAACTTTAATTGCTTCCAATGTTTCCTGTAAATCAAACAATCAGATACGAAAACAGTAAATTAAAACACCAGAAAATTTCAATACTTGTAAAGAGAAAATAAAAACACTTTAAGAAAAAGATACAAACCTTATCCTGATCTAAATCAGATTCCAACAATTTATTAATCTTCTTGTTCAACATGGTATTACTAATAGAAACATCCATGATTAAAATAAATTAACAACAATCAATGAAAAATTAAGAAACCAAACAACAACTGAAACCAAGTTGAGCCGTTAAAGGAAATTCAAGTTTCCATCAGCTCAACATTTCACTTTGAGTCGATTCATTTTCGGCTTGCGATTGGCCGCTTTTAGCGAAAATCAATCAATTAAACTAATTCAACAATCCAAAATTATGTGACATCCTAATAAATTGAAATCTCATCTGAACAAAACTAATTAGATGAACAATTAAGTTAATTTTCATAAGTAGCTGGAACCGTAAGCTGAAAAAATGAGCTCAGAGTGAAAATGTTGAGCCGACAAACACTCGGACTGTTTTGGTTGATAAATTGATCAACAATTTAATTCATTGATTTGTATTGGCAATTGTCCCTTAATTTAATCGCTTTTTCATCAAGTCTAATTGTTAATGTGATTTGGAATTGATTCGGATGTTCAATATTAGTTATTGACTGTTTTCCATCAACTGCTGATTGATTCATCATCTCTCTTATTCTGATTAACCTTCTTGTATTAATTTTTTTCCTCCAATAGAATCAAACAAATTACTGATCAATTATGATTCCAATGGATAGATATGTTTTCTCAGGTCTTTTTTCCGTCTTTTTGTTACTTACAATACGAGACCTATTTTACCGTGACACTCACAAGCCCGATGATTCTGGTGTTTACAATTTCAAGAAGCAAATACCCGAGACCCATTTTTCTAATGTTATTATCGGACCAGCAATTCGTATATCATATTGGTAAGAAATTAACGTGATCATCTAAGAAATAAGCTAAATCCTGTGTATTACTAATCCTAATATCGATTGATTGAATCTCTAATTAGATGAGTTTGTTCTTGTTCCCCAGATATTGATCGTTCTGTTTATTCAACTGTTTTATATTCTCTTGTTTGGTTTAATTCTCATCATCCTGCTGATCCAGATTTCGTTAAATCATTTACTATATTTAGAATTTAAAAGCCTTTAGCTGTCAAATGTTCACAACAATCAATCTGCTTAAAATCTTACACCTTGAGGATCAATTTTGATGTTGATTAAACTGAGATATAAACACAAACTGTGTTTCAATTTGATTCTTGTCAATGATTGTCCAGATTCCGTAATGATTTAGCTTTTAGATTTTCTCATTCTTCTTATTTATTAATCGTTTTTCTTTATTTTTTTCTCTGTTACAGTTACTCATGTGGATACAGAAGAGCTTTCGAAGAATACGAACGAATAATCAAGGAAAAGGATCCAAAGATTGTAGTTATTGGAGAAAATCATTCACCGAATTTCATTCGACTCGCAATATCTCAATCTCTATCATTCGGAAAATTCGTTGTCATCGGTTTAATTGTCTCTAGTATTAATCCATTCTCATACTTTGGTATGGCGACACCAACCTATTGGAATATGTTATCTCAACATCGTCTCTATGGTTCCATGATGATTTTCTTCATTTGCAACACCCTAGAGAGCTATTTAATGAGCACTGGTGCTTTCGAGATAACTTATAATGGTTTGTTTACTCAAATTTTCCTTCAATCAATCTTTAATCCTCTTAAATCGACCACTAATCAATTACAATTTCTCTTATTTTCCTCATATAGGAGTTCTCATTTGGTCCAAGCTAAAATCTGGTCGCATGATATCACCTCAAGAATTATTCTCACTCATCAATATTGAACAAGATTTGAATAAAGGCGACATCATCTACAGTCCAACATCCTAGTTTATACCAATTGGTCAATTAATCTTTGTATAAAAGTCTGAATTCCAGAAGCTTCACAAAATTATCATGATTAAGAAAACATGATTACTCCAAACTGTAAATCTATCGCTATTGGAGATTAGATGTTTTTCTGACCTTTTTGTTTATCATTGCGTTTCTTTTTCTTTCTAACAATTTTTTGTTCCTTTTGATTGTTATTAGCCTTTTCTCTATATTGGATTGTATCCTTACTTCAATTTCTTAATCTTTATTACCTATCACACACATGAATCTTGACTATTCCCCTGATGTAGTATCTCTCTCACTCTTTATATTCCAATATTCGGTGAAAAATTCAAGGAACATCACAAGAAAAGATGAAAGCAAATAGTTTAGTGAAAAAAAGAATCAACGTCTCACATTAGAATCAATTATTTTAATTGTTCTAATTGAATCTTCACCACCATCTTAGATAAATTTAAGAGAAAACAATTGTTACCTTTCTCTCTCTCTTTTCCATTGATTAATATCACTTTTTTGCTCTTTTCTTCCAATGATTGGTAAATCAAGTAAATCAGCTTGTCAATCAGGCTCAACAATTAAAAAATATAAAACCAAAATAATTAATGTTTTCTATTCAATTCTAATCACAAATCAATTTAATTACTCAAAAAATCTAATCTTTTCCCCAAACAAATCTTCCTAACTGAGCAAAGTCTAACAGCCCACTAATTATTAATTGTAGTTGTACATAAAATTGAATACATACCTAGATCCAAATTGTTTGACAATTAAAAGCAATCCCAATCACCTTAACACGAGTTATTTGCATACCACTAACATATTCAACCAATAAAGAATTAATTAATTGATTCGAGTGAAAAACTAATTGATAATGTCTTTTAAATACTAAATTAACTGCGATGCATCAAATTGGGTGGTTAACAAGCAGATACGATTAGTCACAATCTCGCCAAACAAGAAATAATCAAATCGGATAATCAACTAGTTTTTTTAAAAAAAATCTCAGTATTTTTGTTTGTAATCAATTCGGATCCTCGTAGTGGTTTTTCAAGCAATTTATAAAATGGTGAAATCAAAATCAATTATTTATCTTCAAACCAATCAGACTAAATTGTTGAAAAGTTTATTATGTTTCCTATCCTATGCTGGGATGGGAAGTGTATTCACCTTATTAGGATCATGTTTACTTGATTATCAAATTTTAGTCGGTGAAAAGTTCACCATAGTTGCTTATCTGGTCCAAGAACGAGCCATTGGTTATGTGTTTGGCTCATTATTGGGTAAGTTGATTGATTTAAATTCATTTTCTCTCCGGTGATAATCAAGATTTTCTCATATATTAGCTGGAACTGTGATCAATTATTTCAATAAAATTTTCACGTTAAGTTTGACCAATTTGGTTATCGGAATATCGATCATCATCTCGCCCTGGTTATCAAGTTTTATCCTTTTATCGTTTGCTACGGTGATTGGGGGAATTGCTCTTGGATTTCTGGAGATTTGTGAGTAACAATTGACAGATTACTGACCAATGGTCAAATCTAATTAGTTTCGTTCTTATTATTATTTAGATTGTAATGTTTATATTGCTCATTTATGGGGAGGCCAAAGTACTAATTACCTTCAAGCGCTTCATATGTTTTTTGATTTGGGTGCTTTAACTGCTCCGTTAATTAGTGGACCCTTTTTATTACCAATGGATCCTGAGGATTACAATAATGCTCAAGAACAATCAAAATTGACCAATACAACCACAGAATATACCAAAGACGATCTACTCATTCAATATCCTCATCTTATTTTTGGCATTTTTCTCATCATCATCTCAATTGTATTTGCTATTCTTTGGTTTTCCGAAACTGATCAGCAATTAGATGATCATCAAGAGCAATCAACTGAAACAAAAGATGAATTAGATTCATGGAAACGATACCTTGCAATTGGATTAACAGCATTGATCATTAATTTTGAATTCGGTGGACAAAATCTCGTCAGTAAGTTACAACAATTAAACTGAGTGGATTATTGAGACAAGTTAACCTTGTAGATAAATCCAGTTTTAATTTCGTAATCAACGAAAAAAAACCAGTAACGAATGATTAATTGCTCACTCGTTGAAAGAAGATTTGATTTTACCCCTTTGTGGTTAATTAATTCAGATAAACCGGTTGATACTTATCAGTATTTCACAAGAAGGAAATTAATTAACTTTCATTTGATTCTCATTGATTAGGTTCCCTTGGCCCTGCGTTTGCAGTTAAATCAGACCTACACATGAATAAACAAGATGCCGCGATGTTGGTCACAGTCTACTGGTCAGTTTGTACCATTTATCGACTTTTCTTAATCCCAATGGCGATTTACTGGAACGAGAAAAAGTTAATCATGTTCAATGTGTTAATCATGATCACCGGAGCTTCGGTGATGGTCTCGGGCGCCGACAGCAATTTAACTCTTGCTTGGATTTCGTTCTCGTTGTTGTCTATGGGATTCGCTCCTTGTTTCGCTTTCTCATTCGGATTAGTTCAGAAATATTTCTCGATCTCTAGTAGATTAGCTTCATTAATCTTCCTTGCAGGAACTTTGGGTGAATCGATTCATCCCTGGATCGTTGCTAATTACCTGGAATCATCCTCATCATTTTACACAATTTATTTCGCATCAATTGCTTATATCAACTCGATACTTTGTACAGTCCTTGTGATATTAATCGTTAGCACTTTTAAAAGATCCCAAAACTATGAACCAATTTGATTATTTCCAAACAATTAGCTAACTAATAAATTTTAATTTTCTCCAATTGGTAAAATTTGTCAATTAAGTTACGATGATCAAGTATAATTTTCAATTATAATTAGTAAGCAGCTTAGACCACAATTAATTATTGTAAACAAGATCAAGTGGCTTTCAAATTGCAAGGAAACAATTGATTACAACTTAAATTGTTTACAATCAACGGGTAATTGTGGTTTGATTGAGAAATATTCTAATCATTAGAATCTATTATTCAGTTGGTTGATTAATCAGACTTATTAGATTAATCATAGAGAACAGATTAACTTTCAATGTTTATTCAATAATTGTTTATTGAAGGTCTTAATTAAGTTCCGATTGGAAATATAATTAACGGTGAAAGTCCCGATTCATGTTATTCACAATTTAATAATCAGTTAAAAGGGAAATGATGATTAACCTTGTTTACCTTTGAATACACCTTGAAATAATCATGTTAAGTTAAATGATTAAGAAACAATTAAATCTATAAAAACTATTATTATTAAATTGTAACAATTGACTGGAAATCAATAGTTTATCTTAATCAGAATTAAATGATTACAATTCAATGGTATTAAATTGATGACGTTTCGAGATTAATTTTTTGTTAATAATAAAGAATCAAAAATCATCAATTCATTTGGAATTAGTGTTAATTTAATTTTGAAATTAACAATTACGATTAGATATTGACAAGTTTGAATATCTCATTTTGGTTTAGTTACAATTAACTTTGAAAGTTAATCAAGTATTGTTGGTTTATAAGAACGATATTTTCGTACATGATTAATGATTAAAAATAGATTATTAATTTGCGATTTATATTATTAATAGACTAATCCGGAAACGAAACAATTAGATAAATAAAAAACATGGAAAACAAAACGATTGAAGATCTTGTTTAACACAATCGATACTGATTGTGATTAATATTGGATAATCTAGTCAACTGATCATCACAATTACCACAGTAATTCAGACCTGGAATCAATGTAATCAATTTGATTTGGTTTTACAATGGATCAAATTAGTTAATTGATCTTCTGTAACCACCGAGGCCCAACCAGGAATAGCTGAAGATGGTAAACTAAATCCCGACATCGCTCGTTTAATTTGATCAATTTTAACCTCGTCCAATTCAATATCAGGCCTTTCAATTGATTCTAATTGTTTGGTAATCTCATCAACCGGTGGAGATGGTAAATCAATCATTGAAAAGGTTGAACCAATAACAGGAATAGAATCATTATGAATCGATTGTTGTTCATTCAATGAATCAACTTCATCCTCGGAATATGAACCAACATGATTATCATCACCTCCACCTTCTTGATTAAGTAATTGATAACCTGCCATATTATCACCACCCTCAGAGTCTTCATCATCATTACCAATATAATCACCATCATCCTCTAAATCATCATCTTCATCCGATGAACCGTCAGGAAAATTGTAAGCAGGAGCATTGGTTAAATATTCATCATTTTGATTGGTACTTTCATCGGGTCCGGTGTCGGGAGCCATTTAAACAATGAGATTAATCACTAAACCAAATTGTTGAAGAAAAATTAATCAAGATTAAGTAATAAACACAAGAACAAACAAATCAACACAATCTAATGTACTTGAGACTGAAAAAAATAACACTCATCACAATTGCTCAAGAATCAGCTGTTGATTGGTTGTCATGGAAACAACGAGTTAGATTTTCAAATGATTAACTAATTGTTGTTATCATTTAAACGTATTCATTGTTAGGCACATGTAGATTTTTACATGATAATCATTTCTAGATTAATCTACTGGATGGTAGTTTTAATTTAGTCAAGACAATTAACTTTTTGTTTGGATACTTCAACAAAAACTTTACACAAAACTTGGAAACAATTAATTAGCAACCCAAGGGATTAGTTGACAATTTAATCGTACTCATGTTGATTTAGATTTAATCAGTTGAAAATTGATCACTCATCCAAGTCATGATAATCAAATTAACAACAAAACAAGAGTTTTATAAACAACAAAAATCTTAATATAATTGAACAAGCGGGAACAAACTTTCTTACGAAAGTTTGTTAAGGTTGTTTGCCAGACCCGTGGTTTATTGAAATGGGAAACGTTTTTTAATCGAAAAATTCAAAACTAAATTTCTTTTTCTTTCTCACTACTCTTTTTTCTATTTCTTTCTCGTCTCTTTCTCTTTCTCTCTCTCTCTTTCTCTTTCTCTCTCGTCTCTTTCTTTCTCGTCTCTTTCTCTTTCTCTTTTTTTCTCATCTCTTTCTTTCTCATCTCTTTCTTTCTCGTCTCTTTCTCTTTCTCTTTTTTTCTCGTCTCTTTCTTTCTCGTCTCTTTCTTTCTCTTTCTTTCTCTTCTCTTTTTCTCTCCTCTCTCTTTCTCTATCTCTTTCTCCTCTCTCTTTCTCTTTCTCCTCTCTCTTTCTCTTTCTCTCTCTCTCTCTCTTTCTCTCTCTCTTTCTCTCCTCTCTCTTTCTCTTTCTTTCTCGTCTCTTTTTTTCTCATCTCTTTCTTTCTCGTCTCTTTCTCTCTCTCTCTTTCTCTTTCTCTCTCTCTCTTTCTCTCCTCTCTCTTTCTCTTTCTTTCTCGTCTCTTTCTTTCTCTCTTTCTCTCTTTCTCTTTTTCTCTCCTCTCTATTTCTCTTCCTTTCTCGTCTCTTTCTTTCTCTTTCTCTTTTTTTCTCGTCTCTTTCTTTCTCTTTCTCTTTTTTTCTCGTCTCTTTCTCGCCTCTTTTTGTTTCTCTTCAATTTCTTTCATTTTCTCTCTTTCTCTTTTTCTTTTCTCTCTTTCTCTCTTATCTCTCATCTCTTTCTTTTTGAAATGCGCGCTGTAAAAAAGCTTATCTGCGCATGCGTACATAAAAATCTTTGAGACAGAATTTCTCATGAAGGGCTAGTCAGATTTTGTTCGTACTATTTTCCGTTTTGTAGGATTTTTGTGAATTTTTGATATAACCTCCTTGAATCCTTGGCTAATCTTTACCCAAAATTTCGACAAATCTTATTCAAGAATGTAGATTAAATTGTGAAAATTAAATTATTATTATTACTTTGATGATACTCAAAAAAATTAGTTTCAATTAATCGTGTTGATTAAAATCACTCAAGTAATTAAGTCAAAGTATCAATCACTCGTGAAAGTAGTTGAACAGTTGAACAGTTAATCATTAAATTAGTTTCGTTACAGTTTGATCAAGGTAATCATCATTAACTTAATCATCTTCATCGTCATCATAATATGAAAGGTGATCAATTTTAATTGTTCAATTATATTGATCAACAAATTGTACCTCAAATTAATTAGCAAACTTTCAACAATTAAAGTCTATTTATAAACACGAACCAACTGAATGATAATTAATCTGTTATTTTGTTTTCACAATAAGCTCATTGATTTAATTTGATATCCATGAATTAATTGATAATCAAAGCAATTAGATAATTAAATACCAAGCTAATTATTTAGTGTTAATCATAACGAGTTCATCAATCGTTGATTAAACAATTAACCTGCAACCAATAATTATCATGAGTCTAAAGTATTCAAACCGGCTTGATCAAGTTGATTTGTTGATTTATTAATTACCAATAACAACAATTAACTAATTAAATGATTTATTGATCAACGGAAAAATTAAAAGTTACAATCAAATTGTTTCAACCAAAATTGGATCAATTTTAATTTACTTTAATTTACTTTTTAAGATTAATGATAATTTTATCAAGGTCAATTTCAGCTAATTGTCAACCATTGACCACAATCAACTGATTGTTATAACAATTAAGATCATGAGGCTTGTGGGTTTAGATTTTAAGTGAGGTCAGCAATTAGCAATTAATGAATCAATGATTAGTTGATTACTGATCAATATGAATAATAAGCAGCAGAAAAAAAAGAAACGATTATCAAACAATTTAATCAACTAATGAGAGAGTAAAATCAATCAACTGATCAATTGAATTAAACTATTGAGACCTTGTCAGATAATTATTACCAATAAATGAACAATCAATACAGTCAATGGATAAAATAATTTGCTCAATTAATGAAAGGTGGAGGGAGAAGATCAATTTGATTAACAATTTACTAATAACAACAATTAAAATCCAAAGTCAACAGCAAAAACGTAAACATCAACAATCGGATTAACAATCAATCAAATTAAACAAAAATTAAACATTAAGAACAAGATTTACAATGTAAACGATTAACTGATTGCTGGTGATCAGTTAATTGTCTCGACAACGAGAGTGCCCATGACAAGCAACTACGCAATCATTAATCCAAATGATAATCAATCAATAAATCAATTGATTATCCGGGAATACAAATTGAAGAGGGAGACAAAGTTGATGACAGTCGTTGACAAAATAATTAGTTAATTAACTTGATCACTTTGCCATTTCCATGGAGTATAAATATAAGTTTCTTCAACAATTAAAAGGTTTCCATTAGTGGATCAGAAATCGCCCTAATCATTTGAAAAATAAACAATATCAACAATTAGTAGTTAATTGAGATAGAAAAGTTGATCACAATTAACCAATTCCAACAACGGAAGGAGATTAATTGTCTCTAATTTAGTTAAATAATCGATATTCAAAATTGATTCTTTATTTACCTTTTTTTCACTCATGTTAATTGTTCACAAACAGAACAATCAATTAAAATCAATACTCTTGATTATCTGTGCTTAAGTCAACCAGTTTCATCTTGTTGGTTCATCATCCTCATCATCAACTAATCATCACAATCAACTAATCATCATCTTTTTTGGTTCTTCTTTTGCTCAATATCATTTGCTCAATTCTTGTTGTCGTGGTTGTTGGTGGAGTCTCACTTTTCGCTTCTTTCTCCTTAATTGTTGTTGATTTGAATACCTTAATTTACGTTGATTGAGATCGCAAATTGATCCAACAATTAGTTAATCATGTCCTCCATTCCATGTGCTACTTATAGTGCTTCAAAGGTCCATGAATATGTTAGGAAAGACCAGAAAGGAGGAAAAAAACATTCGATGAAAGATATTAACTACACTGGTTCTTGTAAGTAATCAATCAGAGTTTCAATCACAATTAACCAAATTCAGTCTTTGCTACACCTAAATTAGTGATCAACTCTGATCATCGGCTAATTTAACTAATAACAATGAGGAAAACAAAATTAGAAACAACTTGAAAAGTATCAGTGTTTGAATACAATCAGTTGTTTCTCAATTATTGTTACGCCATGAATTGTTAGTTTTTCAAGGTAATTAGCTAATTATGTTGATTACTTACCTGTGGTAATTAATTAACGATAAACGTTTTATTCAATCAAATAATCAACTATCAACAATACACAGTTTTACAATGGCTTTTAACATTTTAACATCCTATTGGTGATTGATTTTAATTTGGTTTGGCAAAACTCATTTCTTTTCATTCAATTGTTGCTAATTGTTCATTTTTTTTCACCCAATTTAGTTACCCTGTTTGCTGAAACTCAGGAGGAACCACAATATCATTACAATCATAAACTAATGAACAGTATTTGGGGATTGTACAACCAGTATGCACCTCAAGCTTTTCAGAAAAACCAAGAAGTTAATATGAGCCTCTCATTGGTCCCGGGAATGACCAGGTAAGCATTTTAATTGTTTCCATTTAGTTTAATCGATCTAATTGTGAATTAACTGTTTTCTCTGTTAATTAGCAATCTACTGGCACCCGGGACATTACATTGAGGTGATAACTCCATTGGCACGAAGTATCCGGTTGATGGTTAATCATCCTCATCATTTTCCATTTTCTCTGGTTCTTTATTATCATTTTACTCTTAATTGTTAATTATTCTCAATAAAATACCAATAAAGTGATCAGTAAATTGTGAAAATGTAAATGAAATCGCTCTGTCCTGCGTCGATTTTTTCCCCCTGAAACTTAATTAAACATTTAATTTCTTAATTTCAACTAATTTCTCTTTTTTTTCATTCCACTGTCTCTTTATATTTGAATTCGCATCCAGAGATATTTTCTTTCTCAATCTCTCAATTATGATGATTTATCTTTATCGAGCTAAATACTCAACGAGTCTCTCTCTCATTGGTAATTGAAGATTAATCAGAAAACGATGATGATGATTGGTTGATGATTGTTGAGTTTTAGGCTCATAAGTCCAAGGAAGTTGATGATATGATAGTGATCATAGAAATGATCATTTCCTTTTTTGCTTGAAAATTGATTCCAAGAAACATAATTGACATCATTAATTTTCGCAATATCAAAACAATAAATTAGGTTAGATTTTTATTCACTAGACATTCCTTGGTTAATTTAACTATATTGGGTAGACCTGTTCGAGCGAGTTCAATTAATCCATAATCTAAGGATTCTTTCAATAGTTTCTCATCAAAGTTACTCGGTTTTAAGGGTAACACTATTTTCGGGTAAATATTTTCAATCTCTGTTACCGTTTTCTCTGATTGGGAGAAAATGGTTGAAACCAATGAGGTTTTCAATCGAGATGATTCAATTGGCGAGGTGACATTTCCAATAACCATATCCGATAATTGTATTGTCCTTAACCAAACGGTACATCGAGCAATCAATTGTAAAGTTAATTTCCAAAAGGGTATAAACAATGGTGGCAGATAAACATCCTTGGTTGACCAGCATTCGTTGATTGACCGGAGTAATTCAATTAATGGAGGAATGATAAACTTTGGTTCCTCTTGGGGTTGATAAGTGTACGATTGTTTCAGTGAATATTCAAATCTTGAGGCAATCTCTTGAAATCTAATACGGAAATAAATTTGAATGTTGAATTTCCTGGTTAATAGATTGAGTTGACAATTTGATGAGATTTTGTCTCCACTGTCGACATCGGTTTTTAGAGAGTCTAAAAATTTAACGGTTGCTGTGTAATTGGAATGAAATTGATCAGGATTACCGGAGGCAAATAGTGATGGACTTTGAAGTGTTAAAGATGTAACCACCTCATTCCAGATACGATTGATAAACCAGGCAGCACATTCAGTTTCAAGATAAAAAAATACATTCAATTGACTGGTGAGAACATTTTTGATATCGTTGAAAAATTTTTCTGTTCCCAAGGCTTCCAATCTTGACTCTGATATAACAGAAATTAGATAAGGTCTAATCTTGGTGATTAAAATTTTCTCTAGAACATTTAATTGTCCGTTGAGAAGGAATATTGTGTAAAGACGTTCAATTGTATCTCCTTCCGAACAAGATATTGCTCGGGTGAATGCTTTTTCCAAAATTCGTCGAACTCTTTCTGATAACAATTTAGATCTTGACTCTAAGTCTCCAGATGAAAAGATCACTGTTGGTCCAGAATTGTTGAATTCTAAGTTGACAATTATTTCCTCCATTTGAATGGCAATCCTTTCAATCAGGTTGATATCTGTTGCATTGGTTTCACCATTTTCAATGGTATCACAGAGATTTTCAACCTTTTGCATATTTCGGTGAACATTTAACATGGATTCAATTTTTTTTCTCTTAACTCGTGTAAACTGCAATTGTTTCATCCTCTCGGTAATCTCACCAAGAGCAGAACTAAAATTTGATTCAACCAATTTAATATCATTTTGCATACTTTCCAACGGTTCAATTAGCTTAGTAATATTAGTGCCAAGACCAACCAAATCATCCATAAGGTTGATAAAATCACTATAATCTTCATTGATGGTATCAATAAGGGCAACTCGACAAGCTTTTAGATAACTATTAAGATCTTGTCTTAATTGTTCTAGTGAGATATCATTCCGATGATTTTTAATAAAATCATCTACCGTAAAATTATCCTCAAGAAATTCATCACCAGAGAAACAAAATCCTTCACTAACTGGAGGTAAGGAATTAACATCCATCGTCACGAGAATGTTTTAACCAAACGCCATTCAGAACCAATTCAATCAAGATGAACACCTAAAGATAACGCAAGTAAAAATAAAGATAAATAATTAATCCAATTGTTAAAATAAAACTAAAACAAATAATTAAACAAAAACAAAACAACAAAACAACAAAAATTCAAAACCGAAATTCAGAAAACCGATCAGATGTTTTGACGTAGAATTTTTGCGAAACACTAGCGCCATCTAGTGTTCGATTTCCAAACTAATTGTAGGAAAAAAATTTTCCACCAAAAGGTAAACACAAACACTTTTTGTCCGAAACGTTTTTAAATTGATCAACAACAATTAGCAAGAGAATCGTTTTTATTTCTTAATTAAAGTAAGTCAATTGTTTTCCAATTGGACCCAACCCTTAACCCTTTGCAATCACATCGATTTTGTTTATTTTCCCTTCTTGTTTTAACCTCCAAATGATATTTGATTTGATGTTTGTGTTTGATAAAAGCGTTGGTGTATCATAAGGGTTTAGTGAGAAATTATTTATCTAAACTTAATTAGCTTTTTGGTTAATTACATTTGGATACAATGTGAATATCAATTAGTGTATATGCCTTTTTGTTAGAAACACTCACTAATATTAACATAATAATCATATAGTCTGTTTATTTGTTGCCTCATTTATTTACTAATCAATAAGATGAGATGATTGTAACAGCAACAAGATTATCCTGAACACTGGAAGCAAACTGTTAATTAGTCAATGATTAGAGTCTTAAACAACCATTATGCTACCAGAATGTAAACAATTAACCTTTTATCTAACTTTTTATCTCAACAATTAGCTGGTTAATTAGACATTTGATCAGTCCCAGAGTATTGAAGCTACTTGTTATTAGACTTTATTGTCTTCCTATTCAGAACTGATTGTTATTAACAATTAACAACATTTCTCGATCAATTGTTTATTCATTAATTTATTTTCTTTCACCTCCATGAACATTAACATTCTCATTAAAATTGATTGATGAATTTAATCAATTTCCTTCACAATCAATAACCTAATTTGTTTCCATTCAACTTAACCAATTCTTTTGTTTTTAATTTTCTTAATTGCAATTAGATGGGTCGAAGCGAGATAATTATGAATACTTTGGGTGCCTTCGTTGTTTTTGGCTTCTTTTCGTTGATGTTTTCTTCAAACAATATTCGTGATGATGTTTTGGTAAGAAAGTTAATCTACGACTAATTACCGAATTCTAATCAATTCCAATAATCCCATCAATAGAAATATCAAGAAAACGATCCAAGGAAAGTCGATAAAAACTCTCAAATAATGAAGATATTAAAAAATTCGGAACAATCAAAGGAACCAGTTTATCGATGAACAATCAATTTATCGTTTCTCTCATCAATCGGATTAACGCAAACAATTAACCAGCAATCATCAACTTCGCTCATTGAATGGATTTTACTCTTCCAATGGTTGATTAATATGATATTACAATAGGTGGAAAACCTTAGTAAAGTAAATCAATTACAATCAATTTTAATTGTAAACATAATTTAAAGATTATCATCAACAATATCCTGTTGTTTATCATCTTGATGATAAAAGATGAGGATGAACAAAAAAGGAGGAGGATAAATGATGAAAGGAACCATGAATTAACCGGAAGAGTAATAATAACATAGCTTTTAATGATATTTTAAACTTAATTAGATTGTTAACAATTTACTATTCTTGTTTCCATTTCCTCAATTTGATAATCAAATTTAATGATTGTTTAAACAAACATTGTTAGCTCAGTGTCTTCATTAAGCTGAGAACCAGAATTTATTTATTATTATATTTTATAAGAAAACAGTTAATTGTATTATCCTAAACTGTTAATCAAACCAATTAACAGATCAATTGATCAGCTTTTCATCATTTGAGACATCAAATTGTTTCATTAAATTGAACAACTCTGTTCACAATCAATATCATATGTTATTGATACTTAGTCTCAGTTGAAATAAATTGATCACAACTGATTACGCCCAACAATTAATGATTTAACTTTCATCACAATAATTTAATGATAATCATTGGAATAGAGGTCAAGCCGAGTATATATTTCAACTAAATTAACCATGATCCATGATAAATCAATCTTATTCAGGGTTGGAACAATTTAATGAAAGTGATTAACTGAACAACTCAAAAAATCTCAACGATCCCAAACAATTAACTCTTAATTAAGAAAGAAACAAATTGATCATCGATTATCATTAGATATAAATTGAAAGTCACTGAATTAAAATGACGATTATTATGATAATCAAATTAATCGTCAACGATGATACCAAATAAAAACCTCAACCACACAATTAACTGATTAACACTAACAAAGCAATTAACTTTATCTAAAATAAGGTAACATTGATAATCCAAGAAATTAGCCAAAGTGATTAAAAGATAATCACAATCAACTTTAATAATTGTCTCTCGAATCAAAATCCCACCATTAAAATGATTTAAACCCAATCAAAAGGAAAACACATGACAATTAATAATTAACAATTTTCTGTCTAATTGTAACCTAACAAAATTGAAGAAAACCGTTAATTACTAATTTGGAGAAACTAATTGTCATCGAAATGAATAGTTAACATTAACCTGAAGCAATCGGAATAACAATCAACTTAAATTACGAATTCGAGTTAATTGTCTTAGATAATCAAATACTCGGATGATAATTCATTCAATTGATTCTCTCACTACCTCGCCCTGTCTTCTCTTACTTTTCTCTTACTCTTCTTTCTCTCATCTTCCCTTATCTTCCTCTTTCTTTTTTCTCTTTCTTTCCAAAGTGTAGGTTGAGAATAGAGTTTGTTGTCTATCGTTTTTTGCTTCTTCTCTTCCTTTGCCTTTCCTTTTCTCTCTCTCTCTCCTTTTACATTCCAATTCTAAACTAGGTTCTTATCCTCCTCATCCTTTCATCATCTCCATCATCACCAGTTTCCATTTGTATTAATTGTTTTTCTCCAATTTAAATTGTTCTCACCTTGATTGTTTCTCTATTTTTGATATTCACCATTGCGGAAGAGGCTTTAATCTAACTATGATCAGAGATGAAACCAGTTTACAAATAAATCTGTTAATTACTCATTTACATTTATCCGAATCAAGTTTATCTTCCTCCCACTTTAATATCCTCTGTCATCTGATTGCTAATTGTCCTACTAAAAGTGTACCTCTTACAACCTCCAGTTACCGTGTTAATTATTGTATTAATTACTATTATTGGTCCAACAACAACAACCATGGTGATATTGATTGTTACCATTGCCTTCATCAACCTTTGGTCAACCGAATCTTCAATCAAGCAAAACCTTTGATAATCAACAGTTGGAAACATTTGTCTATTTTATTCAATTTAACTCAATTAATTGCTTGTTATTACCATTTATCTTCACCTTTATTAGTATTATATCAATTGTTATCATCGTCATCATCATTGAAACCTTTGGCTTTGTTTGTTATTATTGTACTTTTATCATCATCTTTGTTGATACATAAACAAGAATCTGTGAAAGATAAACAAGTAAACAAACATGTCAAACCTGAGACCAGGTAAAAATGTTTCATCTTCAACCTCTAAATTGCAATCAACCCTTAATTCATCATCATCTTCACCACCCACAAGTTCATCTAAAGTGAAAAATGATGTTCCAAAAGGATTAAGGTCAGTTAAATTATCCAAAGGTCCTTCAGGTTTAGGGTTTAACATTGTTGGTGGAGAGGATGGTGAGGGAATCTTCATTTCTTTCCTTCTCGCCGGTGGACCCGCTGATTTATCCGGTAAATTACATAAAGGAGATCAAATAATCTCAGTGAATGGAATTGACCTTGGCGGATGTACCCATGAGGAAGCCGCTGGAATCCTTAAAGCATCAACCGGAGAGATAATCCTTCTAGTTGAATATCATCCAGATGATTATGCAAGATTTGAAAAGAAAATGGTAGAGATGAGAGAAGGATTAATTCTGAATAATGTTTCCGGTAACCTGATAACCCGAACCAAGCGAAGCCTCTTTGTCCGAGCTCTTTTTAATTATGACCCAACACGTGATTCTGGTTTACCAAGTCGTGGATTGGCCTTCTCATTTGGTGATATTCTCAATGTGATCAATGCCTCGGACGATGAATGGTGGCAAGCGAAAAGGATTAATCCAGGAGGAGGACAAGAGAGCACTTTTGGTATTATCCCTTCGAAGGGGAGGGTGGAAAAGAAAGAGAAAGCCCGTTTAAAGTATGTCAAATTCTCGGACAGTGGTGACCACAGTTCCACGGATGGAAAGAAATCAAGTTCCGGCTTATTGGTGGAAAAGAAGAGGAAAAATTTTTCCTTCTCTAAAATATTAGCCTTCATTAGATCAAAAGATAATGACAAAGATCTTAGTGCAAGTAAAGATTTTTCTCTCTCAAAGGATGGTCATCATTTCTCATCATCTGAATCAAATCTTGGTGCTGGACCCAAAACTGGAAGCGTGAAAATGATAAAATTAAAGATGAAACTGTTAACTTAATATTTTCATATGAATCTGTAGTTAGACAGACCATTGACTATATAAGACCAGTTATAATTTTGGGTCCTTTTAAAGATAAATTTAACGACGATTTAATTGCAATGCATCCTGATAAATTTTGTGCCTGTGTACCACATACAACACGATTAGCCCGTGACAATGAGCTCGATGGACGTGATTATTATTTTGTCTCTCGAGAAACCATGGAGAAAGATATTGCTGCCAATCTATTCATCGAAGCTGAATCTGATATTTATAATGATAATCTTTATGGCACTTCGATTGCTTCGGTTAAATCGATTGCCGGTTCTTTTACCACTGGACGTCATTGTGTTCTCGATGTTGGCATAAGTTCAGTTCGAAGGCTTCAATCAAGTGGACTGTTCCCAATTGTTATCCTAATAAAACCTAAATCCGTTGAATCTTTAATGGAGATTAATAAAAGATTAACTTGGGATCAGGCGAAATTATTGTTTGACAAGAATATCAAAATGGAACAAGAATTTGCTGATCATTTTACCGCAATTATATCAGGATTTACGCTCGATGAACTTTTAGCTAAAATTGTATTGATCATTGATGAATATCGTGGACCAGAAATTTGGATACCATCAAAGGAAGAGATTTAATTACATGCAAAACAATCATAAAGAGTAAAAACAATTAACGGAATGTTAATCATTCACTAGCTACAGATTAACATCAATCTACTCATGGATCATTATCATCACTATCATCATCATTTTTCATCATCTTTTTCCTTTCTCATTTAATTGGAAAATCTTTTCACCCTCATTTTTCCAGATTCATGGTGATTTCGTTTTTCAGACAATCAGGCAAGATGGAAAAAGAATCAAGGAATTACCAATGAATATCAAAGGAGAAAAGATTTATGTTCAACAAGGAAGCAAAAGAATCAAGAAGCAGCGATCATTTTTTTTCTCGACTTGATGGTACAATTTAAAGTTCTATAAATATAAACACGATTATGGTTTCACTATTTTGACCAATGGTGCTGATCGAGAGTCACTCGCCAAAGAAAGCTGTTGATTGATAATTATTTCAATCCATCAAGTTATCAACGATTAACAATCACCTTAGCCAGAGATTTAGAGTTTGATTGTTACAGTGATTTCAACTTGAATTGGTAGTTTCTTCACATGAAACGAAATGGAAAATCTTTCAAATGAAAGGATTAACTCCTTAAATCTTTTAAAAGTAAAAAGTTTATTTGGTCATCCCATTGAGAATAGACCCGAAGATAGCCAATTGATTTTAAAGAAATTTATTTCGAATTTGAAGAAATTCCAATTCTTTTCGAAAGAGATTATCTTAATCGTTTTAGTGAATAGAGATTATCCATTTTATTTGAAAAAATTTCCATTTCATTGTAAAGAAACAACCAATTCAAGTCGAAATCATTAATCATAACTATTATTATGTTTCCTTTTGTTTTTAACTCGTCAGTTTTTCACTTCAAGATTGTCGATTAAGGTTAAGACCCATTCCTATTAGATAATTATCCTGATTTGTAGCTATTTAATTGCGTCCGTATTTCTAATAGATTTTAGATTGAGCATTTTTTTCATAACCTTTTGTGTTCTTAATTATGTTTATCTTGGTTTCATATCCAAATTTAAGCATTTTAATTGTTCTAACTATTAGTTTCTCAATTTTTTTCTTTCCTTTTCGATTGATTGAGAAAAAAAATTCTTCTAATGTTACCTAATTACTTTCAAGTGAAAGTTGATTTCTTTTCATTGATAACATTATGTTCAAACATTGTCTTGTCGTTTAATTGTCCTGATCCTAAATTGAACGCTGATTTACAATCAATACCAACAAACCAACACAACCTTAATCACCATCGACAAACCATTGCCAATCTGAACAGATTCTGATTCTGAATCTGATTTTCTACAAGGAACAAATCAATCATAATCTCCAAAGTATTTTCACCATGAGAGCTTGATTAACCTCTTAATTGTAATAACTACTGGCTTTTAATTGTCACCATTATCATAAATCCATCCACCACCCACCAAATCATTTAACACCCAAACTACAAATATCTTTTAATTTTCAAGCCATCTCTCTTTCTCTCTATTTAAATTCTGATTAATTATCATTATCACTATCTAATTATTAAACTGCCTCAACTCTGGAATCAATGATTATTAATCATCATCATGATAATTAACTTTTCTCTTTCTCTCTTCATGATGATGTCTTTTGTTTTGGAAGAACCAAATTTAACAATTCAACGAAAAGAAAAACAAATTAACTAATATGTTACATCATCGCTTAATTATTATTGATTATTATGTATTTTAATTTGAAATCATTTTTGCCTTTTAATTATTGAGCAAAAAACAAATTGTATTCCCGTGGCCAAGTTAATTGTAAATCTCAAAAATTACACAAATTTAACAACAATCAGAAAAAAACAATTTATTAATTACTGTGAGATAAACAAAAGTCTAATGTTGAATCATATTAAAATGCAATATTGTTATAATAAATTGTTTCCCGAAAGAGAAATTAAAAAAAAATTAATCACAATAAACTTAATTGCTGATCAATTTGGTTTTGGTTACTAGTAAATGTTTCATAATGTTACTGATCAATTTCGTGGCAATTTGATCAAATTTGGACATTCAATTGAATTAAGTACCATATTATTTGATGATAGATTTTCATGGAGCAATTAAAAAGTTAATTGTTTGCAATTCGATTGAAATTTGAATTGATTAATTTTCGATTTTTTGAATTTCCCTCTTTTCTTTTTAAGTCCCGCCTTTTCTACTTTTGCTTTTGCTTTTTAATAACAACAACAAACAATTTTGTTCATTTTTATGTTTGATTGTTGACTTGATTTTTGATTAACCGCAGACTTGAAGGATGGTTAATCTGATTGTCTCTTTTATTGATTGATTATTTTAAAAGGGGGTTCCTCGTAAATTATTTACTCCCTTTGTTTCCAGTCCAAAAGTGTGTCAATTTGTTGATTGTTGATCAACTATGTTCAAAGGAAAAGGTTGGTTCACTTCTTGGGCTAATAGTAAGCCTAAGAATCCACATTCAATTGATCATCTCAAGTAAGTTGAATATTTTTTATTTACCATGGGAAATTTTCCTCCTTTTGTCACAGTTTCACATCGAATTAAAAAATTCAACACTCAAATTAAGACTAAAATTCCAGATTCAATTATCTCCTGTTGTGTCTCTATGAAACGATCTTTTTTATTAATTCTCTTTAATATTCTGACATAATCTTTTCTCTTGATTGTTTTGTTTTGTTTTTCTTCCTCTCAATCAGGTATCTCTACAATGTTATGGCGAAGAATCAAATTGTCACGGAAGCAAATAAAACTCTTCTAGTTGAAACATTGAGAAGTATTTCCGAGATATTAATTTGGGGTGATCAGAATGATTCAACGGTTTTCGATTTTTTCTTGGAAAAGAACATGTTATCATTTTTTCTCGATATTATGGCCCAAAAATGTGGAAGTTACGTTTGTGTCCAATTACTACAAACTTTAAATATTCTCTTCGAGAATATAAGAAATGAAACATCAATTTGTAAGCGAACTTTGAATGTCTTTAATTGTATTTACTCTCATTCTAATCTTATCCCGTCTTCTTTTCATCCCAACAGATTATCTCTTGTCAAACAATCATGTAAATTCAATCATTGTTCATAAATTTGATTTCTCCGATGAAGAAGTGATGGCCTATTATATTTCTTTTCTCAAAACTCTCTCATTGAAATTGAATACACATACAATTCATTTCTTCTTTAATGAGAATACAAATGATTTTCCTCTCTACACCGAGGCTATCAAGTTTTTCCATCATCCAGAAAAAATGGTTCGAATTGCTGTTCGTACATTAACTCTCAATGTCTTTAAAGGTAGAGAGATAACTCCTCCTGAATCATGTTCCAATGTCCTTGATCATCAATTCTTTATATTAACTAATCATCTGAATTTTTAATTCTTATTCCTAATTCCAGTTAAAGAGAAATCAATGTTAAAATTTGTCACCGATCGGACGGCAGCTCCATATTTCTCAAATTTAGTTTGGTTCATTGGTAATCATGTTCTAGAAATAAATTCATGTCTTCGTAAACAAATCAAAGAGTAAGTAGCTGATTAAATGTTAATCATTCAATGATGATTTTCGTTTCCTTTCACAAATTGACAAATAATGAGCTTATTTGTTATTACCGATAAATGGAAACAGTTAGTAGTTGATTGTTTTTACGCCCATGATATTTTCTTTGGTAAAATATGACTTGTATTTTCATAATTCTCATTGAGATAGGAAATGCTTTTAGAAAGTCATTTAACTAATTGTTTTCTTTATTATTTTTTCTCTCTCTTTTTATTTCCTCAGTCACCAGATGCTCATTAGACTTGACGATCTCGTTGCTGAACATTTGGATCATCTTCATTACCTGAACGATATTTTACTTCTTCGTATCGACGATTTAAATGAGATATTAACTGATCACCTTTTAAACCGCTTACTGATTCCATTGTATATTTACTCTCTAATCACGCCGACTACTCAAGATGAATCATCTAATCGTCCAAGAATATCTCAAATTGTGTCTCTCTTCCTTGTCTCTCAAGTCTTCCTAATAATCTCATACGATTCATTGGTACAAAAACTTGTAAGAATCATTGTAAATGGGAAAATGTCAATATTTGAGAAGCCAGAATTTTCTGCACCTCCAGAGACTCTTGAAGAGTCTCTTGTTCAAGCAATACGATTACCTTGTGATACCTTTAATAGCAGTCAAATTGATTCTGGAGGAACCATTGATGAAGAAATTTATTTTAATCTACCTACTTCAAAAAACTCAACCTCTTCAATTGATGGAGGTGATCACGAGATGACTGTTGCTCCCACCACAGGTAAAACAGCTGATGATGAAACGAAACAAGATGACGATGAACCCATGATAAATTCAAATTCAGACTCAATGGTCAATGAAACTTCAATGACCGATGAAGAAAAAGCTGCTGTCGTAATGGTCAGGAAAAAATCCGGATGTAAAGTGGACAGACCTTTTCTATTTGCCCTCCTCAACTCATTAGATTGTAGTAATCAGTCTGATGATCATTCTGCCATTTTCTCACTTTGTTTAATTTACGCAATGGTTCATAATTCAGGTAAGAATTATACCTTAACATGGCAAAATCAATTTCTTATTAATCTTTTAATCTTCATCTTTCTTAATCTTCAAAAGGTGTAAATAAATCTCAACTCCATGATTTAATCATCCCTAATCCAAAATCATCTCAAGTGTTTGATGACAATTTAGCAAGTACCACTCTTGTCAGCTCTCTAATTGAGATAATCCATATTTGTTGCCAATACAGTGAGTAATTAAAGATGACCAACAATCAATATTATAGTTTATGAATTGATGAAAATTTTGTTTTTCTCTTTTTTTTTCTCAATAATTTAGATAGTCGAATAAGATTAATCACTCTGGAAATGTGTATAATTTTGCTCAAGAGGTTAATTATGGTTGATGGAGAAAGTATTCTGCCTGACCAGCAATTAGCCTCCATCGAACAATCAAAGGAAGAAGCTGCTTTGGTATTGAGAAATTTTTTCAAAAGCGAAGAGGAAGATCTTTTTCTCGATATGTTCGAAGATGAAAACCAAGAGATGATTAAGCGAACCTTAAATGTTGAATATCTCATGATGGATGCCAACCTTTTACTCCCTCCTAGTCAATTGACCCCACTTTTAATGGATGGACTTGAACTGACCCGTCGATTGCCTTGTGCTGATGTTGAAAGAACTCGTTATGTATGTTTTTGAACCTTTTGCTTGTCGAATTCATCTTATCCTAATTGTTTATATTTCTACTTTGTCCACAGGCAATAAGAGTTTTTCTCTCACTTCGAAAGTTTTCAAATTTTCTAAGAAAAGTTGAAACTCCGCCGATTTTTCCTTATCCTGATAATCTTGTGACTGTTGATCAATCGTTAGATTTGAGTGAGTAGCTAATCTAATTAGACTTTTAGTTCCTAGTGATTTTGATTAAATTTCCATTGTTATCATTTTGTTTGCTCTCAATTTACAGATCACGGGGATTTAATTGGTTGTACAGTTATAACGAAAGATCAACCAAAAGTGCGACGCTTCATGGTTATCGATTCACATCAATTAATTTTAGCTGAGCCCGATGTTAAATTGATTGGCTGGGGTATTGCTAAATTAGTTGCCTTCCTCCAGAATGTTGAAATTAATCCAGATAAAGATGATTCACGTTCATTGTTGATTAACATTCGCCAATCAAACGGACAAAGTAAAAAAGTTGTAATGACGGCCAGATTTGTCTTCGATGATCATATTCGTTGTATGGCTGCTGAAAGAAGATTGACCAAAGGAAAATTAAAAGCTCAGCAACGATCAATGATACAAATTGCCAAACTAATTGATCTACAACCGATTACTGACCTGTCGTTGAGAAAAAAATCTTCCCTCACAAAGAAAGGTGATTTCCCTCGAAGTCAATCCCAAAGTGAAAATATCTCAAGTAAAAAGCATTTGTCCCATGGATCTGGTCGTAATCATCGAGCTGTAACTCGTAGTTCAGCGGTTCCCGGTTTCGCGGTTTCATCCGATAAAATTAAACCAGATTCTGGTAATAAAGCTTCCGGTTCTTTTCATCACTCTCACAAGTCTCAGGTCACAAAACGGCGATCAGGATCACAAAGTAATCCAAATGCTCCCTCGTCAACCTCTAATCCCGCTCAAGAAGTACAAAGTAGAGAATCTTCGCCAAAACCAAATTCGAGTCTCGAATCGAGTGAAGAAATGATTCCCTTAGATGATTTGGGCTCAAAACCAAATCGTCGACCTTCCCGATCGACGATTGAATTGGAAGAGCGACTTGGAAATGTGACCTCACTAACAAATGCCCACGATCCATGAAATGAGTTGTTTATTTAAATTCGCAATCAGCTGATATAGTATTCATTTTAAAAGTTGTTGGAACCAAGTTTAAACAAATGGAACTTTGTATATTGTGATCTAATTGTTGATAGAAATTAACTTTAATCAACTTGATCGTGTCAAAGGAAATCAAATCATCGATATTTAAACTTTAACATTAGGTGATATTTGATTTTGTTTTCTGAAGATCTGTGATAAAATCAAATTAACAATCTCGATCAACACCAAACCGCTGTCATCAATTTGAATCTACTACTTCAATAATTAATCTTGAGAAGTTAATTAGTTTTGATTTTAATCCACTCGACTAAATTACTCTATTAGCCGATTACAATTGCGATGGTTAAAATAGTCACCTAGATGATTAACGAGTGAGAGAAATTAATGATTAAGTAGATGCAATTTATCAAAGAAAAAGATTATATATTATTATTAATACAATTGTAAAAAAGAAACTAAATCAACTAATTGTAAATTACTTAGAAAATGATTTATTGTAAAATATTAAATTTAATTCAAATAATAAAACATTTGATGGTGAATCCAATTAACATCAACTGATCCAGGCAATTTAATTTCATGATCATTTTAGGTTAACAAATGATTGAGTTAATTTCCTACGAGAAATTAATTATTTCAATTTAATTAACCTTTTAACCCAATTGTTAATCATCACATTGGTAACTATTAATATTTTGATGAGTGTGAATAACATGATTAAAATGAATAGGAAGTTAATTTTTGATTGTAAATTTGGGATTAAATTAACTTTGAGGAAATCTCAAGTTGGAAATATAATAAATTAATTGTAATTAAAGGATCAGCTTTCAAGAAATTTAAACTAATTATATTAATTGTGTGTTTGATTGTTTATGATTTGTTTTGAAAGTGTCCAATTTGTGTTTCTATCTTGACATACAAATGAAAAATATTACAAATGATCATTATGATTGGAGTTGATTGTGATTAGTTGTAAGTCGGTGATTATGATTGTTGATTAAATGTGTTGAATTGTGAACGGTGAACGGGAAACTGTCGACAGATCTTGAATAGAACCTTTGTCCAGTTCGAGAGCCATGTTTTCTAATTCTTTCACTTGAGTTGCTGATCGTTCATAATTGTAACGAGTTAGAACTCGATAAAAATGGGCTGCAAACACCACGAATGTAATTAGAACAGGAATTAAGATGATTGAAGAAACAAGAGCTGCTCTTTTACCGGGTTCACCTTTAGGTTGACCCATTTCCCAGAACTTGACCCAACAAAGAATGGCCACTTCGATGAGGAACAAGAAAAGTCCGAAAACATTTGAAAAGGTCCAAGCGATTTCGATAAAAGTTCCCATTTTTTCATGAGGAGAATCACGAGGATCAACTCGACCCATTTCTGAGGTCAAACAGATCGACTCGATCGAAGGAAGAATACAAATGGATATCATTAAGGCCAACATGTGAACGGAGACCAAAAGTACAGTACAAAGACCGAAGACAATTAATAAATTGGATGGAATCGGATTCTCAGGTTCGTTCGCAAATTGCACTTCAACCATCGCGACCATTGCAAATCCCGAAAGTAAAGCTGAGGTTTTGGCCGAAGTTTTTAATTTAGATCTTTTTAATTGTAATCGACGCCATACCTGAGTATCAGCTTCGTAATTCCTATTCATCTAGTTAATTATGTTGGTCGATATGAGGGTTTGATCACATGGAAAGAGAGAGAAAAAATCAAATCATGTCAATGGAAATGAAAAGTTGAGTGAACACAAAGTTAAAATTGAAACAATCAACAATCAACAGATTATAAATTATAAGTTGCAATTAAGACTCGTTGAAACAATCAACCTGGACGGTGAGTTTGATTGAGTGTCAATCAATTAACACTTAGCTACCATCTTACAAATTGTTGCAGACTAATCATTAGTACATTTTATCCTTTAATTTTATCTAATTGTTGACTTGCAACAATACAATTAATCAAGTATACTCAAAGATAATGATATCAATTATTAATATTTGCTAATGATCAGCTAATCAACTGTTAATAGGTTTACTCAATGATAGACAATAATTAATGTAATTATGAATTTAACTTTTTCTTTTATCCAACCTCTATTAACTATTTAATCACTATGGTGGTTAATCGTTGACGGTTGAATATCAATTTAATCAGTGGAAAAACTTTAATTAACTACGGTGAATCTAATCATTTGTAAGTATATTAACTTGCTAATTAATCTCTGATTATTTATTAATCTTTGATTCAAGTTATTGTTTCTGTGGGATGATTAGTTCATTTTTTTTTAAGGAAACAAATATTAATTTGGTTATTGGTTAACAATTAGTTTAAATTAGTGGCTCGGAAGTTGATTATTCATAGACAATTAATCAATTGGAATGGTCAGAAAGGTAATTAATCAATGGACAATAACAGGAAAGTAATTTGGTTATCTGGTTAATTGTTGGTAGAGTGGAAACAAAAAATATTTAATGACAGTTTGTTAATCAGATTGATTAAAAGGTGCCTGAAACTGTCAAGATTATTAAAGTTAATTGTTTAATCATTGGAGTAGTGGTAAACTTTTCAATCTATTAAACAGGTATTAATTGTTGAAGACTTTAAAATTTTCAGTTAGATTTAGATATTAACATAAATGTAACGATAATTTATCACGATGATTAATGTTGATTAGTTGTCAAAATTGTTGCACTTTGAAAATCAAGATACGATTGATTAAAAGGATTGAACAATAACTTAGAAAGAAAAAAATATTTACCTGCATTTGATTTGATTTGGTTATATAGAATTGATTGTTTAAACTTAATTTGTAAATTTAACTGAAATCTATTGATGGACGTTATTAGTTTTCATATTAAATGTGATCGATTTTCACAATTAACTATGAATTAACCATTCGCTAGATGTCACTACTAATCAGTTTCTCTTTTCCAAACAGCCGCGCCATCTGTTGACTCAAAAAAGAACAACTTTACGGTGAGTTTTTGGATTTTTTTTGTTTTCAATGTTGTTTGTTTCTTGGTGACATTTAATCTCATTTTTTTAATCAATTTCTTTGATAATCTGTGATAATTTTCTAAACTAATTATGAGTGGTACATTGTCTGTGATAAGTTTACTTTGCTTGTGTTCAATTTTCTCTCAAGTTCAATCTAATAAAGTCAATTATTGTTATGATTGCCGTTCACGTGTATCTGGTGACTGTGAGTATTTCGTCATTCGAGTTTAGTTAAATTGATTATTTCTAATTGTATTGGAGATTATTTGTTTTGTTTTTATATTATACAGGTAGAGATCCTTTTATTGGTAATGAAACAACAATAATAGATTTGATTGGAATTCGCTTAGTACCCTGTCCATCAGGCTGGTGTAGCAAAAGTCTCGAGGGTAAAGAAGGTGATACAATTATTACCACCGAAAGAAAATGTTTACCAAGACCACCAATCGATTCGGTTGAAAGATGTTCCAGAATATTTTACGAAAATAAACGAGAACCATTGTATATGTGCTCCTGTCGAGGTCACTTGTGTAACCACGGGTCGATTCAGTTGATGAACTTGCCTGTTATTTCTGTGATTCCAATTCTATCCATTTTGATAAACCAATTTCTAATTTCCAATTGACGATCAGTATTAATAACTGTCAACAAATTGAATCTCATCCATCCAAACAATTGAACACCAAAACTAAAGCACAATTTAAATCCACTATCAAACCATGAGAATACAAACTTAGACAACTAATGATCTTAAAAAGCAATTTGCAATCCAAATGACCACAAAAATTGTAAAACAATTGACCAAAAAATGACCACAATCAAAAGGAAAAGTCTAATCAACTTTCAAGAAAACAAAACAAAACAAAACAAACAAAATTCCCGCACCCGCTCAAGCCAAACACTTAAAACCGTTGACCTTTCAACTGGTTGGATTAACTGGATTAATGGACAAAAAATCCACCAAATTAATCGTAATTGTAGTTAATTGTGTTCCAAATGTAATATTAGAATAATCTAAAACCAGCAATTCCATAATCACCCAAGTGTTTTGTGAGAAAAAGAAAAAAAAATCAAAAGAAAACAAATAAAAAACGGTTAACCTAAAGAAAACAGAAAACGTAATTAATTCAAATTAAATTTCGATTATTGATCAACTAACCTTTTTCTCTCTAAATCACAATTAACTTAAAAGAATAACAATTTTATCTCTAATCATCTCACCGTATTTTCTGCTATTTATCAGCCTCTTTTCTGGTGTCGTGTATTTGGTTAGTGTTTTTGTTATTCTCCAATCTCATTTTCTCTTCTCTTCTTAACTGACTCTTTCTCTCTCTTTCATCTCTAGAAGATTTTCTCTCTCTAAGGTTTATTATTATTTCTGTTTCTCATTCTATTTAATTTTAATTCAGTGTTAATCGTGATTCTTACGATAAACATTTCATTTAAATCGGGTAAGTGAATTTAAATTTAATCTTTAATCTGTTGAGAGGAACATTCATTTTCTAAACCTCAGCAACCAAACAGATTAATTCCTTTTCCTTTTCCAATTTTCCATTTCAACCATTTGTTTTTTTCTCTTCTATTTTGTTTCTTATGTTTTGTTTCTTCTTCCTTTCTGTATATTTGAGTGATTTCTGTTGTTCTTTTCTCTCTGTTAATTATATCAATTGTTTTCTCCTCTTTGGAATATCAAGTAAAATGTAAATTCTCTTTTTGTTATTTTCTTCTCTTCCACTGACTAATCAAAATTTTCTCTCTTGTTTTCCTTTTCCATGTTTTTTTCTTCTCTCTCCTGTTAATTGTGCTTTTATTTTCCTTCTTTTTTTCTGGTTCTCTCCTCTGGTTGGTGTTGCAGTTATTCACCTAAAACTGATGTGATCATCTCTTGATTAGCTGAATTGTGCCTGTGGAAAGAGACCTACCAATCATAAGAAGCTGATAAATCAAATTTAAACTTAATAGAGAAAAATAAACGTTGGATTAAGATAATGGGTGCATTTTTAGATAGGCCTAAAACCGATAAAGTAACCGAGAAAGGTTTCGGTAATGGATTACGATATGGTGTTAGCAGTATGCAAGGATGGAGATTGGAAATGGAAGATGCTCATTGTGCCGTACTTGGTATCAATGGGTTAACAGATTGGTCCTTCTTCGCAGTGTTTGATGGACATGCAGGTCGGAGGGTTAGTGCTCATTCTGCGGCTAATCTACTGGAATCTATAATACAATCAGATGATTTTAAGAACCATGCAGAAGATTCAGCGAAAACCTCTAATGGTAAATCATCTTCTGAGAAAGTAGCTGATGGTATTCGCGAGGGTTTCCTTAAATTAGATGAGAAGATGAAAAAATTACCTGAAGTTGTCTCAGGAGAAGATAAATCTGGTTCAACAGCGGTGTGCGCCATTATTTCTCCAACACATTTTTTCCTTGCGAATTGTGGTGACTCACGAGCAGTTCTTTCAAGGTCAGGAAAAGCGCATTTCTCAACTCAAGACCACAAACCAGCTAATCCAAAGGAAAAGGAGAGAATTCAAAGAGCTGGTGGAAGTGTAACCATCCAAAGGGTCAACGGATCATTAGCAGTGTCAAGAGCTCTTGGAGATTATGATTATAAGCAAGTCGTTGGCAGAGGACCATGTGAACAATTGATATCACCAGAACCCGATTTAACTGTAAAAGCGAGAGATCCTGAACACGATGAGTTTCTCATTCTTGCTTGTGATGGTGTTTGGGATGTTATGAATAACGACGATTTGTGTAGTTTTGTTAATTACCAATTGTCAATTCAACCTGATTTAGAATTAGTTGCATCTTCCATTATCGATACATGTTTACATAAGGTTAGCTCAACAATTTCTCAATTAATTTCCTAATAATCTAAATCAGAAGACAGATAATCAAGAGTGTTATTAATCAATATGAATGAATATGAAACATACATAACACCTTGCGATAATCTAGTTACTAATCAATTTATCCTACTTTTTGATTCCTAGAATCAAGAAAATTTCTGGAAATCAAAATTTCGGATAAAACTATTAGACAGACAAATTAAATTTAGAAAATTTCCTTTCGATATTGGACAATCGAATCACCAAAACATGAATATCAATAAGATTACAGCACTTTAAGTTCACATCTTTGAATTACAATTTCTTGTGAACTTACAGTTAATCAATGGACTATAATTTTCTAATAGATTTTCGATTTTCAATGAAATCTGATTCGTCAAACAGTTAAAATGATCAGAATTTAAATTACAAAATGAATCATAATTTAAGATTTACTCTGATTGTTTCAACTCTTTCAAATCCTCACTCATTAATCATATAAACCTAATCCCTCCTAATCAACCCGCTCTTCTCAATCTCATGATTTTGTATTACATAATCATTGAGAATCAATGAAAACTTATCAATACAAATTTAATCATTCTTACCTGACATTCTCACTCCACCTTCATCTTCATCTTCTCTCTCACATTCTCCCTTCCTCATTGCCTTACCATCTTCTTGAAATCTTTCCTTTTATCATCTCACCTTATTCCTCATTCTCATGCCAACTACTAAATGTATTGATATTACTGTTGATCAATTATTCTAATTGACTATTTTTCCTTTTCAACGACAATATTGTTGAATGACAGTTATGTTGATTACTAACTCCTCCTTTTCCTTTTCTCTCTCACCCCACAGGGAAGTAAGGATAACATTAGTGTGGTACTAATTGTTTTTCCTGGTGCACCATCAATCAGCGAGGAAGCTCAAAAAAATGATCAAGAATGTAACCGAGTTTTAGAAGAGCATATAAAGGGTAATTTAAATTGATTTCTAATTATACTCACTCAACTTGTCATGTTGTTGGTAAATTTTGGTGAAATTCAATCCAAGTACAATTAACAATAATGAAATAATATCAACTCGATTACTATTACTAATCAAAGTTTATCACCTTTACAATTTAAGCTGATCCGTTACTTGTCGATTAATATGTATATTCATTAATTTAATCGTCTAATATCTTGAGTTGTCTTAACTTGATTTCGATACCAAATTAAGTCAGTAATCTAATGATAAAAATAGATAAGAGTAACATCTAAAATCTAATTATAACAGTATATTAATTAATTTTTTTCTCTCTTAGTCAAATTAACTATCGAATCTTGAAATTTCAACTAATCATGATTACTTTTAACTTTATTACCAAGTGACCTTGATGTTTTCTTGTTGAATATTTATATTTAGCGATTGAAGGTTTTCATCATGTTTAACAAACTATTTCTTTCTTTCCAATCATTTACTAATCAATCAAATTAATTTGATAATTTTCAATATCAATCTTGACCACAATCAATTTACCTAATTCATTAATTAACCTTTTTTCTTGTAATTTTCTTAATTTTCAGCTTTATTGAATTTGAATGCGAACATGTCTATCTCCTGTATCATTGATAATTTGATTTCTGAAAAGATTCCAAATCTTCCTCCTGGTGGAGGATTAGAGGCCAAGTAAGTATCGATTAACCAACACTAAGTAACTATCATTTTAGATAATAACTTTGTGATAATTAACTAAGTCAAAATGCTTAATAACAATCAACGTCATTTATTATCCATAACATTGTTATTACTAATCTACATTTTCTTTTTTATTGTTTTATTAACTTTCGATTCTTTCTTTTTCTCTCAATTTCTTAGACGAACTGTAATTGATGAAATTTATAAAAAGTTAAGACCTCCAGTGGATAAAGCTGAAGACACAAGCGGAGACAGTTCTGACTGACAACCTTAAAATTCTGGCCTTTGATAAAAATTTGGTTAATGGAAGAAATCAATCAAAAGATTACTATCATAACCATCGTTATAATTACCGAAAAAGACTTAAAACACTCGATGATCATTTTCTGTGAAAAAAAAGAAACAAATGAAAGAAAGAAAGAGAATAGGAAATAGAGAAAGACAATTAATTTGGGCAAAGAAAATCAATCGTTTACGAGGAAAACAAATCAAATGTGGAAACCAAAGTGAAGACAACAAATCAACTAAAGATCATCTCAATCAACTTAACAACATAAACCCTTCACCATGATCATTATTCCTCAATTACATACCACATTACATGCACACAACATACACACACTTACATGCATACACACAATATATTAACATAAACTTTTACTTCCTCTTTCTTTCCTTTCTTTCCTCCCTTTCCCTGACCCTTAATCGTTCTCATCATGTTAGAGATAAATATGAATCTGTCAATGTGAAAAAATCAGTTTTTACTAATCTTCTGAAAAGAGAAAATCCTTACCTTTAATCCCTCAAGTCCACATGAACATGAAAAAATCCATCCCAACGAAGGAGAAATTACAATTCACTTATGTTACTTTTAACCACCTTCTCTCATTTCCCACACCAATCCCTTGCTTTTCTCTCTCTCTCTCACACACACTCTCTCTCTCTCTCTCCATCTCTTTATAAATATATTTTTTCTATTTCCCAATGTATATTATTGGTGAAAAAATTGTCGTCAAATTAATTGTAAACAAACTTTGAGAGAAAAACTCTAAATCAAACTAGCAACCATTTTAATTGTGGAAAGACAACCGACCCAACAAATTAACATTGAGAAAACAGGACGGCCCTCACTCACCCTAATCATTACCTCATAAAACAATTAATCAACTGTTCCCATTTCTTAATCTAGTTCTTCCTTTTTTCTTTCTTAATTGTAAATGGTCTCAACCCTCGAACATAATCCGACCATTAACCATTATCAAGACCAATCCGAGATACAAAGTTGAACCCAATCAATTATTTTCCCGATAACAATTTATATCATATTAATTATCATCTTACCACACTAGACAATTTGATATTTACATATGAATTTTATCATCTCTCTCTCTCTCACTCACTCACTCACTCACTCTTTCTCGTTTTCTAAAGTTTCTTTTGCCCATCTGAAACTAACCCTTTTCTCTTTATTTCCCCCCAAAAACTGTCTAATCCACTTTTCTACAATATTTTATTACATCGAAGCTAAATTGTTATCATTCCCATTGATAATCATCATCTTCATCTTCATTCTCACTTCCTCCTCTTCCTCTCCTCGTGTATCTTTTGTTCATGAGATAAACTTCAAAGTCAAATCTGGTTCCACTTTGGGTGTTTTCAGAATCAACTCTTCTAAAACAGAATCTTACCTGAATTCTGATTCCGTGTAATCTCCCATTCTCTCAACAATCAACTCAGTATACCGGAAAGGGTGAAGACCAGATAAATAGGAAATTCACCAAGATGCAGGAATGAAATAAAATAATTTTTTCTAAAGTATTTTTCTGATAAAAATTCACTACCCAAGTTAATTTCAGTTTACCTACGAAGAGCAAAAATAAGTAACATCATCGATGCCAAAATACGATTAGAGAGGCGAGTTTACATGACGAAATTCAAATTTCACCAATCAAATTTTTCGTCAACGTTATTATAGAGAAATAGTTTTATCATTACTTTCTTATAATTTTCCTTAATTTTGATCATTTTGATCCTTTAAATTATTCCGTTAGAATCTCTTTAACAATTAGTATCTCAATATCCGACATTAGTTTCTAGTCAACCTGATATAACTTTTTCCTTTCGATTGTTATTCTTTTCTCAAAACAATCGATCATTGTTTTTATCATAAATTGTTCACTTGCAGATTCTTTGTTGAGCTAAATTGTACATTAGCACAAATGAGGTCTTAAAGCAATCGAGCGAAAGACATTGTAACTGAATGTCTAACTTATCTCGAAAAGGTAAACTCAGTCGAGGAGTTATAATGATTGAACTATCAATAGATAATTATCAATATTTAATTCAATTAACCGGGCGAAAGAATAAATTAAACTGTTTTCTTGTTTTCGATCAAGATTTAAGCCCGGTTAGAGATGAACTTACCTTAAGATACTCAACGAATGTGATGTATTAATATTGATAACTTAGAAACGAAATTAGTTAAAGGATGTTCATTACAAATTGACTGGTGGGGATGAAGGTTCCACGATCTCTTAAAAGTTAGTATCGCGCACTGGAACTGGCTCACGTTTATCGTGTTCAGATTCAAATGATATCGACCTTTCATCGACTCAGAATTCTCGTCCTAGAGAGGAATCGACATCCTCTTCTCAAGTTTCTGTGCGTTCTTATGATCGAAAGACTCTGATTATGATTTTTCAAACGAATCTCAAGTCGCACAGAAGATTTTGGATCACATTCTCAAAGATACAAATAAAGAAAGAATGTAATAATGTAAGATAGTGAATGAATATCAAGTTATATTTCTTAAGTGAAAGGAATTTATTGGTAAAGAATAATTATCGATTTTTTTGTTAGGAGTTCGTTAGGGTTTATACAAATTCAATTTGATTTCGAATTTAAAGAAATAATATCATTTTCTACAATCGGTTTGGAACAACTTTTCGATTGTCATGAAGAACACCTAAAGCTTTTGCTAACTCTGAATGAAATTGAAAGTGAGGTCGATATTCATCCTTTTCTGTCTCTTGGTCAGAATCTGCTGGATTGTAAACTGGCTGCGGTTCGTCCTCCTCATCATATCCCTCTTGACGACCTGTTCGAGTAACAAGGCTGGTAGATGTTAAATTCGCCAACATTTTTACCAAATTCAAACCTGGATCATGATTTATGAGAATTGGTGTCGATGGTGTTGTTGTCGTTGTCGTTGTCGTTGTCGTTGTTGTTGTCGTTGTTGTTGTCGGTAATTTGGTTGTAGTTGGAGGTGAAGATGCCAAAGACACCAATTTTGTCGGTAAAGATGATGATGTTATTGGGTAAGGAGACGTTGTTTCTATCGGTGAAATAGTTGGTGGGAGCATAGTGGTCGGCAAAAGAGCCTCCGAGGACTGAGTTCCAGGTATCGAATCAATCTCATCAACAAGAGCCTCAGATATCGACTTGACAGTCGTTAGATCTGTTGGCGTTGGAGTTGCTGCTTGCATCATCCAGGTTATGGGTGTCATAAGCGTGTCCATTAAAGATTGATCTGAGCCCGGAAGTTGACAAACAAAGCACAAAATCACTGATATTAAGATTCGCATGGTGTTGGATGAATGAAACGATGAAAACACTCGGTTAAAATAGAGAAAACTTTCACTTTAAATAATAAGTATCAAGTGCGAATATAAAATGAATGTCACTTGAGAACAGACTGACCTTAAATAGCTTCGACCCAAAATATGGATGCCAAAAGCCCGAAGGCAAACTTATCCCAATTCCAATTTAGAATAAACTTACTGGTCAACGAATAAAGCTTGACCTTTGGCCACCTTGGTAATCACAAGACCACCTACTTTTATCTTCTCACAGGGTTGACATTAGAACCCGGGAGATGATAACAAATCGTCTAGAAAGTTGACCCAAAGATTTTAAATCTACAGAGAGCATTTACTTTTCTCTTTGCTAGAGAACCTCAAAACTGGACAAACGCCTTTGGTTAGAGAAAGTTTGACCATTTCGTAAACTTGATATCGAAAAACCAAACATTTATTATCAATTATTACTTCCAAAGCATCTACTGTATCTTGATATCTAGACAATTAATATGATTGCTTTCATCTTCTTCTTCTTCTTCCTCAGATGGAAAGTTCAAACTCGCCCATGTAAACAGAATCGTATCTCCGCAGAAGGTTTTGTTCCATCATGTTATCTGGAACAGAGGACACCCAAGTCACCCTGTAGCCGAAGATGAGCCCGTGAGATTGATCAGAAATTGAAGAAGCTAAAAAGAGACAAAAGTGAGAATTCAATTTTTACCCAATAATTGCATCGTCCTAATCATTTAATTTCTCAATCAAAGATTAGGCTTTTCGGTCATCTTTTTCTGTTAATCTTTCTCTCAGGTATAAGTCCTAAGGGTAAAATCTTACAATTTTGATATCTTTTCGGATTCTGTGGTTGATCAGGATTGAAGTTAATCCGAAGCTTAAAGTTAATCTAAACAAAATTTTTAACCATATCTATTTAATGGTTGATATTTAATATTTTTCTTACCTTTAATATTTTTTTTCGATTGCTATTAGATACAAATTGGAACTGATAATTAAGATGACATGAAGGACAAGAACGGATAAGTTTGTCTAATTCATCAATCGAATGGCCAAAAACGATGTCGTTACTTATTCTTGTCATGCAACTAACGAGGATGGTTAGACATGGAAGAATATTTAATTACTATAATCAGGCGAAGGATATCAATCTAAATCATAGTTTTCGATTGATAAATGAAGATTATTTTTCGAAATGCGAGAATTTCTTTTCCTTGTCTCTCATTTCCTTAGAACCTCCATCTTTTATATTTTGACTCAAGAAAACAACGGGAATGGCTTAAAAGTCCACACGAATGGAGTGTAAAGCCACAGGAATCCCAATGCCGACAGTTAAATGGTTCAGATTGAACTAAAATCTTATGGAAAGAGTCCGAGAACCGATCAAAATTCAACAATCTCGAGAGACGCTGGTCTCTATTAAGTGACCGCGACAAACGTTGTTGCTTAAGCTTCTTGTTGAGCCAATTTAACGATCGAAGATGATTAGCTTGGAACTCAAGGTGTAACCTATCACGATGTGGAAAGAGCGAGCGGTAATAATTATGCGAAACCTTTCATGGATCGAGAATTTTTCCACTCGAAATTAGTTCGACTTTGGGATGTTTTCGTTCATAAAGTGACACTGGTGCTTATCACTGACATTTACGGTGCTGGTGAACTTCATGAAATGATCTTTCGAAAGAAAACTCACAAATAACCTGGAAAATGATCTACGATTTCGACTTTAAATTTCTTTCTTTTCTTTGTTGATCTGAGAAAAAAATGCACAAAAAATACACCAGAAAAATGATTTAATTCTATTTTACATTTCGACGAAATTCCTATCTAAATGGTCTTCATCCTTTGATTTGATCTTTCGAATTGGATTTACAGAACCATCTTGTTAATTGTTAGACTTGTTTTGATTTGGCGGACCAACTAATTGTCGTATTGATTGGGGTCTAGTTAAAAATCGTTCATCAAACGAGCCTTTCTCATTGATCATACAAACTGCCGATGATACATACGAGTGATCCATCATTTGATTAGCTGTGGGTCGATGTTGATATTTAATTAATTGTCTGATAAAATCAACAGCTAATGGATCCTGACAAGATGAATACAACTTTTCATACCAAGTTAATTGGTTTGCATTTTGATCAAAAACGATAATTACTTTATTGTAATCAGGCATTTTACTTGCCCAATCAATTGGTGGTTGACCCAACGATTTAACAACCAAACATAATTGCTCAATATCAGATTCACCTTTGAATAGAGGCCATTTAGAGTTCATCTCACTGACAATACAACCAACTGACCACAGGTCAATTGACCAATCGTAATCATTTGACCCATACAATAGTTCAGGTGGACGATACCAACGAGTACAAACTTGATGAGATAATAAACAATTGGTTGATTGTTGATTGGATGAAGTTGATGATGATGAGTAGTAAGTTAACTGATCATCATGATTAAGATTAAAACCTTTAGCTGGAGTTAACTGTTGATCACAATTAGCTGATTGTGGTAAAAGTCGAGCTTGACCAAAATCGGCCAATTTAAGTATCCCTGACCAATCAATCAGTAAATTACTTGGTTTCAGGTCTCGGTGAATAATTGATTGTGAATGACAATAAGATAAACCATCAAGTATCATGTAAGTGTAAATTGATCGTTGAATATTAGTTAAATTGTATTCGTAAATCAGTGTAGTTAAATTAACTGGATACAAAGGGAAAACCATATTAATCGATGAGCCTTGAACAAAAACATCAACCAATGGAGTAATCTGTTAATCAAGTCACTAATTAGAAATCAACCATCAAATTTTCATCAACAATTAACTCACATGTAAATGTTTATCCAGTAATTGTAATGATTTAATTTCCCTGATCACCGATAAAGACATTGCTTTTTTCCGTATGAAAACTCGTTTAATTGCTAACAATTTATCATCACGATCACCGCTTGGGACATAATCAACATGCGACGATTTAATTGCTTTTAAAACTATCCCATGAGCACCAGCACTTATATTACCAATTATTTTATACTTGTCCATTTGATTGTCAACACACAATTAAACCTTAATCACGGAAAGTGGCAAATGAACCGAGCAAAAAAATTAACCTTCGAGGAAAATAAACATTAGTAGTCATTGGATACTCTGTTTTTCCTTACCACTTTTCACCTTAAATTGTAACCTAACATTTGAATATCTTGATTAATGATTAACTTGCTCTCTAGATTAAATAATTAAAATGTGAACAATTTTCAAACAATTAAGTTAAATACAACAAATTGTTTCCCTTGTTAATTGTCCCATTTTCTTTGACTTCACATCTCTTTGGGGCTGAAAACTAATGTACATTTGTGAGATTTTCCTCTCGAAATAATTAACAATACTTATTATTTTCTATTAATTTATCGCCATTAGATTAATTAATTCTTCATCTTTTTACAATTTCAACCGTTCGATTACTAGAAGTAGGATAATGAATAATAACAACGTGATCAGATTATCGTAAGTACGATCAATTGACTAATTGAATTGCAATTTAATTCAATGACCAGAAAGTGGAAAATTAATTGTGAATAAATAGAAAACACTTTCTAATATACAAAGCAAATATTAAATAAAAAAATAAAAAATTGTAATGGCGATGATCATGTACATTGATTAGTTGACTGATTGTTGATCTAAGTTGATAAAGAGCAATTAGCAACATCGGAGGCAAGAGTTTCTTTTTCAATTTCAATTTCAAGTTGTGATTCCTCAATTGATTCAGTTGTATTCAAGGAAATGTCCGATTCTCCTTCTGTCCTTTGTAAATCATTTGATTCGATTGGTGGATCATCTTCATCTTGATTAACTTTTCTTTTTCGATCCTTCCTGGCCTGACGTTCCTCTTCATCGTCGGAATAATCTATCAATTCTTCCGGTGGTTCATTATCGTTTTTCCATGAAGCATCTGATCCTTTAAGTTTCTTTAAATCTTGATAGAAAACGTATTTGGTCAAAGGTTCAGGCCAATTGGGGATAAAATAAACTGGACTATTGACTCGAATGCCTCGACTGGTTATCTCTTCAAGGGAATTGAACCGAACGGCATAAAATGGATTCACGACTGGACCAAAGGTATCATGAATTCTGCCCAAGGGTGAACAGTCTCGGAGAAATAGAACCGAATCAAGGTCTAATGGTGGTTTACCTTTGAAAGAAATTACAATCACTAATTTACCGGTTATGTTTGAAACTCTTCCGATTTGATCAAGTTCTTCAAGAGGAGCTTTCAAATCTAATGGTTCCACCGGTGGTAATTCATCTAAGGCAATTTCTCCTTCCGTTCTGATTAATTGTTGGTGGACTGATGAAGGTGCCGGTAATTCAGATTCCATGCCACATATTTCTTGATCTTCTACTAATGAGGAATCAATTTGTTTATTATCGGAGGACAATTTATTCCTGGTTGGTGATGCAGATCGAGATGAACACGATGAAGACGAAGAGGAAGAGGAAATGTCAATCTCATCTTCATTCATATTTGTTTAATTATTTAAGAAGAAAACAATTAATCACAGAAAAAAAATCCAATAACCACACAATTTAATTGTCCAAACGATTTAAAAACGTTACAAATGAAAACAATTCAAAAAATCACATGGGTTGGATTCGATATTGTAAATCGTAAGATCTTGGATCGGATACTATTTCTAATCAACAATTTGTTAATTGTTACAATTAGGCTTCTCCCAACCAGTTAGATTAGTTGATCTGATCATTTGATCTAATTAAATCAATTGAGTGGAATATTAATTATAAAAGTTGCGTTTCTTTTTTGACTTGATCGAAACGTTCACTTTGAGATTATCTTTCGATTTCGATTAGTAAAATTAACTCAATTGTTACATCGAACAATTAGTAAATTTATTGATTAGAAGATAATTTTACTAACTCTAATTAAGACATTGAATCGTTTAATTAGAATGATGAATATGAAGTTGATTGAAGTTCTTTCAAATGAATGAATTCTTTGAATGTAAAGGAAACAAAAGTAAAATTATTTTCCAGGAATTAGATTTAACTGATTTAGTTAATTTTCCTTTTAATTATTGATTCGTAGTAATTTTCATTCGTTAATTGGGACAGAAACTTATTGCAATTAATCTTAATCGTTAACTTTTTAATCGTAATTCCAATTGATTCAGTCAATCAAAGATTCGATCCCAATATCGAACATCGAACTTTTCTATCGGATATTATTCGATATATCGAATGTTGTGTTTACGTTTTAATCTATTCAATAGATTCTATTGTAATGTTTATCTCTCATTAACTAATGTTAATCAATTTCTTTTATCGCAATTAACCGTCTTATTGGTTTATCGGGACTTGAAATTATTCTCGCATTGATTGGTTATCATTCTGATGATTCTTAACCGTCATCATAATGTTCAAGAAGTTGAAAGATGAAATTCAACAGAAACAAGGATTTACCTCTAATCTTCTTGAAACTGGTGTCGGACTCATTGACAATTTAGTAAGTTGATTAATTTGATTCTGTTGATTTGATCTATTGAATTTTTTTCTCTTTCTATTTGTATCTTACTCTATTGTTCCAAGACAACAATTAATACTCATCTCTTGTTTTCTCTGGTGATTATTTTAATTTGATTGACCATCTTCCAAGAATTGTGACCATTTCTTATCATCTCCTTATAAATCTTACCTTATGATCAAACAAATTTGAATAATCAACTACAAAGAGTTGATTTAATTTCTGTTTCTAGTTTCGATTCCTAATCAATCAATATTTCATTCAGAATAAGATCCATAAGAAGAATCAATTTGAGTCACATTTTTTTGACTCTCCAAATTGATCCATTGAATTGATTACTTAGTCATTTGCATGTTGAGTTGTATAGTTTTTTATGCTAACATGATCTTCAGTTATCAATTCAATTTAGATCATTTCTAACTGTTCTTAATTGTAGAAATAAATCCTTTTATGGGCTTTGATTGTAAATCTACCATTTTAATTACTCCTTTTATCTCATTTCTTGATTTCTAATGAATTTTTTTCTATCATTTCCATTTGTTGTTTTAGGTTTCGAATGTAAAAAATTTCGATGGTAACAATCCATCGACCAGTACATCTCGTAGTCATTCACCACGTTCAACTATATCAGAGAATATGGATCAGTTAACTAATTCAAGTAATACCGTTGATTCATCTCAATTCAATCCAACTCTTAAAGAGCCGATGGTTTCTGTTGCACCACAAAAAGATAAGGTTGTACCATCAGGGAATGAGACTGTTAATCAAGTAAAGAAACAAGAAGATTTGATTCAATTAGCTGATAATAATGAACCATTGCAGAGAGAAGTTGAATCTTTGAAGAAAGAAAAGTTTGCTCTTGAGGAGGAATTAGCAACAATCAAGGATCAAATACAGATTGACAATAACGAATTAGCTGATATAATCGCTCAAGCTCAAGAAAAAGATCAAGAGTTAAGAAATTTAGAGAAAAGATGTTCAGACCTCGAAAATCAACTCGATAAAGTTCAGAAATCACTACAGACCAAAGAAGAAGAATATCTGGAAACTAAAGCTGAATTGGAGGCAATGAAAGAAGAAAATTCAATCCTCAAGACTCAAATCGAACAACAAATCGAAAAGCTTGAAGAACATGTTTCCAATTCTTTACAAACTAAAGAAAGTGACATGAAAGAATTACAAGAAAAATATAACCAATTGGAACAAGAAAACAACAGTTTAAAAAGTAATTCAACAGATAATGGAGCCGAAATCAAACAATTAACCGATGAATTAGTCACCAGAAAAACCGAGATTGATAAATTAAAAGAAGACATGAAAATTTTGGAGAACCGTTTTCACGAGGAAAAGGATGAACTGAATTTAAAAAGTAAACAACAGTTTAATCAAATACAAGAGAAAAATCAACAATCACAATCTCTCCTGGAAGAAAAAGATTCACTGTTAACAGAAAAGGAAACACGGATTAAAAAATTGGAGGAAAGTCTATCATCATACCAAACACAATCAGATAAATTAACGAAATCTCTGATGGATAAAGATCAAACAATTGCTGATCTGAAAGAAAAATTACTCGAAACTGAGAAAAGTGCAACGGTTAAAACTCGTGAACTGGAAAAGGTCAAAGAAACGAAAGAAGGTACAATCAAGAAACTGGAAGATGATGTGAAGAAATTGCGAGAAGACTTGAAGAAAAAGGAAGATACGTTGACGGAAAAATCATCGAACACAAAGAAATTGGAAGAGACTGTAGCATCATCGAAAACTAGAATGGTTAAATTGGAGAAAACCTTGGAAGAGAAGACGAAACAAATCACTGAATTAAAAGGAAAACTAATTGTTTCCGAGGCTGCTCTAAGTGACAAATTGGAAGCAGTTAAAAAATTAGATGATAGTGTATCATCTTACAGGGGAAAATTGGCCAACATGGAAAAAGTGTGTAAAGAGAAAGATGAACTGATAAATGAACTAAATCCAAAAGTTGATTCGTATATGAAACAATTGATTGAGAAAGATTCAGTGATAGAAGATCTTGTAAAAGATAAATCATTGTACGAGGAAAAGGAGAAACTGTTTACAGATAAAGAATCGCTGATTCAGTTATTGGAAAAGAAAGTATTGGAAATGGAACAGCTGATGGAAAATAATGCGGATCAATTATCTTCATGTAAACTTACACACACCAAGGAGATTGAGGGTTTACAGGATGAAAATAGAAAAGAGTTAAATTTATTGGAGAAACAATATGAAGCCAAATTCGCATCACAATCATCAATTCTGAAGCAATATCAACGTGAAAATAGTGAAGCCAAAAGTGAACTGGATTCATTGAGAGCTCAGTTAAATGAGATAAAATCCTTGAATGAATCTAATCTTAAGGAGAAAGAGGAACAAATTGTTAACTGTAATAGTGAATTAAGCCAGTTAAAGATTGAATTGGAAGATTTAAAATCAAAACAATCAGCTAATCAGGAGACACTTTTACAAGTTGGTTTACTACAAAATGAGGTGAAGGAGAAACAAACATCAATCGACTCTTTAAATGACACTATCACATCTTTAGAATTAAAAGTTTCAGAAAAACAAAGTGAAATAGAAAGTCTAATGGAGAGATTTAACAGTTCAGAGGATAAAATCATCTACGATTATAAAAAGGAAATTGATTTACTGGAAACTGAATTGTCGGAGAAAAATTCAGCACTGGAAGAAGTTCATCAACATTATAAGCAAATTTTGGATGAAAAGGAGACACAATTAAAGCAAATTCACAACGAATTTAATTCATCATCAGTTAATGAACACTCTTTCCAGGTTAAGGCCATGCAGAAATCACTGTTACAATATCAGGAGGAAAACTTGAGACTGAAAGAGTTGCTTGATATTAGACAAAAACAAGAATCTAACAATTTGGGTAACACTTCATGTAATCTTCCTGAACCCACTGAATATGAATATCTCCGGAATATCATATTTGAATATATGATGGGAAGAGAGCCAATGGTATGTTGACCAATTAATTATAACAATTTAATTTCTCGATGTTTTTTATTGTTAAATCCTCAGCTAATTGTTGTCATGTCAATTTTTTCACTCCTCAGACTCTTGCCAAGGTGATAGCTGCTGTATTGAGATTCAGTAATGATCAAACGGAACAATTAATCCGACGACAAGAGCATCTTATTGCTACAACTAGTTTAATGCCATTAAGATGATTGATTAATGATTAGTTACAATTAGTTTAATATATTTATCGAAAAACAAAATTTGTATTAATATTTTCATACTTATGAGAGGAACCACATTGGAATTGACAATAATTAAGGAAACAATCAAAAAGAAACCTACCAAACTATTGATTGAAATACGTGCAAACAATTCTGTTAATCATCGCCAATTTTGTTACAATTAACGATGATAATTTTTTAATTTTTCCATCTTATCATTAACCCTCCACTTTACCAATTAACTTTCTCAAATATCTCTTTTCCTAATTCTAATCTCTCCTCTTACTGAGTAATTTAATTATATCTCATTTTGTTTAATTTAATCAAGATAATTATCATTTCTAATATTTAATCATCAACAGATCTACAAAATTGTATATTATGATTGTTGTTGAAAAGGAAAACAATTCCTCAACCTGATCTAATTTAACTCGATTAATCCGGATTAGTTAATCGGATTGTTTGAAACACGATGACAGTTAATTAGTGACATTTGTCTATCCAACAATCAACAATTGAATTAATTTGATTGGTCAACAGATGGAGTTAAATGAAAAGTAAATGAAGCTTTGAAAAATGCGATGATTTAAATTGTTTTTATTGCAACAATTAACATGGTCAATGGTTCGTGAATCTAATTTACTGGACCGGATTTGAGAGATCTGGTCATCTGAAAGATGCCCACTGGCCGTTAATTGTCTTGCCTTCCAAATTGATCCATTGAACAATCAAAAAAGTTAACAATTTCATTCGTTCTGCTACAATTGAATGAATCTTTTACCAGCTGACTGAGAATTGTGATTGCAACTTTGATTGTTGTTAGTAAAATGATTTAGATGAAACCTGTTGGGTAAATTGAGACCTTTTAACAACTCGAGATGTTAAATTGATTCGGTTGATGACACAGAGAGTGGGCGATTATGTTGATGGGTCAAATGTTGACCTTTGTAAGTTGTTGATCTAACGCACGAGTCGAAAAAGTTTTTCTCTTCCCTTAAATTGTTCATCTTAATTGTTTCCCTTGTGAAATGAATCTTCTCAACAATCTATATATTCACAAATCATAAATCGTTGAAACGGTTTCGAATTGTTTTCACTTAATTGACCTCAATCACTTGAGAATGACCCTTCACCTAATTGTCTTTCACACTGACCCCTTTTACCAGAAGTCAAAACATGATTGTCACTCGACTAACAATCTAATTTACCCTGAGGCTAAAATCATTTCTCTCTTTTTTCTTGCTAAACAATTTAAACTTTTATCACTTTACCTCTCATTCATAAATTGAAACAATTAACTTGATTACACCGACAATCAATGATCAATTGTTTCCTTAACTATTGATACATTTTCTTGCAATCAAATTGGATTGGTAATCATTAATCTAAATGATTAACCAATTCACTTAGATTTTGCTTGTTGATGTTTTGTTATCCGTTAAATCAATTAACTGGATTAATTAAAGTTTCCCGTGAATTAGAATCAAAAATATCTGATTAACGAAGGATTTTGTTATTTAAATAAAAGTCTCTAATTACGAAATAGATTCATTGTATTTCACAATCAGTGAACAATTTAGATGATTGTTGATTCTAAATAACGATAATTACTCAACTTCTAATTACATTTAGAGTAAGAGAGCAAAAAAGTTGTGGGTGGAAAGTTAAATTAATATCAACAATCAAATTAAAAGGGTTAACTAGTTAAAGATTTGAAAACAAAATTTTGGGCTCAATCCATTTGGAGTTGATAATTATCATGATTAAGTTAATAATGATTGTGAAAATAATGTCAATTAAATCAATTGTTTCTAAGTTTAGATTAAATCATCGGCGGAAGTTAAGAGTTGACATTTTGTTAACAAAGTTACAAATGTTTGACAACAATTATAATTACGTTAACAGTTACACCGAGATTTGAACAATCATCGCCTACGTTAAACATGATTAAGACAAAGACGTAAACATGATTAAGAAATGATGTAAGTGAGAAGTGAGAGAGATGAGAAAGAGCAAAGGAAAACATTGATAATCAATTGATTAGTTGAAATCGATGATCAATGAATTTGATTCTCAATTAGAGAGAAGAGGTTGTTATATCTTCTCAATAAGATAATCAATTGATAAGAATTGAAATGTTAATAATTTTGAAAGAAGGAATCAAATGAACACAGAATCGAAGTCGAAAAAAAAATCAACTTCTAAAAATACTTATTAGAACTTTTAGAAAAACAACAAAAACAAGTTCGAGAAACTGACATTTGCTAACAAACGTCAGCACTTTTCAGGTTAACAACTTTGCCCTTTTCCTCCTCCACCTCCTCCATCACCACCCACCCCACTCTGAGTGCTGATGTTTTGTCAACAAAAAGGTTCCACTGTGAGTTAAATATTATGTTTCAGTTCAACTCACCCGATAGATAAATTGAACGAAACAATTAATCAAGATTTAAAGTGATTTGTGTGATTTAGTAAAGTTTGTTGGCCAAGAAGGAGAAAAAAATTCTCGTCGATTACAAATTAATCATTAGTTAAATGACAATTATTACTGATGATGTTTTAAGAGCATCTCTAAGTTTCTCTCTCTCTCTTTTCTCAAATCGTTTTCACTTTTCATCCTAATCATCTTCATCCCTCATCCTCATCCTGAGCCTTTTAATCCCTAATAACATTTAATTGATAATCACTCTGTTAACAATATGATTACATGAATTATTTTGTCTTTATTTCAATTGTTTCTCTATCAGTTCTTATAATGATAATGAAGATAATAAAGATGAGGATGAGGATGAAGATGAAGATGATCATTATGATTTCATCCTTATTACCCTTCGGGTTAGTGAAGAAAGAAAGAAAGAAAGAGAGAGAGAGAGAAAGACAGTAAAGTGATGATAACGAGAAGAAGAAAACTGAATGAAAGAAAGAGCGAGAGATATGCGAAAGTAAAACGAAAGAAGAAAAAAGAAAGAGAATTTGAAAGAAGATGAAGATGATGAGAGAAGGGGATGGAGAGGAAAACGAATCCCGCCCTAATCATATGAGATGAGCTTTTCTTGTACTTTTGAGCTGAGCTTGGGGGGTCATCATCATCATCATCATATAGATAGAAAAAGAAGATGAAAGAGAGAGAGAGAGAGAGAGCAGACATCTGAAGGGAGCAAGAAAAAAGAAGAGAAAATGTTGAAGAAAAAATAGTTTCCATCGAAATCGAATATTGTGCACTTTTCTTATTCATATTATTGTATTTGTACGAATTTCGATTTATTGGTTCATTTTGGTCCATTCATGTTACGAAAAATTTATTTCTCTTTGTGGCATTTTTATCAGTCTTGGTCAACCTCTTGTTCGTGTCCATCATCATTCAATTACTATCGTCGTAATATAACATAACTAAATTGTTTGTTTTTTAAATCGTTTCCAATTTAAAAAACTATGAACTTTATTAATTTACTTTTACTTATGAGGCCTTACCGGTTAAAACAATCAAACAACATTTACCCAAGTAAACATAATAATTATTATATAATTTTATTACTGTACAATCTTGTTAATCTAATGCTTCTGGCCTCAGGTCAAAGTCTTGGCTATTCCTATCAATTGTCATCACCATCATCATCATCATCATCAACAATCAACGATAATAGTAGTAATAATAATGAACAAAAGTGTCCCGAAGGTCCACCAAGTCAATGGGAATCTGTGTTAGATGCCGCTTCCAAGGCCTATCTCGCTCCGATCGTGTTTAACGGGTACTTACTTTCACTATCTGAGGATTATGGGGGTAAAATTGCGGCCACTTTCCGTGTTCGTAAATCAATTAAAAACATCGGAGTGACACCTGAATTTGGTTCCGGTACAGTTCCGGTTAACCTAATATCCGGTTCCCAAGTAACACTTTACTTTATCCGAAGTAAACAAGGTAAATCAATTCCACCCTATTGTCCAGTTCACCTTAATGAAACTTCAATTGGACAATTAAGACCTGGTCAGCGATACATTGTCTTTGCATCATCACCTTTAACCTCACTCATTGATCTGCAAAAACAACAATTTGCTGATAGTGATTGTGAATATAACAATTTAAGGACGTCAACTCAGTCATTTTCATCATCCTCCTCATCATCAATGTCATCAAGTGATGACTCAAACAGTCACGGTCATTCATATAGTCCATCATCATCCTCATCATCCTCATCTTCATCTTCATCCTCCCCCACATCAACCTCATCTTCCTCATTGTGTATAAATTATTTGAACGCGTTCACCTCACCTGAGCTTCACAATAAGCGATCAGCAAGAGCTGTTAGGAAAATTTTATCTAATCCCGATTGGGGTAAGTAATTATTACACTGATTATCCTCCCAAAATAATTAACTGTTGTTTTCACTTAACAATCAACCCAAATCATAAATAACTTTCTCTAAGAAGATTATGACTTTTATCTTCATCTTTCATCATCTTCCTCTTATTATTATACTCTATTATTATTACAACTACTTTCTACCACCACCATCAACATAATCATCCTCATCCTCATCATCACCGCCACCGCCATCATATTCACTCACTTACTATTTACAACAATACAGTTACAATTAGTTAAATTGCGATTATTTAAAGTAATAACTTTCACTGAGAGTCTTTTTCACTCAACTCAATTGAAAATCCTTGATTCCAAATAAATTGAATCATAAATTGTCGTCGTCTTCATGTGTATTATGGTCAAATTGTCTGAATAAATCTTGTGGAAAGCATTACAATTTATCTGTGAAAATTTTCTGGGTGTTTGCCTACAACCCATATTCATGGGGATGAAGATGAAGATCATGTTGTTGTTGTTGTTGATTCTGAGCTGAGAATGAAAAAGTTTAATGAAAAAAATATAACAGTAAAAGAGATGAAGTTGGCCAAGAAGATGAAGATGAAAGTGTACATTAGGGAGTCGAAAAGATGAAGTAGGAGATGATGATGATAATGAAGATGAAGATGAAGGATGGATGAGAGAAGGAAGATTTTTTTTTTCTTAGGTTTTTAGAGTTTGAGTTTTAAGAGAAGGAAAAAAAATTCCTTTTCCTTAACTTATTTTTCTTCTTTCTTTTTGATCTTCTTTTTTTTTCTCTAACACATAGAAAGAGAAAAAGAAAGGAAGATGAAGATGATGATGGTGATGATGAGGATGTTCATCTGCTATTTTTACCTCGCAAATGAGTCGGATGTTGATGAGGATAAAGTTGTTCAAGATGAAGAAGTAGACAAGAGCCTGGAAAATGATGAACCCAGAAGAAGATGATGATGATAAGGATGTTAGACTGATTCGAGAGTCAAAAAGAAAGACTCTCTCTCTCCCTTCATCCCTTCATTTTTCTCTCACTCTCTATCTCTCTCCTTGGGAGTGAGAAAAAAAGTGATAACTGGGATTGAGTTAAAAGTGATTAAATCATCACCTAATTTAAACTAATCTCTTTCTTTTCACCACTTTCTTTTTCTCTTTCCTTTATTTTCAACACATCGTCCGTGCAATGGTCATCATCCACTCATCTTCCTCTCTCTCTCTCATTCATCTTCCTCTCTTCTTTCCTTCTCTCATCCACTCACCTCCCTCCATCCTCTCACTTACTCTCTCTCTCTCTCTCTCTTGCTCTCCCGTCTCTTCACCTTTCATTTGACTGGACCCCCGGATGGACCTTTACCTGTGACTCTCTATTATTATTTTGACAATTACCTCTAACCATCAGCCCGAGCACCGGAAGTGCAAGGTCTTAATGGTGATCTAAGGATTCAATCAAAGAGTAGGTTGCGACTGAAATGCAGAGTGAACGGTAATCCTTCACCTTGGATTAAATGGTTTAAAAATGGTAAAAGATTGAAAAGCAAAGGACGAATTAGTATTAGACATTTAAGAAGGTAAGTTTCGAGGATACTTTGTGTCCATTGTGTTGATTGTCCATAAATAACAACAACAATAATAAGTAATCATCATAATCAAATTGTGTTAATCTTTTACCTTTTTTTCTTCCTTTGTTATTGTTACTTTTATTCTTATTCTTTTTCTTTCTTTTTCTCTTTCTTTTTTTTCGCAAAAAGGGATAATTCACTATTAGAGATTAAACCAGTTCTTCCAGTGGACACTGGATACTATGAATGTCGAGCGATGAATGTAATCGCTCGAGAACCGTCCATTGGTAAAGTTCGTGTTATTGTTAGTTCATTAAACCAAAATGGTACAACATCTTCATCTCCATCATCCTCATCCTCATCATCGCCATCGTCACATTCAAATAACAAGGATACATCAACACCTCAACATAATTCACAATTCACATCGTATCCGTCGTCTTCCCTCTCGTCATCATCTTCGTCATCACCGCAATCACCTCATTCACCTTCATCATCAACACCAACCTCAGACTCAACATCCAACCCTTGGCACGCTAAAGGTCGGCCTTGTCCACACAATGCTTATTGTCTCAATGGAGGAACTTGTACTTTCTACGAGAGTGTCGGTGAATATGCTTGCCAGTAAGTTATTATCTCTTTCTCTTCTTTCTTTTTTTCTCACTTTTCTTCTTTCATATCTTCTCTCTCTCTCTCTACCCTCTTTATCTTCCTACACTCGAATATTGTCTTCTTTTTTCTTCATCTTCTCATTTTTACTTGAACCTGGAGCCTCCCGCTGTGCTGACTGCCGTTCAACCTAAGGTCGGCCTTTTTATAGTGTACACTTATCTTCTCTCTCTCTCTCTCTCACTCACTCTTTATGATGAAGTAGGAGATGATGATGATGAGAGTAAAAAAAAAGATGAAAGAAGGAGAAAGCTTTTTGTATTTGCCATTACAATGTCTTTTATTTTTTTCTTCGTTTTCCCGTTAATTCTGTGTGAACCTGAAAAAAGAAGAGAAGTTTTTTTCTTCCTTTCTTTACCTTTCTTTTGACCTACCAAAGAGAAATAGATCTAATTGAGTCGAGGCCACACGGATAGTTGGGCTTCAGGTCAGTTTTAGGTTGGGCTTGGCCAGGCCAACTAACCATTTACTTTACCTTATAAATATATCGCTTATAAGCGGTGCTAAAGTAAAAAGGGGTCTTCTCTCTCTCTCTCTCTCTCTCTCTCTCTCTCTCTCTCTCTCTCTCGTTCTCTCTCTGTATCTTCATCATCATTATCATCAACAACATCATCATCTTCTTCTTCTTCTTTCTTCTTCTTCCTCTCATTCTTTCTTCATCATCATATTATTATTTTCTTTGAGTCTTATCACTTTGATAAAATACAATAAAGGTAACACTGAACCAGGTTGACCATGTATGTTGTTGTTGTTGTTGTTATTGACCAATGGTCCTCAAAGACCAGCCAACGTCTAGAACAACAACAATTCAATATAATAGCAACCACACACAAATAAATATATCAAATACAATCTATCTAATAATGATCAAAATTAACTAAAACAGTAGAAACCATATTGATGGATGACCAAAGTCCGGTTTTCACTCATCTGACCTCACCCTAAAAAATGAACCAATAACAGTTCAATTTACTTTCTCATTCCTGGTTCATTAACTACATTTAACTTGCTCTTTATCAATTATCATAATTATCCTCTAATATATTACAGAAACCATGTTGTTTAGTTGTTGTTGTTGTTGATTAAAATGAAGATGATGTAGTTGTCATCTTTTCTTGATACATCTTCATTATCATCATCATCATCATCATCATCATTATCTTGTATGTTATTAGTTTCCTTTTCGTTCTGACGTGCCTATCATTTTGTGCCTTTGTTTTGGTCTCTCAACGATTTTCATTTAAATTCATCTTCCAATGTTATTCATTTCTACCAAGGTTCCTCTTGCTCTCTGTTAACCTTACCTTTGCCCTCTGACCCCTCTGGACATCATCATATCTAATTAAATTGTACTTATTTTGTTCATAACCTTTTTTCAGATGCGCTGAGGGATTTAGGGGCCATCGTTGTGAGAGCAAGCACGTTTTTCCTCTTCTGGGATGTATGTTGTTTCTTAATTAAACAATTAATTGATTAATTGATTATTTATTTCGCTTACTTGCTCTCTAACTTATTATCTAATTTGATTCTCTAACTCCGTCAACAATTAACTTAATTTCTTCCCTCATACAATTAACTTTATTTCTGCTTCGCATTTACTTTCGCTTCTTGTTTACATTATCCGGGTTTTCACTTTTAACGGTTCATGGTTTTAACTTGTGTTGTGATTAATTACAATTAATTGATTGTTTACTTTTTTATTAATCCTTCTCTCTCTCTCTCTTTCTTTTTCTTAATTGTTTCAATCTTTGTTAAATCGATTTAATTACAATTAATTTCTTCTTCTCTTCTCTCAGCTGTGCAGAAGGATTCATGGGGCTTCGATGCAATTTCAAAAACGCTTCAGTAAAAGATCGAAGATCTGGTTAATTAATTTGATGGAATATTAATTATTAACTAAGCAATTTCTTCGTATATTTGTGGAAATTTATGAGAAATAAATTGTTTCAAATTGAGATTAATTTAGGACGAAAAACGGAAACGGAACCGATGTCGAACACAAAAATATATATTATATTGGAATAGAAGGAGAAAAATCTCAAATTTTTTTTTCTCCTTCTCTTTTTCTTATATATAATTTACAAATTATTAATTAGCCAAAAGAATAATTATAATTATGGATAAGAACAAAAATCTATTCTAATTCTAATCCATTTCTAATTAATTTCCTCATCATTTCCATCTCTCTCTCTCTCTCTCTTCATCATCCTTGAATCCAAATCAACTAAAATATTCAAGTTACTCAAAAATCTCATTGATCAACTGATCACTTTTTTTGTCTCATTCTCGTTACCAAAATTGTTTTAATTAATTAATTGGCCGATTGATTAATTATGTTCAAAAAAAGAGCTACTTTTACCTGTAAACTTTTGGCTTGTTGCACTTTTCATTATTTGCTGACCTCAACCTTAACCTCAACACGCGTTCAACACGTTGCCAACACTGACACACATGCAGATAAATATGTTTCCCTTACTTTCCCCATGAAACATGAACATTGAGGTTAATTAACCAACAATTAACAATTCGTACAAAAATTGATTGTTCACTCGAGTCAACGGCTTTTCAATCGTGTTACCAATCATCGAAATTTTTTTTCCTCCTCTAACAATTGATCTTCACGATCAATTCATCTTACATCCTCTTCCTCATCCTCATCCTCATCTCCATCCACCCACTTCCTCTTCCTCTTTCAACCCAATTCTCTCTCTCTCTCTCTCTTTTTTCAATTATTATTCTAAGATGTCCAAGTCGCCATCACCATCTTAAAGTTGATAATAAAAATATAAACTAAATTACCATTGGAAAAAAAATCAACAACAATTTAAAGTTGATTGTTAATCAAATTGTCTCTGACCTTTTTTTTTATTGCTACCAAATAAATTGATTATTACATTGGGTTAATGTGTTGGATTTTCATTGTAACAAATGAGATGTAAGTGAAATGTGGTTACACTTGATTGTTGTTAGTGTTTGATTAGTCCAACAATTTAATCATAATCCTCCTTATAGGCATGATTAATTGCTAATTTAATGATTGTGAAAACACCAAATACAAAGCAGGACAATATTGCAATCAACAGGATTAACGGAATGAAGCCAATCAGGGTGTCCGATGTTGATGGACATTTAATTGTCCCATGAGTTGATGGACACTGTTGATGATGTGAATGATTACTTGATGATGAGAATGAGTAGTTTGTTGATTTATCATCGTAATTAATTGATGATGATTGCTGTTGATTATCGGTGATAATCCGTCGCTTTATTTCAAAATCATTTGAATTGTCAGTTGTTGTTGTTGATTCGGATTTTGATGTATTCATATTGCGTTGGTGATTGTTACTCTTTGATTGATGTTTGATTTTCATCACTATTTAATTGATTGACAAGATGATTAAGCAATTGATTTACAAGTAACAGATAAATAAACAATATACCTTGATGACAATTTAATTGATTAACTTGAAACCCAAAAACAAAATCAACAATTGATGCTCTTTCTCAATCAACCCAATTTGGATTGTGCAAGAGTTTATATTGATCCGTCAATGGACAAAGATGAGGATGAAGATGAGGATGAAGATGAAGATGAAGAGGATGCTGAAGACTCTGAGGATGCTCAGAAAATTATCAAATTTGATTGAAGTTTTCATCAGATTTAAATCTTCATGTGAACACATTTATGGTTATTGATTTAAAATTTTTCTCGAGCGATTTTTTTTCCAACTGAGATGCTGTTTAATTGTTATGGTTAATTGTTGGGATTAACATTTACAATTTACTGATCTAAATTTGTCGAATCATTTGTTCAATTGTTATTAATTGTTATTTTCTTTCACCATTGAGAATTAAAATCAAATTAACCCAATTCTCTGATTCTTTTCATTGAGTTTTCCTTTGTTGTTGTAATTACAATTGATAACTAATTGTTATATTCCCATAAAATGAAATTACTTTTAATTGTTGTTGTTAAATGTGTAAAATTTGATTAATTTTGTAACAATTTAGGATTAGTTGTTTTTAGTTGTTCATTGATTATGTTTAACTTTTTTCTCGACTATTTGTGATTAAATATTATTACTTTTTGATTATCACTTTAATTGTGATGAAGATTAAGTTAAATCATCTAAACTATAATCAGCAAGTTGATTGTTGTAATAGTGAGGAAACTGAATCTCGATGGAAACCAGTCTGGCCAAGAATTAATTGTTTCGATTGTTTTAATTGTTGCTACTTTTTGTATCTATTGTTCACCAATGGTCGCCATAAGAACATGGAAAAGGATCTAAAGTCTAATCACCGGCGGCGATTATTTAATTACGATAATCAACCAAACTCTTTCCGGCTCAATATTCAATTGAATAAATTTTCCACAAGCTCTTTAAATTGTTCTGCAGATGATGATGGATACAATTAATTTCACAGTAAATTGATATCATAATCCACCTTTGTATCCTTTTCGGCAAAGCCCATTGAGAACAATGTAACAAATAAAATCTCAGTTAATTTGATTCAACAAGAGTAATTGTTACTTTAGTAATTAACCAAATTTATCCTTAATCTTTTAATTGCCCCTTATACTTGATATATTTGCTATTACATAGATGGTTTAGTAACTGTAACATTTAAATCAATCGTAAGAAATAGTGAAAGTTTTTTGCAAGAAAAAAGTCTTCAAGTGATTTCGCTTTATTTTTGATAATTAAGTTTTTTGTTTTCGACTCGAAACATTTTCAGTCGACAAAATTTTAGAACTTTTTTGGCTCCACCTATGGGTGATTTAGAAAATCTTTGTTCAGTCGCATCGAATGTGTAATTTTACCTCATCTTGGACCGTTATGGACGCGACGAAAGTGAAGAAGAAAAAATTCGTTCAAGCAAGGGAATATGAAGCTTCGAAAACTTTAAGATGCTTCAAATTTTCGCAATACGAGCGTTTGAATCTTTCGCAAGCGAGAAAGCGCGAAATTCGAAATCTCAGTGGGAAAATTTTCCATTCGAAATCGAAATTGTTCATATATTTCGAATTTGGAGAGAAAATGAGTGACATTTTCTTTCGTTTGTTATTTTTAATTAATTCATTTTTCTTTTTTCACAAAAACGTTCCGTTCAGACTCGTTATGGTGTTATCGAAAACACCATTAACCTGAATAATCAGAGAGTCGTATAGATCAAGAGTACTATTAATAATCACGATTCGACATTGAAATTAATTCAGTTCTAATTTTATCGGAATTAGTTCTAATTGCTAGGAGAACACAATTGTTTAGGTTGTGTTTCAAGTCTTGTATGCTCTTGATAAATGCTAATTGTTACAACACATGGAAATTTAAATCCAAAATTACAAATTGTAAATCTAACCATTGATTTAGTTGAGATTTAAAATAAAACTAAATAATGAATTTAGTAAAAAAAGGTTGACAATTTTAATTGATTAAATGATTAATTATGAAAAAATGATAACTAATCAGTAATGTATCAAAATGAAAGGTACAAAAAGTTAATTATCAAAGATTTAGAGTGATGATAAATTTTTGACGATAATTTAATGGTTTCTTTCAGGATTTAAACTTGTGAATCTGAGCGAGTTGAATTATTTTCATTGGAAATTGACCTTCGGCACCAAGGGCTTCATCAACCAGCGACATTATTGTCTTGAAATTACGAGTCGAACCACCGTGATTACCGTACCATGGATATTGTTGAGGACAAGCGGTTGGATGGCAAACTGGCATGTATCGGGTGTCCGATCGAGAGGCTTCATCGGCTTGAGCTGCTTCGCCGTTTTTGTCAAGATAGTGTTTGAGTACACAAGTGTGGGGACGGTTACAGACTCCGGATGTTGATTTACTTGTGTCCTCACATTTAAGGTTCCAAGTGCCCAAAGGTTGTGGATCTTTCATCCATGAAACTAATTGTTGGAAGGTGACAAAGTGAACGTCTTTGTGATCTTTTAAAATTTTCTCAATGAACTTGTTCAAGGCTCGAACCTTAGTTTTCGAGGTGAACCAGGTAACATGGAAATTAAGTTGGAAAGGAGCGCGATTAGTTGAATAATGACGATTGAAATTGTCCATGAGAAATTCAACAATATCGGAACCATCGTCAGTCTCATCGGCCGAAGGGAAAACACATTGATCTAAATGGTGGCAAGTATTAAATTCATTGAAATATGGATTCAATGGGATCTCCCAAAGTCCAGGGTAAGGTTTGGTTGGACATTTAAGCGGACGGCCAAGGTAAGGTGATGATCGTTTTGATCGGTTTAAAGGCTCTGATCTTTTTTGACGTTGGGGTGTTCCTCCTGGTGGACCACGGCCATTTCGTCCGTCAGTGTTAAGAATATCAGTTCGTCCACCTGATGATCCTTCAGAGGAGCCACTTCCTCCATTATTGTTATTATTATTATTGTTGTTGTTATTGCTTGGATTGTTTGAACAATCAAATGGTTGTCGATGGTCAAAGGTGAAAGGCCAAATGGGAACTGGACTTCGAGGAGCAACAATTGTTGAATCATACATGAGACCAAAATCGTGCATCATTTCAAACATTGGGTCACCTCCAGGCTTAAGGTATGGACCACGAAGTCCAACAATATTGTCTCTGGTCAAAACTCCGTTGGTAGTTACACCGCCGTTGGCAAATTTCAACAGGATCTCTCTCATACCGATAACCTCTTCAGCCCATTGTGAATAATTGGCACGGTCAGTCCACCATGTTTCGGGTGTTCTATGACTAAAAACATAATCAAAAGTATAATGATTAGAAAATTATGAGAATCGATCAAAAAATGAACTAATTAAACACATACGTGATTGAATGAAGTCCAATTTCATGGCCTTGACCAGCGAGCCATTGGATCTCAGCATAATTAGCATATTCGTGGTTAATGAAAAATGTTGATCGGATTCCACATCCATTTGGATTATTTCTGCAAAGAAAACAATTAATTAGTTCTCGATCAATAAAATACCCAATCACTTGTTACACAACAATTACCTTGATTGAGCTGTTGAGTATTTGCCACTGTAGCCTAAGATTTTTTTGTACGTTTCAAAGACGAGCTCATTAACTGCCCCACTGAAACTGAGGAGGACAAACTGTGGCGTTTGTGGAGCGGGAATACCGCCGGGAATTGTTGTACCTTCATCAGTACAGAAACAATTGGGTAATTGGCAAGTTTGCTTATTGCAAACGGTCAGTTTATCTTGATTAGTTGCTGCCTTTTCCTCTGGATCCTCTTCGACTGGACCACAGACCAATGAGGCCGTTTTAAAAGTACAGAATTTTAACTTATCGTCAAAATAAAGTGACGGTGGACAAGCCTGAGAGTAAGCATGGTAAGCACCGCAAAGGTAAAACCTTTTACAGTTACTTGGGTCAGCGTAAAGTCCATCGGATCTTGGACAATTAAAAGGTGACCTGTCGTCATCGTCATCTTCACCTTCTTCAGGCTCATCGGGCTTATTTCGTGAGGGGGATCCTCGCGATGGAGGTGGTGATGGTGTTGAAGATGCTACTGATGAAGATGATGATGGTGATTGTGATCTACGTCCATTGTTTGCTTGACCAAGGGACTGGGGCGCTCGTCGACCTTGACCCAATGTTTCACCTGAAGAATAAAAAAAAGAACCAACAATTAACAATCAAACCTTAACAATTAACTCAACAATCAGGATGAATATAAATCAGTTTTGTGTATTACAATTGAAATCAATTTAATTGTTGAAAGACGGAAATCGGCTAATGATGTTGCTTAATAATCAAATTTAATTAACAACTGATCGTGTTTATTATAAGTATTAATTGATTGTAACTAAACTGGTTTAAAATGAAACGGGAAACACCTAGACGAGATTTAATTGATTATCATCAATGAAATGATTTAATGAAATAAATTAAAACGATAACAATTTGATTTTAGTGTCAACAATTAAGGTAACGATAGTAAATTATGGTTAATCGATAAGTGAATCATTTTAATTTTGATTAAAATTGTATTGATTTAACTTTTACCTTTCCGGAAGTTCAGATTAATTAATTAACCAGATTAAAGATAAATAATTAACAATTTAAACTGTTAACCTAAAAGGTAAAACAAAATTTGATTAATTTCTTGAATTAAAATTTTTGTTGATCTTCAAATGATTAACCTTAATTAAAAGTTGAACTGGATTACAATTAAATTTTATTTAAACTAAATTTAATTTGGCAAATGACTTTTGATCATTAAAATGTCCAATCATTTGATTGTTACGATCAACTAAATTTAAATTGATCAGTTTGACTAAACAATCAGGTGATGATTAAAAAAAAAGGATTCAACTTTTAATCCAAACAATTTAACTTGCTATTTAAATCTTATTTAAATGAAACAATCAATCGGAGGATAATAATCAGATTGATTCAAGAAAATAATAATTTTGATTAATATCTAATTAAGAGCAATAATAATCATGACCTTAAATCAATTGTTAATCGTTGATCAAATGAATTATATGATAACTGAAAATGTTCAATAAGTTTAATGAGCTTAAATTGAGTGATTAACTAAATAGTCTAAAAATACTTAATTGTAGATCAAAGGGATTGTTAATGATAACAATTTAAATAGAGACGAAAAAAAAACGAATTGAAAAATACAAAGTTAATTGTGATTCTAATCAGATTACAGTTACTTTAAAAAGCCAAAAAATAATAATAACGGTAATTGTTGTTCGTGAACAAAATCAACGTTTTGTTAAACAACAATTAACACAAATTTAAACGGAAATTTGGTCACAATCAAAGTAATTAATGAGAGAGAGATACTAATCATCTACAAGTAGCCAATATAATCCGATGTCCATCATGGTTAAGATAATGAATTAGATATGATTAAGTTTCTTCCGTATCATGACAATTTGATTACAATCGGATTAAAGAGATGACAATTGATTAAATAGTCGATTTAATCATAAAGGAAATGTAAATAATAACTAAATCAACGATGAATCAAGTCCGTTGTTAACGCTATTAAATCATTGCGAAGTCTATCAAATCATCAATCCAGATCTAAATCCAAATCCAATCTTATCGAGTCTTATTTTTTTCCTTACAATAATAATAAGATTAATTTACAAGCTTGACAGGTAAACTTAATCGACAGGTAACATGTTATGATTATTGATGATAATTGAATATAATAGTGATTGGGACACGGGCACTTTAATTTTCAGCTCAAATGATCAGATTTCGGGTTAAGGGTAACATGGGTTATGAATGTAGTTTTTTTCTTATCATTTTGTCAAAATTAAAGGAACCGGATTAATATAAATCATTAATCATTGATTTTAGAAGAAGTAAATTGATCAGAAGGATGTTCATTTGAAGATGATTAATAAATCGTAATGATTGTCGCGTATATTTGATTATCATGGTTTTCGGATTTTTTTTGTCTCTTCCCAATAACTTTACACACATGATTAAGTTAATTGGATCTGTTAACTATTAAGAACGTAATTGTTGATGTCTATCGGTTTGTGGATAAGATTAGTAAACTATCAAGGAACAATCAACAAATTGTAAAACAATGGCACCGGTGAAGTCAATCTAATCACATATGAGGAAAATAATCAAAATGATTGATCAAATAAACTCTTGGGAGTGGTAACTATTGTTAGAATTGTTTAAATGTTAATTGTTGTGTTATACTTGAGTGAAAATTGAATACACAAGATGAATAATAAAAGTAGAATGATAATTGTTATAAGACTAATTAAGAAGAGGAACAAAAATTGATGATTAACAGAAAAAAAGGTTAATTAATGTAAAACAAAAACAATTGAAGGAAAAAAACTTTGCAACTCTAATTGTCTCTCATCAGCAATAAGCAATTGACCTCTCAATCAAATCGATGAATGTTTCGAAAAAAATGAGTAAAAAGTAATCAATTTGATTGGAACTAAATTAAATTGATTAAGAAAATTAAGAAAATTAAGACTTACCAATGAACAAAGTGACAATCACAATGAGAATTACGCTTTTGAAATGAATCATCTCTTTGTTGATGATTAGTGATCACTTTTTATAAACAAAGGATTTGATTGTCACAATTGTTTTTTGCTGGATTAATTTGTTGTGTGTTAACTTTGGTTAATCAATTGAATTAATAACAGATTATTTCCTGTTATATTAACGTACAGCCATAGGGTTTTGGTTGCTTAAGGCTAATTAATTAAGTTGAATTAAGTTTCCAGTTGAAAAGATCACAAGAAAAACCAAACAAAAAGGTAAAGTTGATTAGCTTATAATTTGTTTTTCATCAATTTTAACTTTAATTACTATGATTTCTTTGTTGATTAACTTTAAGAAGATGATAGTCACTTTTGTACTAAGAGTTCTGATAGTTTAATGATGATGATGATCTCGTTTTGATGGTGATGATGTTTGGATTGCCGGTTGGTTATAATTAGAGAGATAATTTAAGACAGAAACAATAATTACTAATAAAGATGTTGAAACTTTAATTTTCACTCTGGATTTGGGCAGCAAAGGACAATCAACATTTCACTTGGGACATGATTCAGTTGTACCCAAGAAGAAGACGCAAAGGTAAGTAGATATCATGATGATTTCAAATTGAGAAAAAAAATCAAATCAAGAAGGAGAAAAAGGCGTTCAGAAAATGAGAGAGAGAGAGAGAGAGATTGAAGATGTTTTATAAGAATTTAGTGTAGAATATAAAAAGAGGGCTTCGAACGTGGCTTGTTACCGATAACAGGTAATCGAAATTTAGGTCATGAGATCACTAGTTAATACGACGCCTTCTTCTTCTTCTTCAATTTATCTTCATCTTCTTTCAGTTTCAATTCTACTCTCTCAATAATCTTGTTTCCATCTTAATCCATACAAATACACCATCAGAATTGGAATCATCATCATCATCTTAACCAAATCTCGTAAACATTTCTATTCATCGTAATCTAGGATTAGTTAGTCTCAAGTGAACAATTTCGGTCCGGCCTATGACGAACCTTAATTATTCTTCTCTTTATTTAGATTAGTTTGTCCTAATTTAGATCACTTTTCACTTAATCTAAATTAAGTTAGGTTCATTTGAAGATTTCTAGTTGAATAGTAATATTTTCCACCATTGGAGGTAATCTCACTTTCTTCTCAATCGTTGGTCACGCGGATTTGATTGGATTTCAAGAATTTTTGTTCACTTGGCTGTTAATTTATTACATCAGGTTAATTTCTTGATTAATTACAAAATACTTGAAAAATTTTCCTCGTTTAACTTGATTTTAAACGATGATAATTGTTTCTTTTTTTTACTTTGTGCTTTAATTGTAACGATTCAATAATCGCTCCTTGATTATAGTAGTTAAGGAAAGAATAAGTAATAGTAAAAAGAGTATCATAATTACCATAAAGAAATCAGTGTCTTTGTTTTTCCACTGTGAACCATAGTAACTAAATCATCAAGTTGCAGCAACAGATAAGTGGTTATCCAATCCCAAGGTCGTTGAATGGTTAACATAAGACATAATTTTACATCGTAATTTGAAACCAAAGATGACAAATTCGATTACTCAAAAGATATAGAAAATACTGAGAAAATTTCAGTTAGCTTATTGGAAGAAAAAAATATTAACATAAACAAAGAGAAGAAAAAATTTGATTAATTGGTTAGCAAACATATTCAATCATCTTGGTTACAAATGAGAAGCATTTAGTCAGCTATTGGTGACTTGTCATCGCCGCGAAGTGAAAGAAATTCATTTAAACAAATATAAAAAAGTTAAAAGAGACAAATTAATTAGAAAATCTATAAAAACAAAAGAAAAACAATTAACTTAATCTCTCTCAATTTTTGCGCAAAAAAGAATTTCGAATATTTAAATTGTTCGAAAAGTGTCTCCATCTATCGACCGAAAAACCAAATAAGAACATTTTTTGTTCTCCAACTTTTTTATTCTCATTTACTGTTAATTAGTTGATTAACAATTTCTATTTATTATCTCATCTAATCTTATTTATCTTTGTTTTCACCATTTACCAGGTATTAAATTGTCACTGCAACAAATGTTTAAAGTTAAATAAACGATTGATTGATTTGTGTCTCTCTCTCTGTGAGTGTCTTTTGTTTACCAGTAAACAAACATGTTGATACAATTACTTTAAATTTTGGCCTGGACTTAAATTTTACCTTTTTTTGGACAATTGTGATTAACAGTGAAAACCTTTTTGACTAAAAATTAAATCCAGTGACAATCAACGCGAGTCCTTGACTGTGTTTTAAGTGTTTTAATTACCAACAATTTAAACTTAACCACCATCACCATTTATAAGACTAACATTTACCTATTCAATTTTATTTTCCTATCTCAACCCATTCTAATCAGGTCAAGGTTGATGATTTATCCAATTTGATTGGTTTTTTTTGTTTCTTTTTGTCTTTTCATTCATCCTCATTAATTTTTGTTTCTTAATTGAGCTAATTTTATATTCGTTATCCCATATCCATAACCATTATGTTACCATTGAACCTTGAGAAATTTAAGATTTCCAAGGTTTCCATCAATTAGATATTTGATTTCTCTCCGTTTTGTTTTTAATTCTATTAATTCTTGTAAACCAGTTAACCCATCAACTATTAACTTGTTCAACAATCACTAATTACTAATCACTCTAACTAACTAGTTCCTAAGGAGGTTTAATCACATTATGTAATTAGAGATTGAGACAAAATGAATGTTAATTGTAATTTAATGACTATCATTAGTGAAACATCAACATCAACATCATCTGAAAGTTAATCAATCTAATCATTTACAATTAACTTGGATTATGCTTTTCAACTTACTTTACATCATCAACAATTTAAGGTAAGTTAATCAATTATTCACCATATTTGTCCCTAGAAAATTAAGCTTGATTAGTTGATTTGTTTTCCAATTTCTTTGTGTCTGTTACTTTAACTATTATAACCTTAAAACACATTTGACCTTTTAAAAGATGATAATTAGTCAACTATTACAATTAATTTACCTGGAAGGATTTTAGTTGATTGACTAAATCAAATTTGATGCCATAATTTAATAGTAAAATCATTTGATTATCTTGTCATTCACCTTGCGGAGATATTTTCAATTCTGATAGTTGATTGAAGTTAATTGTTGATCAACGTGGAAACAATTGATCAGCGATAATTTTTTGTTTACAATTAGAGAAATTAATTTTATCTTATTCTTATCCTTTTGAGTTAATTGTTTACAATATTGAGAGATACAATTAAGAGTTACCTTTGTATTAATGTATTTTTGTAAAAGTTAAAAAGGATTTCCGTATATGTACAATTATTATAATGAAAATAGACAATTAAATAACGATAATCAAAATTAATTGCTCATTTCATCGGTAACAAAACTAATTGTAATCAATCAACAATCAAATTAATCAATGATTCATGAATCATCAATCTCATAGAAGTGTAAAAGTTAATTTATAAGCTTAATTAGTTGATCAAATTGTTTGATCATGCTTTTTATTTAATAGAAATAAATAACAGATCAAATTTATCATACTAATTGTAAACAATTAATTAGGGGGAAAATTTTCACTTGTTTCTATTTTTAATCAACAATCAAAATCTCAAGTGGTTAAGAAGATGATCTAGTTAGACAGTTGATCAAATCTTTGATTAGCTGCTCTTTAAACTAGTTTAATAGTTACAATTGAATCGAACGAGTAAATGAAATTAAGATTAATTTTAACAAAATTTAATCGAAAACATTTTTTTTTCTTTTTTCTCATTTTTCGAACTTCGAATTTGGTTTTTGAAAAGCGCGGGCTCGACATTTTTCTCTTTTCCCCTTTTGAAGAAAAAGAAAAATCTTCACAATAAAAGATTTAGATTTTTTTTGGTAACTATCTTTCAATTGTTTTCTTTTCTTTTCCTCTTTTAATTTCTTCCAAATAGTTTATCAGAATGTTGATCATCGTCTTGTTCTAACAACTATTGAGTCTATTTGTTTATGGTTTACTTCCTGGTGTCCAAGGATGGTGAATCTTTCTTCTGTATTTCAACCTTATTTGCTGATCAAATTCATTGGTAACTAATAGTAGAGCCTCTCTCTTTTCTATTGATGTGAAGAGAAAAATAGAGAAAAAGAGAAGGAGAGAAAGAGAGAGAGAGAGAGTGAGAGAGAAAAGTGTATGTAAGAAGAGTAAAAAAGACAACAATAATAAAGGAATATCAACTATATCCATAATATATATTCCCATCAAAATTGTGAAAACGAATTTGCTTTTTTCTCTTATAAACATCATCGAGATCCTATTAACCACCTTCATGACTGTGATTCCAATTTGGTTGATTTTTCATTAATTGTCTGGTTTTTTCACGTGGTTCCAACTAGATTATTGTAAACCAGTTGTTCTTGGCCTCACTGATATTTCTGTCAAACACACTCACATACCTACTACATACACTCATATTCTTCGCTTACATTTACCAATACACTCACACACACACAAACACAAAAGACAGATTGGGTCTTCTTCCTGTTTACCTCTTAGGAAATGTCCTCGACGAAAGGACAGAGTATATTGGAAAAATGGTTACAAGATATGCCCAATAGTAATCAGAGATCGGTGAAAAGAGAAAAACGAGACTGTGATGATCTGTTGGCAAGTAAAACGAGTAGCTCGTCCAACCTATTCCTCAACCAGTTTTTACCATCAGTATCAGCTTTACCCTCATTACCATCATCTGCATCATCATCTTCAGCAACATCAAGCTCAACGGGACCGATAAACAACGGATTAAGGGCTCAAGATTTATCTAAACTACCTAAGGTAAATTATCTTACATGAAAGAACAAGCATTTTATTTTCATTCAAAGTCTCTTCTCAACTGATTGAAGCTCCATTGTCTCACCCTTTCTTCTTATATCGAGTGTGTATTCTCTATCGATTTTCAGGCCAAGGGATTGATTCACATCAGTTTTAGCTTCAAAACTCAAATTCTTTTCAAATGATTTCTCAAAATTAATCTGTTCATTAAGTCCAATTCCAATCCTCATGAAATTATTTCTCTTCTCCATTACAGAAAGTACCTGATAGCGTTCAAGATTTAACCAATTGTATAGATGCTAAAAGTATTAAAGGAGTATTTGGTTGGTCTACTGTCAACGATATTCCTTTACCTGTAATCCTACGAGAGGATCAAAAATTGGTACCAGTCAGGGTTGTTGAACTAAAGGTAATATCTCATTTTCTTTCTCGATCCTCACATTGTTTACATGGATGGAGTTATGTCATGTTTGAAATATCTTGCATTTTCTATCTCTTGCAACATTACAAATCTCTATAAGTTTCAAGATTCCATGTTACTCTTTCAATCTTTTGCTTTGTTCTTATCTTTTCATCTTCATTTATCTGTTATCAGGTCATTGGTAAATACAGTGAATCCTTACCATGGACAGTATTCTCTTGTATAAATGTCCGTAGTTACTACATTACAGACAATGAGGCAAAACTATTAAATGAAATCAATGGATTCCACTGTAATTATCTCTATGGCTTTGAGCAATTCACCTCAAAGGACGTAGTCGTCTGCCTCTCTGATGTTGTAGCCCTAAATAAATTCTTGGAGCAAAGTGAACAAATCTTCAATCAAGGTCTTTCTAAAGCTGACGTCGATGGTCTCGGTTTTATTAATGTATCGGGATACGTGATATTGCCTTATATTAGCAAGAAAACAGTTTGTAATAAAACATCAACAGCATCTCCTCCACCTGAAGCCACCACTACACCTCCTCCGACACCGACAAGTAGTAGTAACAATGCTGCTTCTAACAATAACATCCCAAGTACTGAAAATGAATCTTCAAACGATGATGGTAATGGTTTACCGACCAGTGAATCCAATCCTGACAATGAAGATAGTTCAAGTTTCGTGGTACAAAAGTACGTCCCTGAGTCGTTGAGCACCAAATTTTTCCTGTTGGTTAAAGAGAACAAAATTGAAATGACTGAATGGGATGCATCTTATTTAAAAATGTTGTATATATATGCAGGTATTGACAACTGTCAGATTCCTCCAAATGATAAATTGTGTTTACTTAGTGACCTCAAATGGGATTCGTCTCTGTGTCCACTGCAAATAGAGGAATGTGATCCTAGAGGAGGTCAGAATTACCATCCACCTAAAAACTATCTTACCTCACCATATACACACCGTGGACCTGAAAGAGTAGCCATGGACCTGAATTCTCATCTCAGTCACCATCTTCACTTACATTCTCATTTAAACCCTCATCCTCATCCCCAACCCGTTCTTCAATCTCATCATCATCAAACACGTTCAGTTTTCTCAATGCAGAACTCAAGTAAACAGAACACGAATAACCATCATAACCATAGCCACTCTCATGTCACCCACCATCATCAACCACTCAACTCTAGCAATTGTATCAATCATAATCAATCTTGGCCTCTTTCACCGGCTAACCGAAAAATATCCAGATTATAGATTGTAATAAATTAAAAAATTCAAAAACTACAAAATTTGAAGTTTCAAAATGTTATTTTAATATTTTAGCCAATATCGATATTGAAAATTTAACTACTTCGCTTGAGAGCCAATCGTTTATCTCTCTCCTCGGCGACAGTGAGACGGATACCCCGACCCTTGGGAAGTGAAATATAAGGTTTGGATCCTTTTCCGATAACGAAAATGTAATTCAATCTGAAAATGAAACAAAATGAAACAAGATTAGAAATTTCAATACCATTGTAATAGACAAAATGTTAAAATTCGTGTCAGGAAGACTAATCTAACTTTCATAGAGATCAAGAATTATGGACAATATTTGTCATCATCGAATGTTAGATTTTCCATTAAACAAGAGAAGAATTTTACCTGGTAGCGAAAGAATGTCCTCGAGAATCTTTAACGTGTACAATATCGAAACTACCAGGATGTCGCTCCCTAGAGGTAATAGTACCGATTCGACCCAAATTGTGCCCTCCAGTGACCATGCAAAGGTTACCAGTTTCAAATTTCAAGAAATCCAAGATTTTACCAGTGGCAATTTCGATTCGGACTGAGTCGTTTGGCTTGATCAGGGGATCAGGATACCGAATAGTTCGTCCATCATGTGTAACAATGAAGGGAACTCCTTTGGGTCCAGTAGCAACTCGCTTGACCTTACAAAGTTTGTACTAAAAATAACAAAATTACAATTAGCCACGTGGTTTGAAAAAGGTTGATTCCATTCAACTTACAGTTGCCTCTTCAGGCCTAATTCTGTGGAGGGTAAATCGACCCTTAACATCATAAAGAATTCTGTAATAATCCTTAGTTCGATCGATGGTTAAAACATCTGAAATGAAATAAATAAAATGATTAGAATTGTACAGCAAATGGGTAATTCTCACAGACAATAAGTAGTGTATACAACGAGAGACCATATTGCGATGCTTTATTTTAAGCCTTAGTTTGAACAATAAACAAATTCATTTGTTAAATGTCTTCGATAAAGGCTCTCTCTCTATTTCCCTTTAATGACCAAGATAAACTTACCCATGAAACCAGCAGGATAATTAGAATCAGTTCTAACTTTACCATCAACTTTGATGGTACGTTGCATGACAATCTTGGTAACTTCAGCATTAGTTAAAGCAAACTTGAGTCGATTTCTCAAAATGATTACGAGAGGAATGGATTCTCGTAATTTGTGTGGACCAGTTGATGGACGAGGAGCGAAAACACCACCTAATTTGTCCAACATCCATGATTTTGGGGCTGCTAATCGCTTAAGATGCTTCTTTAAACCACGAGCCTATTCAAGAACAAGAGAGAAACCATAACAAAGATTCAAGTATTAACACCAAGTCCAAATGATTAGACAACAAGCAAATTCACAGGATCGAAACAACACAGGACAGGTCATCGAAAACAATCAAACTTACCATGATTAATTAATTAAATTACTAAACAAAACAAATTATATAAATACACCAAACTACCGAAACCGATTTAGAAAACGGAAACAGAATTGAAAGGAAGTTATCCTAGTGGCGATAAAAGTGACATCTAACATTCAGTTTCTTAAAATTCTTCGAGCGGGAAATTTAATTCTTTTCCATTCCAATTAAAACAAATTACTTTTCATCTTTTCTATTGCAATTAGAATCATTTGAATCTATCAGTTCGACAAATTAACTTTATTAAGAGATAATAAATTGTTCTATTTAATTGATATAAAGAACAATTTCTAGTAATCAGATTGTTTTCTTTCTCCAATAAGAAAAAGAGTTCATAGTAACCGCGGTTTCTTTTTCTTGGTTTCAAGAGAAAAAAAAATTTTCATGTGTTTGTAATTTTTTGATTTTCTTATTAAATTAATTTCTTTTTAAGAAGAATTAACTTATTAATTATGTTTATTAATAATCTTTCATTGGCTGTTAAAGGTTCTATTAGGAAACATGGAGCTACATTAATTTGGTCGAGACATATTGTTGGTACTGGTGATAAATGGGTGAGTTTGATTTTCTGATTGATTCATTTTCAATGTTATTAATGTGTTGATATGATTTCTTAATCAATTGTTTATTTTGTAATTTGTTTTTGATGCTTTTAGGGCAATTCATCACTTGGAAAATTGTCTACTCTTGATTATGGTTCGTTGATTGATTCTCATGATGCTGGTAAATTGCCATTGGTAAATTTGGTCAAGTTAAATGAAGCTCAAGTCAAAATGATTGATAATTATTCAATTGGAGACTTGAAAATATTACCAAGTCTAATTAAGGATCCAATGTTTACTGCTAAGAAGAAAAGGAGATCAAAAGATAAACAATCTGCTAGAGATTCTGATAAAGAAGACGAAGATGATGATGATGATGATGACGACGATGACGACGATGAGCTGGTTCCCATTGACTATGTAGATTTGGACATCGAGACGGGTAATCTCAGATTAGACGCTGTGATGAAAGTGGCCCTTCCGATACCAAGAAGTAAAATTGATGCTTTACATGCTGAAGATAAGATTCGAGTTAACGGTGAACGGGTTCAAAAAAGGTCTATGGATGTCGGCGAAGGAGATGTAGTTGATATGATCAATGGTCGAAATCGTGCAAACAGTAATCTATTAGACATTCGTCGATTCAAATTAATGTCGGTTCCCGAATTTAAAACGGCCAAAGATCGAGTTAAATTTAAAATTCGTCGATGGCCTTCATTAACTATCGAAAACTACAAAATTCATCCATTTGAAAGTTTGGTACTAAGAGAGGAGGAAGAAACAAGGACAAGATCGTAAATCATTTTATACTAATTCCAATCATAATTGTATCTCTCCTAATTCATATTCTGTATTTAAACAAATCTATTAATAGTTTCAATTAGTAAAATTAAAATATAATGTTAATCTAATCAATTTTGATCAATTCTAATAAAAAAAAAGACAACTGAATGTGTCAAATTAAATCACGAAAGTACATTGATCTTAATTGCCTCTTAATCACATTGACAAAGATCCCTCATAATTAATTAGGCAAATTGGTATGTAAATCAGTAATTACGATTGATACAATTAAATTATTTTTGAAGATCAAGGTTAAATTGTCTAATAATTAATCAGTTTCCATGGTTAAGTTGATTAACCTTTCACCGTGACAAAGGTTTGATTACAATTTCTAATTACTCAATGATACGGGCCGTGAGTTAATCATAATTATCCCATCAATTAATTGTAATTAAAAGAGTGTAACCAATGAAAATGATAAATAGTTGATGATGATGTTAATCAATGATCAGTGAGTGTCTTAATTGTTACTGTTAACATCATAATCAGCAAAGTTTGAATCCAAAAAGTTGGAAAAACAAAAGTCAAATCATGTTGGTACAATTAATTTTTTTCTCGTTAATTTTAATTGTTTCATCAAGTGTATTACGTTATAGTGACTCTTCAATAAATGAGAATAACAATTTAGTTAATGATAATGGTGAAGAAAATGAGGATTTAATCATTAAACGTTACCAATTAGCGAAGGATCAAAAACATGGTTTCATTTATGATCCAGTGAGTATTTGAAAGCACAATTAAAGTGCAACAATTAACTGATTCATTTGTTTCAGGATTTTTACACAACCGAAATTAAAAGAGATACAATTTATCCGTTGACTCGAGTTGATTTTGAACGGGGGTCATTTTTATCGGAAGACGATATAATCGGCAACGATAGTGTTTTATATTCATCTGATTACTATGAAGGCGACATTGTTGAAGATCTGGTAAGTGAAACAATTAACTAATTGCGAGTAGAATTTTTGACAAGAGAAAAATGTTTCGTTAATTGAATAGCGAGAGAGAAACGCAGTTCTCGAGGCGAGTAACACTTGGCCTAATGGACGAATACCTTATGTATTATCGAGAAAATTTAGCGAAAGAGATCGGGCCGTTATCGCTCGAGCGATGGCCACTTATCATAATAGTACTTGCGTTAAATTTGAAGCTCGAACCAACGACGATTCAGATTATATTTACATCTACCCTGGACTTGGTTGCGCTTCGCTTGTCGGCAAAGTGGGTCGAATGCAGCCCGTCCTGTTGGGCCGAGGTTGCGTCTACTCGGGAATCGTTGAACACGAGCTAATGCACGCAACGGGATTCTGGCATGAGCAAAGTCGAGCCGATCGAGATTCTTTCGTTAAAATTAACTGGGACAATATTGAAAGAGGTAAGGAAAACACCAAACAACCAAATCGACTCTCGACTAATCAACTAATTGTTTCCTCAGGGATGGAATATAATTTTGCCAAATTAAGTCTTCGAGAAATAACTCACCTCGGTGAACCTTACGATTACAACAGTGTAATGCACTATGGAAGCCACGCTTTCGCTAAGGGATTTGGGGCCACAATCAGCCCGCTCAAGGACGGGGTCAGTATTGGTCAACGGCGAGGGTTAAGTGAGACTGACATTAAAAAAATCAACAAACTCTACAAATGTAATGATGAGAAACGAGTGTCAAAAAAATCAAAAAGAAAAGGTTAACAATTTACTTAATCAACTCGATTACAATTAATTTTCTCCTCATCAATTGGTCTCAACTAATTAAGATAGTTAATTGTTGAAAGTTTACCTTTGATTATTGATGAAAACTTTTTTACTTTCAATTATGTATTCATAATAATTTTGATACAATTAAAAGTTTTTTTTTATCATAAACTCACAATTAAAATCGTTGATTGTTTCAGTTTTTTTTTCTGATCAATTATATCCAACAATTTAAATTGGTAACCTCAATTATTACAATAATCAAACGGGATTCCCTTACCATTAATTCAAGGGCAATTAACCATTGTTGCTATTGTTAAGGTAACTTTAATTAGTTAATTACGAGGAATTAATTTTATTTGTTTTCATTCAGATTCATTAACTTTTCCAGTGATTATTAAAGTAAATTGTCTAGAATTGAAAAAATCCCTTTCGTTAACAATTGTGATTAAAAATGGAGACAAATTATCAATCCTTGTGGTAAATCAATCAATCGTATCGACTTATTAATTGTTAATAATTTCAACTACCGACGAAACAATCAAATCAAAGACAAATGAAAGTATAAATTTTCAGAATTGATTAGTTAATCATTTCATTTCCACTTCGATCATATTAGTGATTAGGTTAATCAAAATACCAATTACATTATGGTCAACGTAATTTCATTCGTAGTGATTTTATCAACTGGTAAGATATTAAATTGTGATCAATTGATTGTTACCAGTTAACTAATCATCTTTTCATCAACAGTATATTTAACAGTAATCGCTGATCCTGATTGTTCAAAGGCTGAAGAAGCGCTTGATAATTGTGGCCTTCATTTAGATTTAATCGACGACCAGGACATTCCAATTCCTAATAATGACGAAGAGATGAAAGATCATTGTTCGTAAGTGAATTAACCGATTGTTGTGATTAAATAATCAACTGATTAAATTTGAAATTCCAGGAAAATGTTCACTAATCTTGATTGTATTCGAGATTTCAACAAGAAATGTTTGAAACCATTTCCAAAGACACTTTTCGGGATGTTCGGACATGACCTGAGGAAAGAATTGAAACATCGATGTGATAAACCTGAAGGTCGAGCTGGTAAGTGATTAGTTAATTGTTCTCAGAGGAACAATAAGTTTAATTGCGATTTATCACTTGATTAGAATTCTTGAAACATGCTGAGTGTCTCCGACACAAAGAAAAACTTGGGCCGATTGTCCAATGTAAGAACAATTTCATCGGTCAACTCGAGTGGATAACAAGTTCGGTCAAGAAAGAGGACGAAACTGTGGCCGCTTGTTGTGCTTTCCACCAGGCCCATGACTGTTTTGCGACAAAAATCGAAGAGGTTTGCCATCCAATCACCGGATCAGGAACAAAGGAATACATTGATCAAGTCCTCGAATCAACAGTAAGTAATTAGGGACAATTAACGAAGTTTCATTGTTGAAATTCATTCGAAATTTAATTCCGCTCTGTCCAGGTCACCGAAGCCATTGATTACGCTTGTGGAAAATATAAAACTCTTGACCATTGTCACGAATTTTTGGATAAATCGATTTGGGACAAATTGTTCGAGATCGGTAAAGATGCGACCGCTGCTGGAGTTAATGTCCATCATCGATCGTCAATAACTGCAGTAGTTGATTTACTTAATCAATTCGATAATGGTCAGTCTTAATTGCGATCGTCATTCTCGTCTTCTAACTGAGAAAATTCCGGCAAATCTAAAGTTATTTAATTAATTAGTAATACAGAGTTTAATGAATGGAAAACATCAAAATTGTTATTAAATTGATTTTTGTTTCACTTCAACTGATTAGATTTTTTGACTTAATTACAATTAAACTGCAATTTACAAAGTTGTGTATCAAAATTTTCGTTATTTGATTCGGTTGATCTTGCAAATGTAAACAGGTCCAACATTGTTGATTATATTGGGTAAGACCTGAGTTCCATAACGAAATGTATGAAATCGGTAGAGACCTCGAAGTGGCCTAAATGCTTCCTTCAATTCACTGATGCTAAAAGTACTCGAAGTTGTTTGAGAAAGTTCATAAAGAGACATATGAACCACTCCATCGTTTTGAATGGGTGAAAGTGTATTTGTAGTATAAATTAATGATCCACCAGGTTTTAATAGTTCTAATCCTTTCATTAGAATTGATTTTTGTTTGCTCGGCAACGTAATCCTTTCATTGGATCGCGTGGGTTTGAAATAATTATCGTAATTATCCTGGATTGCAAGTCGGTCATTTGTCGACGGCACATCGACCAAAACTTTGTCAAAAGCTGAATTTAGATCAACATCTTCGGCTGAACATTGTTCTAAATGATAGGAAGAGGCGAGACTTGGAGTTCGAGGAAGGAAATCAGATACTTTCTGACGGAGAATCGAGAATCGAGTTTTGTCCGAGTCACACGCGAACAGGAAAGATGGACGAAATGTAGATAACATTAGAAGTGTTTTTCCTCCAGGAGCAGCACACAAATCAGCAACTCGATCTCTAGGTTTCAACCCTAAGGCTAAAACGGGTAATATGGCAGCAGAATCTATGAGTAGATAGTCAACCATTCCGTTTGACAAACTTGGAGGATCAAAGGATTCTAATGATTCTCGAGGAAAACTGAAGATCTTGGGAGTTTCAGGAATTTCCAGCGAAGGCTCTACAACATTTTCTACATCAAACTCGAGACTTGGATCATAGAAACGATAATAAGTATCCTTATCAACTATTTCCTCTTCATACTTCATCTCACTGGATGGAACAAAATCATTCAGGTCAATGTTACTCGATAAATTTTCCATGAATCCTTCCTTGTCCCGCAAAGAATCAACGTCGGTCTGAAACATCTCGAGAATATTTTCAGGATCACTAGCCGCTGAAAGGACTCCTCCAAGTTCTCCATCACTTATGTCCGATACTTCGATGTCACTTTCGATTTCATCAACAGTAACTCCTTTTTCCATGGCTGTTTGAATACGTTTTGCCTCTCTAAGAACAAAACAATACCATTAGTTGAAATCGTTAGTAATTCTAATCATGTTACCTTTTCTCTTCAAGTAGTTTTTTCCGTAATTTTTGACGCTCATAATGTCTCCTGTATTTAGAATAGAAATGACTTAAATTTGAAGCCCCTTTGATCGCAAAAGTGGCCGAAATTTCATCCGGATCCTTAGCGAATGGATTGACCACAGCAACACATTTATTAGGCCAATGCAAAGCGATTCTTATTGATAACCATTTATCCTCGTAAACTTTGGGATAAAACGAATCGAAATGTTGAAGAGCATAATCTTTGGGAAGTACTGCTTTGTTTAGTTTATGCTAGAAAAATAGACAATCAATTGATTAAAGTGATTAGTTGATTGTTAAACGAAATGAACAACAACATTGAAAACAAAAGAAAAGCCAAAAATAAACTTACCCATTTCTCACCAAGAGCAACAGCATTTCTAGACCAGATCAACGCGAATCCTTGTCTCTTAATAGTATTTCTAACACTCCAAGAAAGATTATTAATAAACATCACAATTAATTACCAACAATTAAACAATTGCAACCACAATAAACACATGATTGGAAATGAAAAAGACGCAATCATATGGCGTTACTATGGTAACCAAAATGAGCGAAAATTTTTTTCAAACTTAACCAAAACTCAAAACTCAATTAACTTTTTCAACTTTTTTAATTTTCCTTTAATTTGATTGATTAAATTTTTGTAATTCCGAAATGATTAATGAATAATTCATATTTTCTTATGAATACAAACTTGTTGGTTAATTTTTTCGTAAAGAAAAAATGTTAATTTCTCTTCTTACTCGACCAAGTAACTCTTACAATTAGTTAATTGTTGCAATTTACTATCGTTTGTTATTATTATAATCGTCATAAAAGTATAATAAATATAATCGGGAAACAATTGTGTTCAGGGTTATACGGTTAATTGATCATGTAAAACATTTAAATCATAACTTTAATTCAGATCATTAAAAAAATCTCTCAATCTAATCAAAAATTGATCAACAATTAACTTTATTATTATCATTTCAATTTCAATCTAAAATTGAGAGGATCAATATACTTTTATCAACATCAATTCAAGATGAAAAATGAAGATTAATTAGTAAAATGATCAACCAAATTAATCAATATAATAACAAGATGATCGGTGAATTGATTTAATTGTTAATCCAATGAGGATGTTAAATTGTAGTGATTAAAAATGTATCTTAACCTTGGAGATGATTGAAAAGATTAAGAGGAAAACGTTTGGTCATTAAATTGGTCAAGAATAAAATTTGATTGATTTATGTGATTAACAGAAATAAATTGTTGTATTAACAATGGATTAAGATTGGAAAATGTTTCAACTACAATCAAGATTAAATATCTACAATTTAGTTTAATCATTTTAGTGAGAAATTGTAAACCAAAAGTGACCTTGAATGTTACGTTCAATCAACTCCCTGATCCGTGATAAAATTAATCCATTGGAGATAAAGGTGATCACTAGAGTGGAACCGGAAGTGGGCTGAACTTATCGAGGGAGTTGGAAAATATTCTCATGCTGAACTTGGAACCAGCGAAAAAAAAAACGGAAATTCACAATGTCCAAGGTCCAACATTCAACGATTGTCCTTTAACAATCAACGTCTCACAATCAGTGTCAACTCATCAGTCTATTGTTTAGACGGTTTGTTTTGTTTTCCAACAATTAAATTTGATTGTTGGACTTTTGTATCTTGAATGGTGAAAATCTAAAAGATTCAACATTAATCATGTTTAATTTAAGTTTCATCTTGTGTCCAATTACTTTGATATTATTGTTGTTCTCATCACAATCTAATGGACAATATTTCAATCCCTCAGGATTTAATTCACTTGATGGCTCATCGGATTTTATTGGTTCTAACGATTTCGGATTAAATGGATTAAATTTGGGCTCCAATGGAAATGAACTTTTCGGTCGACGACAATATGGACAACCCGCTGAATTTGCTCATTCCCATGATAATTTTGATCGGGAGAAAACCTCAGATGAGATAATCTCGGCAAGGATTAACCCATTGCCCCATATATTTAATCCTGGATTAAGACGAGGATTAGTGGGATTACAACATATCGAAGCTCGTTATCATAAAAAACCAGCACCTCAACGGGAACTATTAAGACCACTTTTACTATTAACTAATCCATCAGCTAAGTGATTAACTTAAATTGTCATTAAATCAACTGTAAAAACTATTACTTTTTCTTAAACGATGTAAATTAATTTCTTCAGTAACGTTACAATTAACTCTTAATTAAATCAATTGCATTCACTATCTAACGAATCCCTCATTTCTTAATCATAACCATCACCAACAATTAAGCTACTCCAAGTATCACAATCAATTAAACAATTCTAATCATCTTCGTGCTATATTTAAATATTGATCATTTGTTGATTAAAAGCAATCCTATGATAACAATCAATTGTTGATTGGAACGTGTTGAAACAATTAACTTAAAAATAGTGTATTGGTTGATTGTGACAATCACGATTAACAAATGTAAGAATGAAAATTGATTACTTGAAACAATTAAGAAAACAAAAACAAATCAAAACTTTAATTTCAATTTCAACTTGAATTTAGTTTAATACATTACATTTGAGATGGAAATTTGAATTCAGTTTAATTAAAATGTCTCTCATTACAATTACTCAACAATTAATTTATTTTCTAGTGTTTCAATCAACAGTTTCTCTGAGAATTAATTTAATTCCAAGATTACAATTATCTCCGATAAAATTGTTAACAAGACGTTTTTCCAACTCTCCATTAAATGTCCAACCGATTAACAATCAACAAATTGTTGATCACAAATCAATGGCAACACCAGTGATCACTTATTATCCACTTAAATCAAATCAAGTTAATCACCAACCTCAGTTAATTTTCATCCCAATCTCGGGAATGAGCCAATTACCAATTCCACCTCCAATGATGATGATTAATCAACTTGGAGCAATTAACTCAGTGATTAAAAAGTGGCCCAAATATTATTTACCTAAAGGATTTGTTAAGAATTACAGTTTATTCAAACCTTTTCGATCAACAATTAACCTTAAATTTGAATCGAATCCAATTGGATTTAAAGAATTGAGACATTTCGGTCAACCGAGAATCAATTCAGTTTCTCATGATTATTTCGACCGAGAAAGAACTCCAGAAGAAATCGAATCATCTGAAACTTTCCCTGTTTTCATGGTGAATGCTTGGATCGCCGATTGGGTGACCAGATTCAATAGACTCGAATTCGATTATGCCTCCAAACCAGAACATAGAACTCGAACCATGACAAAAGCCCTTCGAACGATTCTCAACGCAATTGGATGAAAATTTCAATAATCAAATCGAGTGGAAATTTTTTCGTTAATTAAACATCTTCTCAAACATTGTTCAATCTTCTAATTGTTTTCTACTTTAAAACTGTTTAATCGCCATTTCATTTAATTGATGTACAATTAACATAAAAGTCAATTTCAAATCAATAACTTTTCTCAACGAATTTATTTTCATGATAACATTTGATAACAGTAATTATCATTTTCTCAAATTGATTTATCGTTAATTAAGTGAGAAAAAATCACAAACGGAATTTTAGCCTACGGAAGTTCAATTTTGAATATTGGGCAAGTTTCAATATCAAAATGAAACGCGTGATATGACAAGTCCAACAATGTGATCCATTGATTCTTGTCTTTGAATTAACGCTCTCAATAAACGTTTACCTGTGACTTGCAAGAGAGAGAGAGAGAGAGAGAGAGAGAGAGAGAGAGAATGAGAGCGATACCTTTACAATTTTGATCAAGTTTTTGAACAACAACAAAACTATTTTTCTACTTACTGTTTTCGTTGATTCTTCATCTTCACCTTCATCTTGTTTTTAACAATTTCCAATCTTGACCAATTTCAGTTTATTCCCATTACATATTTGTGTTGATTGTGTTGATCAAATCTTTGCCAACTTCTCAAATAACGGATTTAATTGTTAACATTTTGTGATCGTAGTGTTTATTTGTTTCCATGTGATTCTGTTTACAGCACAAACAAAAGATGATGTCTAACATGACAATTAACATTTTTAATCTAGTTTTTAATTATCTTTCTTTTTTAATCAAAAATCGTCGTTAGTTAATCAATGTTTTTTCTTCTCATTTTCCTAATTCGATGATGTTTATTGTGTTCAACTTTCTTTGTTCACTTTAATAACCAATAGAGAAATCGAATCAATGACAATTTAATCTTTAAGATGATATTTTCTAAACTAAGTCAATTGTTGAGTAAATCTTTTAACCGGTTATCACTTTTTAAACTGCATGAAGCAATTGAAGCGAAACATGACAAATATGGATCAATTCGTGTGGAAGAAAAATATTGGCCTGTTAGACGGACAATCGTTTACGTTTTTAATCCATCCGATATTGAGAAAATTTTACGAGCCCAAGGTAAATTTCCCTATAGACCTGCGAATGAATTTCTGGTCAAATATCGTTCATCTTTACCTGATCGTTATCCGACAATTGGATTTGGTAATCTACAGGGTGACAAATGGTTCTCTCAACGACAGTTAATTGCTCCTATTTTATTATCCAGTGGTGTTCTTAATTCCTATCTACCTAATCTTAATGTGATTACCGATGATTTTATCACTTACCTTGGATTCCAACAGAATCAACAAGGTTCCATCAATGATTTATTAACTTGTACTGATCAATTTTCCCTTGAATCGATCGCCATGATTTGTTTAAATACTCGACTTGGTTGCTTATCAACCATAGAACCTTCAGAAGATGGTAGAAGATTAATTAGTGCGTCTAAAAATCTATTCAAATCATTTCAAGTTCTTTACCATGGTGTTCAATGGTGGAAATTCTGGCCTACTCCCAGTTATAAGATGTTCGTTGCCGCCGAAGAAGAGATTTACAATATTTCTGATAAATACGTTGATCGTGCTTTAAATGAGCTAAAAAACGATGATCAAAATTCGTGCCATGAGAAAGATGATTATGATTTAAATGATGACAGTAAATGTCTGTTGAAAACTTTGCTAATAACGAAGGGTTTAGATAGAGACACCGTACGAACTACAGTTATGGACTTTATGGTCGGTGGTATTAACACTGTTTCCACTTCGCTCTGTTTTCTTCTCCATCATTTATCGGTTAATCATGAAATTCAGGAGAAATTATTCAAAGAATTGGTCCAAGTTATCGGAAACTCACAAGTCGATGTCAATGAGACACATTTGAGTCGATTACCTTACCTGAAAGCTTGTTTAAAGGAAAGTTTTCGATTGGCCACAGTTATACCAAATTTGGTTCGAATTCTTCCTGATTCGATCTCTCTTTCAGGTCAAAATGTTCCAGCAGAAGTAAGTTGATAATTTCGGTCCAACGATTAGTTGGATTTTGATTCATTTTTGATAACTTTTTCTCTATTTAATTTAATAGGTTCCAATTATGTTATCCTTTGGAGCTATTTGTAAACATCCTGATTATTTTGACGAACCGGAAACATTTCGACCTGAAAGATGGTTAGGTGATGCTCGCAGAGCGATTCATCCCTTTTCTTTACTAACTTTTGGCCTTGGTAATCGAATGTGTCGGTAGACGAATGTCCGAAATCGAGTTGTACATTGCAACTGCCAAAATTATTCTCAAATACAAATTGTTATCAGAAACACCTAAATTATTATTGAAACAAGACTTTATCATTATTCCGGAAAATCAGATCAAAATTCATCTCGAACCAAGATGATTGATAAAAAAGGTAATTAGTTTATTTTTACTCCATTTCGTTTCTAACACAAGATGTTAATTGTTACAATTAATTAAATAGATGAAACTTGTAAATTTACTGGATAAAAAACAATCAAGGTAAAATGATCAAAAGACTGACCAGTAGTGGACACATTCAAGTAACTAAATGCAATTTGATTAAGTTTAAAGGTTTGATATTTTAATGGTCATTGTATTGATACGTCAATCAAATCATAATTGAAATTGATTGTTTGCAATAATCAGTGTCGATTGATCAATTAACTTAATTATTATTATTTTCTTCTTTTTCAATAATAATTTTCAATGATTATTTCGACCGAGAAAGAACTCCAGAAGAAATCGAATCATCTGAAACTTTCCCTGTTTTCATGGTGAATGCTTGGATCGCCGATTGGGTGACCAGATTCAATAGACTCGAATTCGATTATGCCTCCAAACCAGAACATAGAACTCGAACCATGACAAAAGCCCTTCGAACGATTCTCAACGCAATTGGATGAAAATTTCAATAATCAAATCGAGTGGAAATTTTTTCGTTAATTAAACATCTTCTCAAACATTGTTCAATCTTCTAATTGTTTTCTACTTTAAAACTGTTTAATCGCCATTTCATTTAATTGATGTACAATTAACATAAAAGTCAATTTCAAATCAATAACTTTTCTCAACGAATTTATTTTCATGATAACATTTGATAACAGTAATTATCATTTTCTCAAATTGATTTATCGTTAATTAAGTGAGAAAATTACATAAATTGTTTTTTAGAATCTAGAATTAATTAGTCCAAAACCCTATTTACCAATTTGAAACATTTTTTCTGCATTGAAAAAGCCTCAATATCTCACAAAGTTTTGCTTAATAATTTTGGCTTAATCACAAACGGAATTTTAGCCTGCGGAAGTTCAATTTTGAATATTGGGCAAGTTTCAATATCGAAATAAAACGTGTGATCTGACAAGTCCAACAATGTGATCCATTGATTCTTGTCTTTGAATTAACGCTTTCAATTAATTTCGATATCAAATCTGTTAATTCAACGTAATCACCTGAACATCAATTAAGTGAAATTATTTTGAATCGAAACGAAGGTGAACTTGAATGTGATCCACTAGATGGCACTTGTCTCGAAAAGGTTAACCAATTAGAGGGAAAAATTTAAACAGTTAATTGTTTTGTTTATTGTTCGTTGAATTGTTTCCTCTCAATTTATTGATTAATCAAGGATTCGACATTGGTTGTAATGGATTCTGTGTTGTTTGAAGAACAGAGATTCTAGAGAATCAAAGAAAATATCGTTTTCTTTTCTCGTTGTTTTAAGAGTCAAAGGTGATTAAGGTAAAAATGTTTTCTTTTTAAACATAAATTCCAAGGTAAGGTTGAAGTGCTAATTGAATTTTTTCCATTACAATTTCTGATTATTAATGTTTATTCTCTCTCTCTCTCTCTCTTGTTCCTTTCTTACCTGAGAAATGGTTTCAGTGTTTAAATGAAATGGAAGAGAAAAATTCATTTAGCCTCATCTCTTTTCTCGTTCTCTCAACTTTAATTAAGTTAATAATGAAAACCCTTTACTTTTTTCTCTTCTGTTTTTCTATATCTCTTTTTTCTCTCTCAGATTCTTTTCTTTCTAGATACAAAGTATTCTAACCTCTCTCATCCCATTTGTATCATGTTTCAACAGCACCAATCACATGGAACCTTTTAGACTCTTGGGAGATGCTGTTACCGGATTACCATTATTCTCCAGCCTGTCAACGGTATATTAGGCCAATCTTCGTATGCAGATGACATTAGTCACTCTCTCTCTCTCACCTATCACTTTGTAAATGTGAATTTTGTTTCAACACGTAAAGAAAAGGAGTAATTTGGACGGACTAAAGTATAACATTTACAAAGCCTATCATTAAATTTAATCAGACGTTTCCATCTTAATTCCTTCAACAGGAAAGACCAAGCAAATAGAAAAGGTGATTAACAATTGAAGGTAAAAATACTATTTCTCAAATTCTGTAATTGTTACAATGTGTAAAAAGATAATTACGAATGAATCAAGTTTATCTAATTTTCTCGTCATTTCATAAAAACTGAATGAACTTATTTTCTCATTTGTAAAGGTAACACAACAACAAGAAGACTAACAAAAAGATGGCGAGAAGGGAAATGGAAGAGAAAATAAAAGTGCAAATTCTATTGATGATAATGATGGATCCAAAAAGAGAAAAAAACACCAAGAAGAAGAAGAAGAAGATAAAGGAAAACTATGGAGAATGGAAGAAGAAACTGAAAAGGCCCAAAAGTAAATGGAAAAATGAAATAGCAACGAAAAGAAATCATCTTTACATCAAAGATGAGAAGGGAGATGAAGATGATGCCGCTAACTGATGATGATAATGAAGAATAAGGAGAAAATGATGATTGTAATCATGATGATAGAGGATATATAATTTTTCTTTTTTTTCTACGCGTAACATGTTTATACAAAAGAAAAACTATCAAATAACTTGATAGAAGCGACCTAACGACTTGTAGCTACTCTTCCTTCTGTTAATAACAACTTACAGGTTAGAATTTTAGACTTAAAATGTAAGACCTTTTCTCTCTCTCTCTCCCTCTTATATCCTTTCTCTTTCTTCTCTTTCATCATCATCATCATCATCATTATCATCTTCCAAGACAAGATACCCTCTACACTGAATACTTTGGGCAATTGCATTCCAAACGAAAAAAGCAGAAGCTGGTTCGACAAGTTTTCTCTCTCTCTCTCTCCTTTTCTCTTTCTCTTACCTGATCCTCTTTCTTTTCTTCTCTTTCATCCTTAGACCGGCTTAATTCTTACCTTAGCATCTCTTTCTTTCTCTATTTTTCCTAATACAATTTTCTCTTTCTCTCTGCCTCACATTTTATTCTTCTTTCGTTGTTCTCTTTCTTTTTCTCTTCTTCTTCATCTATCTTAATAGCCCCTTTCTTTTTACCCCTAAGACCCCTAAGGCTATTGAATGGGAGAGAAAGAAAGAGCAAAAAATGAAAGAACCTAATGAAAAAAGAGAAAAAAAAGAAAGAGAGAGAAAGAGCATAGGTAAACGTTTACCTGTAAATTGCAAGAGAGAGAGAGAGAGAAGAAGAGAGAGAATGAGAGAGCGTCCTTCTGGCCTGAGAGCCGTAGTAGCTCCCGTGTTCAGTTGAAAACACGGCCTCAATGTTAATGTTTTTAAACTTGACTAGACTTGGTTACCTTTTTTTTCTTCATCTTCTCTTTTAGCTTCTTTATTCTCATCTTTTCTCTCTCTCTCTTTACCTTTACAATTTTGATCAAGTTTTTGAACAACAACAAAACTATTTTTCTACTTACTGTTTTCGTTGATTCTTCATCTTCACCTTCATCTTGTTTTTAACAATTTCCAATCTTGACCAATTTCAGTTTATTCCCATTACATATTTGTGTTGATTGTGTTGATCAAATCTTTGCCAACTTCTCAAATAACGGATTTAATTGTTAACATTTTGTGATCGTAGTGTTTATTTGTTTCCATGTGATTCTGTTTACAGCACAAACAAAAGATGATGTCTACATTGCAGATGTTATATCATCCTGATCATCATCAACAACAAAATAACCCAAAGCGATGACCACATCAACTGATGAAGTAAAGTTTTCCTTATGTTGGATTTAAAGTGATTTCTTTTTGTTTCTAGTGTTGGATTAATATTGATCACAGCGAACGATTAACCGATAGCTTTTTGTTTATCCACAATAACTGATGACAATTTAGATGTCATCACAATTATCACAATCTAATCTACCATGGAAATGAATTTATCTTGACCAAAACCATGAGCCAATAATGTTAATCAACGATAACATGTTAACAACAAGATTAACAAGTAAACTGGAATCAGAAAAGATGACAAGTAATTCTTGTCATACTAATTATATTCAGTCGATCAGTCAGAATAGACAAGATCGACTGAAGAGAATAGGCCAAAATTTCAATTGGTTATCTAAATTATTATCAATTTGTATTTTAAGCGTTTACATTATTCCTTTTGTATTTTCTTCATCTTTATCATCCTCATCACCAATTGATCCTCTTGTAAACAAAAGATGGTCTCGATCAGCTCAACTATCAACACAAAACAATCAATTGGAATTAAAATATGAAATGACTGAAAATTCACCAGCAGGAACGTTAATCGGTGTAATTAGAAGTCCATTAGGATACCAACCATGTCAACCGCCATTTTTAATTGTTCCCATTCGAAGTGGTTCCCATTCATCATCAGAATCATCCTCATCTTCATCTCAATCCAATCTACGAAATGGAGTTGACACTGATCTTAATATCGACCAAGCATCAGGAGAGATTCGCAATTCAATTGTTCTTGATCGAGAGGAAACTTCTTATTACACTTTTATCGCAATTCCCTTCGTTGGACCAAACATCAAAGTAACGATCACAGTTCTTGATTCCAATGATAACGCACCTTTATTTCCGCTTCCTAGTATTCACCTTGAATTTCCAGAGAATAGTAAAGTTCGAGATGTGAAACGTACTCTTCCCCCAGCTCGTGACAATGATTTAGGTAAGTTGTTGATTATAATTCTCATTAATTGTTAAATTGTTCGCAAATTACCAATCAGTAAGAACAATTTAATTAAGCTATCATTGAATCTCAACTTTCCCGTGATTCGTTGTCTGGTTCAAATAACTAATTAATTAACTCAACAAACATCAGTATTCAGGTAAAAAAACGATTCCTAATGAACAAGTTTAATTATAATAGTTAAATCAATTTGTGTAATTTAAATCCACCAGAATCATTTGATTTCATTTATTATCAAATGTTGAGATTTAATTAACCTTTTGATTCTCAGGTAGAAATGAAAAAAAGAAGAAAAAAAAATCAAGAGAAAAGAAAATCAAATGTTAATTATTCTGATTCTCTTTAATTTCTTCCCTCATTATCAGCATCATTAAACGATATACTCATTAATTAATTAACTTTGAACGTTGACATCTACATTTGATAAATTGTGAACCTTTCAAGTGATTCAATTGAATTTGATTGTTGATATATTTCATTTTTCACTATCATCAACTATCATCTAAAAATGATCTTCATCTTAACCATCATCATGAAGAAATCATCATGATAATCAAAGAGAATCCAGGAAAACATGTTATTCCAAATTCTGATATCTTTCTAAATTACTGAATCTCTTCAATAATTTAAGAGTTCCAAACGTTGACAATCAATTTGTTGACATTGAACGACAACCTCACCGACTCACATACTCACTTATCTTGATATTTTTCAGGTAAGATGAGCTGATGAAAAGTTTTCTTCAAATTCTCTCTCATTTCATAAGTTGGAACATTTTTTTTTCTTCATTTTTTTTTATCTGAAATGAATCGAGAAAAAAAATACGAATGATGAAATTTCTATTAGTATATTTTAGTGGATAAAATAATTGTCACATAAATTGTCACGACGATGATTAAGATGGTTGATGAAAAAGTAAATGGTCAAATTTGGTCACAATTAAGTTTCACATGAAGAAAAATGTTGAAAAACTAGTACTCAAGTCGTAATTAATTCGTTAATTAATATCTTTAGTAGATCGAATCTCTCACCATGACCAATGTCCATTTAGAATTGACCATGTCAGAGATTCTAATCAATTGTTGCAACAGAATTTATCCTCTATCGAAACGTTGATTTACCTGATAAAGTTAATTGTTCAATTGGAGATTGACTTTCAGACTTGTCGATTATTGATCCTTATGATAGAATCTAAATTTGAATGTTAATTGTTGGACAATTTTCTTGATTCTGAAATTCATCTCTCATAATCTTTATATCTTTGGTTTCATGTTTCATGTATAATTTATTGCCCCTCATGATTATAATAAGATTTTGCCGTAACCGTAAACAAAATTAGCTGAAAATATAAATAAATTTCAGTTGAATTATGGTGAAATCAGATTGGTGGTGACATTATGAAATCCATGAAGAGAGAGGGACAAAAATTCAAACATCAGCATGATACTAATCATGAATGAATTGAATTATCAAAATTTGTTGGATTTTCTTTTTCTCTTTTAAAATAAATTTAATTTTACCTTAAATCTTTCAATTCCTCTTGAAGATTTAATTTGATTTAATTTTGATCCTAACCTTTTATTATTATCATTATCATCAACAATTTAATAAAACTTTATTATGTACAAATTGTAAATCATAAAAATACATTGAGAGGAATTAAATTTGATCGTTAATTGCTTTCTCTCAATGATCAAGAGTAAACTCAATTCTCATCTGTAATATCATGAAAAAAATAGTATTACCATTGAATTGATTGAATTATCTTTCTTTTTATAAATATTTCAAGTGAATTAATTGTTGAAATAATTCAGTTAATTGTTTTGAGAAAACAAATCAAACATAATTGTAGTTACTTTTTCTCGTTACATTAGAGATTATTGAATTTCTTTCAGTAGATATTACATAATAATAATAATAGTAGTAAATGTTTCCATCAGAGTATCAATTGCATTTAAATGCCCTCAGGGCTGAACCTTCCCCTTCATCTTTCAATTGATAATCATCCATGGACTGTGGATACTCAGGTAATAGATAAGAGGGAGTAGGATGTTGAGCCTCACATGATGCGATTGACAATTAAGCTTGTGAAAAATTTTACAATTTAAATTTTAACCTTTAACACGAACCATCAATGTCAATGTTGATTTCAATTAATGAAGAAAATAAATTCTTTTGTTATTACCGAGACTAATTAACTTTTCAGCTTCAAGGCAAACTCATATCTCTATGTATTAGAAACAAAAAGAAACTCAGTAATTGGTTCTCTACCTTTTCCTTGAATCATTATTCTTTATCATCCACCTCATCCTCCTCATCCTCATCCTCATCCTCATCTTCATCTTCATCTTCATCCTTGTGTATTAGTTTCATCATCATCCATTTATTAATAATTCCAGGCATCACCAGTTACACCCGAAGGTGTTACCATGGTTTTCACTTTTAATTCAGATAAAAAAAAGGAGAAAACAATTGATACAATTTTAATATTTTTCTCTCAATCAACTTGAATATGATAATAATCATATTATCATAATAGTCTGTTATAAGTTAATCATTTTTACTTTTTTTGATTCACAATTAATCTTAATTGTTGATCTGTTTCAAGAATCTCTTTTACCTTTTACCCTGTCACAATAATGTGCTTTTTATGTGATTTTAAATGTGTGTGAGTCGTTGTTACCAGTTTGTTTGCAAGCTTTTCAAGCATCATCATGATGATAATCACGATTGCAATAAGCAATTTGATTGCCTGATTAAGACCAATATATGGCTTGTTCAGGTCACTTTGAAACCTTCAGATTGTCATGAAAATGCCATTACCTCCTACTCTGTGTATGTGTACACCATTGGGAAGGAGCAGCAAGAAAAGCATGATAGCCCGATAGCAATGGAAGATAAAAACGACAGATAAAAAGTCAATAACGATTATCTGAGGCCATTCGATAGGCCATAAATCGATCGTTGACACCTTAATTTCTTATTCACTTATTAGCAAAATCTTGTGGCTCTTTAATTGCTTCCAATCAGTAAAACAATCATAATCCTAATCATTTTCCATCATAATAAATATTTTTCTTTTTCTTTTCTTTTTGATAACTTTTTTCTTCTTCTTCTTATTTTTTTCCTTCTCCCAATTGAACAGAATAAAAAAGTTCCAACATAAGATTAATGGTGAAATTGTTTTGATTAATTAACTGACTAATGATTTAGATTGAACACTAATCGTAATCACTGATAATTAAATGAAAATGATTTTTTTATACTCAATTGAAATCACGAAACAAAGTTAATTACAATTAACTGATAAGTTAAATTTGATTTGAAACGTTGATATAAATAAATAAATAAATAAATGTTTATTTTTTGTATTAATGTTTAAATCACAATACATGATAATTGTTAACTTGGATTAATTAATTGCTTATGTTTATCATTTAAATTTTACTAACTGAAAGACTAGGGATGTTAATTTAGCGATGATTGATAAACATTTTCTAATTAACAATTAGTAATCGTATTGTTGAACATACCTGTAGGGTCTAATGATCTGATCAATTGATCGTCGTCGTCGTCGTTTAGTAGCATAAGATTCAGCCATTGATTCATTGACCGCATCATCTTCACCATCACCAGCATATTCAGTTGTATAATAACCATCATCACCTCCATCACCTTCGGCCTCCTCATCATTTGATGCACCGTCCATGGGCATCATACCGGGTGACATGCCTCCGGGCATATTTGGCATGCTGTAAGCGGACATGCCACCACCTCCGCCGCCTCCATACATACCAGGGCCACTGTACATTCCTGGTGCACCACCGCCGCCACCACCACCCATGGGTCCGCTCATTGGGCTGTAGGGCATGTATTGTGACAGAATAGATCCAATGGAAGATAAAATGATCAATGAAAGAGAAGTTAAATTCTTAGGATAAATCATGATGGAAATTGGTGATTAACAATTAAGAGTTTACGATGATGATTATAAAACGAAATGAATTTCAGCTGATCAACTGTTGTGATTGAATTTCACTGATAAAATGATTGATAATCGCACGTTGACTCGTATTATTTATACTTAATCGTCAATTCTGTCGACACTTTAATTAGATCAATTAAAGTCGTTCTATCGGAATTCTTGACTTTTTTCTGTTTACAATTGATTCTCTTTAATTGTTGTTACTACTGTGAACTTTAAAATGAGACATTAATTAATCTCTTCCGTCTCATAAGATTGAAATTGACCTGATATCTAATTGAAATCTTTTTAATCATCAACTAAATGAGTTAAACAATTTGATGTATTTCTGTTTTTCTTCAACAATCATCATCCTCTCACTTAACTATCAACATCATCACTCTTAGTTTTTGTGTATTTAACGTGTTGATTGACAAAAACAATCAAATCGGATGCGGTTAATTTTCATGTTGAAAAAAAATCATTGGACCTGAACAACATCAACAATCATCAACAATTAACAATGTGGACTGTTAATAAATTGTGAAAGTGACATGATTTTCATGAGGAGATGTTTTCAACTCTAAACAAAGTAACAATAATTATCCTTTTAATTATAATCCATTGTTGTTATTGTGCTCATGCAGCCAACAAGGTTTCTAGGTTAAAGTTTACCTGTACAACCAATGGATATAAGGAAAGACATTGAGGTCATTAGTTGGTCAGTGAATAATTTAGTCAAATCGTCTACATTGGAGTATAAAAGTATCAAGCCAAAGAAAAGATAGTAAATCGTTGGCAACAATAAAAGGTTATGATTAAATCGAGTAAAAAAGGAACCCTTTTATTATGGTTATTTACAATTCCAAAAGAAACAGGGTGGGACCTAAGAAAGAGAGAGACAACAACCTTACGGTTGACCTTAGGTCGAGGTTCGACTCCGCCTATTGCTCTATTCGGTTGGTGTAAATTTCCTGTCAAGGGAATTGCAACTCGTAAAGAAGAAGAGGAAGAA